GTTATGATATCAAGATCCAGTCACCAGATTTGATATTAGTACCTGTTCTCATTATCCAATTTTCGAAATGGATGTTATTTTATATGCTAATAACAAATTAGTGATGAAAATAAACTATCCTATCTGATGCATTTAACCAATACCAAAAAATCCCACCAATTTTGAATTGAGGTTTCACAGTTGATATGACAAGGCATTATACAGCCCATACATGGCAAATATATAACCATACTTAACCATACCTTGTTTAGGTACAGCAACCCTCACCAAAGCTGATAAGGTACAGAAATACCTGATCACACAGGTACAGCAACCCTTACCATACCTGGTAAAGGTACAACAACCCTTACTAAACCTGGTAAAGGTACAGCAATTCTTACCAAACCTGGTAAAGATACAGCAATACCTAATCATACAGGTACAGCAATCCTTACCAAACCTGGTAAAGGTACAGCAACCCTCACCAAACCTGGTAAAGGTACAGCAATACCTGATCATACAGGTACAGCAATCCTTACCAAACCTGGTAAAGGTACAGCAATACCTGATCATACAGGTACAGCAACCCTCACCAAACCTGGTAAAGGTACAGCAATACCTGATCATACAGGTACAGCAATCCTTACCAAACCTGGTAAAGGTACAGCAATACCTGATCATACAGGTACAGCAATCCTTACTTAAACTGGTAAAGGTACAGCAATCCTTACCAAACCTGGTAAAGGTACAGCAACCCTCACCAAACCTGGTAAAGGTACAGCAATACCTGATCATACAGGTACAGCAATCCTTATTAAACCTGGTAAAGGTACAGCAATACCTGATCATACAGGTACAGCAATCCTTATTAAACCTGGTAAAGGTACAGCAATACCTGATCATACAGGTACAGCAATCCTTACTAAACTTGGTAAAGGTACAGCAATCCTTACTAAACCTGGTAAAGGTACAGCAATACCTGATCATACAGGTACAGCAATCCTTATTAAACCTGGTAAAGGTACAGCAATACCTGATCATACAGGTACAGCAATCCTTATTAAACCTGGTAAAGGTACAGCAATACCTGATCATACAGGTACAGCAATCCTTATTAAACCTGGTAAAGGTACAGCAATACCTGATCATACAGGTACAGCAATCCTTACTAAACCTGGTAAAGGTACAGCAATACCTGATCATACAGGTACAGCAATCCTTACCAAACCTGGTAAAGGTACAGCAATACCTGATCATACAGGTACAGCAATCCTTATTAAACCTGGTAAAGGTACAGCAATACCTGATCATACAGGTACAGCAATCCTTATTAAACCTGGTAAAGGTACAGCAATACCTGATCATACAGGTACAGCAATCCTTACTAAACCTGGTAAAGGTACAGCAATACCTGATCATACAGGTACAGCAATCCTTACTAAACCTGGTAAAGGTACAGCAATACCTGATCATACAGGTACAGCAATCCTTACCAAACCTGGTAAAGGTACAGCAATACCTGATCATACAGGTACAGCAATCCTTATTAAACCTGGTAAAGGTACAGCAATACCTGATCATACAGGTACAGCAATCCTTATTAAACCTGGTAAAGGTACAGCAATACCTGATCATACAGGTACAGCAATCCTTTTTAAACCTGGTAAAGGTACAGCAATACCTGATCATACAGGTACAGCAATCCTTACTAAACCTGGTAAAGGTACAGCAATCCTTACTAAACCTGGTAAAGGTACAGCAACCCTCACCAAACCTGGTAAAGGTACAGCAATACCTGATCATACAGGTACAGCAATCCTTATTAAACCTGGTAAAGGTACAGCAATACCTGATCACACAGGTACAGCAATCCTTATTAAACCTGGTAAAGGTACAGCAATACCTGATCATACAGGTACAGCAATCCTTTTTAAACCTGGTAAAGGTACAGCAATACCTGATCATACAGGTACAGCAATCCTTTTTAAACCTGGTAAAGGTACAGCAATACCTGATCATACAGGTACAGCAATCCTTACTAAACCTGGTAAAGGTACAGCAATCCTTACTAAACCTGGTAAAGGTACAGCAATACCTGATCATACAGGTACAGCAATCCTTACTAAACCTGGTAAAGGTACAGCAATCCTTACTAAACCTGGTAAAGGTACAGTAATACCTGATCATACATGATAAAGGTATAGCAGTATCTCACCATACCTGGAAATTAGAAGGTAAGACAATTCTTGGCTGTGGATATCATTTTATTGTGACAAATATCTTGTTCTAATGTAATACCAAACAAGAAACACATAGAATATGTGAGGATACATACCGGTACATATTGATAACACTGCCTCTTATAATAAAAAGCCTTTGAATCTTTGTAAGGGAGATAAATCTGACATATCAAACATGTGTTTCATAGTTACCTCCCTTACAGAATTATTGTAAAGAAGAATGTGTTACATGTTAGAATGGTTACTACATATCTAATGATCCATCTGAAAACAGTGTATCCTCCATCTTTACTGAACCTAGTGTACACATTATACAGAAATAAATGTACACCTGTTTATCGGATACCATGTGACGCGGCACCCAAATTTAACTAAACCATACCTTCTAATTGAATGCTATTGGGTTTTTACTGTGAACAAACATTTTTCACACAACACAACAAAAATAAAGCTTTCAATAAGTTGACAATAATAAAAACAACATAGTGCATCCTCAGATTTGTAGAAGGCACTGCTGGTATCAGTACACACTTTGGCACTACAATATATATATACCCCTCCACAACTCCCTATTACCATGACGATGACATACATCCTTGTATCATGGAATTATTTTTCCACTACTGGTACTTTTTCTGATGTGAAGGTATCGTTTTGGCATCACAGTAAAAGATTACAGTGTACATACATATATATATAAATCTATAAAATTAAATATTGTAAAGCACTTATCACAGATAGAAAAGTAAAATATCTAAATATCTCCATCAGATCTTTATCTGTCCAGCTGTAATCTAAAAGGTCATTTCTGACCCAAATATCTATGTTGACAGGTCAAGGTCACCGACTGTTAGTATGTCTCATCATACTTGATAGAGCTAGTTTACATGTCAATGGAATCACATATCACAGGTCAACGCTTACCTCCAGAAAGGTCACTACAAACATCTAAAGGTCCTTCCCATCTTAAAGCATGGCAGAAAGGCTTAGACTTCACAGGACTATCACGTAAAAATGCTGATGTCCTTCATTACAAAGTGTATTATCACACAAGAGAAAAGGAAATAGATTCATGAATTACATATTTAAATAACAACAAAGTGATCAAGACACAGAGTCAGTAAGAAATTCTACAGAGGTACTCTCTCACAAAAAATGGCCTTTCTTATGTGACATAGCATTGTCACAGACATTCACAGTAAACAAAGGGACATAATTTGTCTGCCATCCCAAGCAGTACCAACATAAAAAGGATAGCAATAATACAAGACACAATCATTGGAGATATGTCCAAGGTGAGGTGATACATTCACTGCTAAACTTCATGTAATTCAATAGTCACTTCAGCAGTACTAATAATCAGCTGTAATTCTGCATACCATGAAGAGCTTGTCAAGATAAAGTTAATATACTCTTATGACCTTGGCATATTAAAAAAAAAATGCATATACATTTCTAAAATATCAACTCTCTAACAAAAGAATATCTACATCTTAACAATGTCTGTAGCTCAACAATATCTAAATCATCACATTAGTTAAAGCTTCAGAGTTCTGGAGACAGAAATATATCAGGGACAGGGCCTCACATAAACAATGGCACTAATAACAATGGAACAAGAAATAATACAAAGAAAAAGATATTCAGGTTAGTATTTCATTATCCTAGCACACACACATAATGTTAGTCACCTATAAAACATGAAACCTTCAATACCCAAGGAACATTGGTCTTCACCAATCATGTTATACCCTGTTAGCAGTAGCATTTTTAATATACAGAGGACCGGCCAAGACACACAAAAAAAAAAAAAAAGGCTGAAAAAAATTAACAGATTTTCACAATAGATTTCAGGTCTGTTGCAATAAATGATATGGGCATGTAAATGTAAAATGTAATATAGCCTAGAAGAAGAAATCAATTTTAGATCTTACTGGAAATGTAAAATGAACAACATATAGACTGTGCGAATAAAGTCATATGATAACTTTGGTATTTGTAGACATTTTACCTGCTAAGCATATAAAATCATGGTATATATCTGTGGCCATACAGAATGTGCTTGTGGTCTGTGACAATATGAACATCTGTCAAATGACGAAAACATATGACTGTACTAACTTCTGTCTACTGACAGACACACATGGCCATACCAACTTCTGTCCACTGACAAGACACATGTCTTGTAAAAACTAAACATTGTCCAATAAATATTAAAAGTTATATACAAACATGAATTAGCACTTGTAGATTTAACTTAAAAATGAACCGTATCAAACACAGGTCATGTATCAACACAGCAATACCTTTCCTGGCCAAGGCAACTGGTATGGCCTGAGTTACAGATTAATAGGCTATGTATCAATACAGTGTAGAATCTGTGTTACCCTTCAAAGTCTCGGAGACTAAACAGGATATTTATCAATACCGTGTAGAGTCTGTGTTATATTCCAAGGCCTTGGAGACTAAACAGAATATTTATCAATACCGTGTAGAGTCTGTGTTACCCTTCAAAGTCTTGGAGACTAAACAGGATATTTATCAATACCGTGTAGAGTCTGTGTTATATTCCAAGGCCTTGGAGACTAAACAGGATATTTATCAATGCCGCGTAGAGTCTGTGTTATATTCCAAGGCCTTGGAGACTAAACAGAATATTTATCAATACAGCATACAGTTTAGCTATCCTAAGTAAGTAGACAGAGAAGTCTCCTGGTTTACATGTACAATGATGACTTAAGGTGTAGAAATCATTCTCCTGAAGATTCCTCATCATCCCAATTAGGAATATACTTGCGTATCAGTATTTGTATCATTGTCATTTTCTGGTGATTCAAGGATACAGTGCATGCCTGGATAAATCACCTTGGGACTTCTGCTGCGTGGACTACTGGGTGGTGTTCTGGGGAGAAAAGGTAGAGGAGAGTTACCATACAAGGACAGTGTTCAGGAAAGTTATATAAGATAGTAATAAAATATATATTACTATCTATATAGGATTGTAAACAATGAATTAGCAATTTGGAAACATTTATGATCATAGCAGACAAATGCGTAAATCATAATAAAAGAGTTCATGTAAACAAAACATTGACAAAACTTTTAACCAAAATTTGACCTGACCGAACAGAATCAGCAGTAAGTTGTCAAACCATTCAGAGTAACATAGCTTGTCCGTGATAGATATGTGTATTAACATCTTAATAGGTTATGCCATCCAGTAAGTTCAGCTCAGTGTGGTATGTTAATCACAGCATTTACAATACAATACACAAATTTCAAAATTAAAAATATCCTGAAATTTGACTACCACTTAAAAATCTATCCATCATGTAATATCTCTTTCACATATATTAATTTATTATCCTGAATAGCATTGTATTAAGAAACTTAAGAAAGCTTATGATATTTATGTAAAGAGTTAGAAATTAGAATACTGTGTAAAGAGAAAAACAGAGGTCACTGCATCTTACCACCATGGTCACCATAGGTGTGACAAAGCAGTTTCAAGGAGGCACAGCACACAGAAAGCACACATATTTGGTGGAAAGGTATTTGGTCACACTGCTAGCCTGAGGTCAGCCATGGATTACAGTATGATGCCTCAGTGATCACGCCAGTCAATCTTGTGAGTACCATCCTGACTCCCACACCACATATTGGTACCCACAACCCCGAACTTTGACCCCTGACCCACCACCAGCTACAATTGTGACCTTGATGACCACCAGTTCCTCTCTCACAACATCAATTCTTTTTCCTTACCCAATATACCACAATCAGCTGATCAATAACATTTTATTGAGTGATCTATTGTGGTGTCATGGAGTTACAAAGATTTTTATTTCATATTTAACCAATATAGTTTCCACTTAATTCAATAATAATTTTAATTAGTTGTGAATTCAGTCAAACTCTGATGTAATAAAATCTACAGTTCATTTATTACAAAGTTTCTTCTCACTGAAATAACATTAACAAGGTAATATCTATGTGCTGTGGAGAGGGAACCCTAAACACCATTTCTATATTAGAGCTATGCCTACATTCAAATCACTATCCCACATTATTTGGTTTCCATGTTTTTATGAATTCTAACAAAAAATCACAATTCTATCCTTTTTCTTATATATGCCAACCTGTCCAATGAAAACACAACATAATGTTTTTCTTAATGAAATTCAGGTCTAGTAAAAATACTAGATACATATCAGTGACACGTAAATCAGTTTAGAAAAGTCATCCTCAAAGGAAAATGGCTGCCAATCTAGCTGCAATGAGGAAAAAGTCCAAATCTGATTAAATAAAATGTTTGGAAGTTTTCTTTGTACAAGTCAGCATATTAACTAAGTATACAAAAGTCAAGTATTGTGAAATTTACTTTAGAATTTATGAAAACTAGAAAAAACAAATGGCACAAGCACTACAATACATATTCTCCTAACAGTCACCGTGGAAAGGAACCTCAAATTCTGAGAGCAAAATGAAATTAATTTGCAAAAAATATGACAGCAAAGCAGGAAAGACATGTCAAGTGTCTGAATTAGATGGAAAAAGGAGCCTGATTACTGTATAGTAAGTACATTGTATAATGGGTACATAACAAAGAGAATGATGAAATGGAAGTATAATAATGTGTCTGGAAACTGTCAAAAGTTTGCTGTCATTTTCTTATACTGAGAAAGAGTTGACGCGTCAACAATAGGAATGACTAAATCAAAATTGAGAAGGGACATAACTCTGGGAAGAATGTACCATCACCATACTCATATTGTCTAAAGCCTTGTCCAAAGTTTATCACATGACTGATTCTTTTAAGAAGCTAAATTCACATGAAAAATGAGTGAATGAGATTGAGACTGATAGATAAATATATGAATGTTTAAACAATAGATAGACCAGTAGGTGACTTATAGAATGCACTGCAGTATAACCCTCAGATTTCATTCAAGTGAATTTGTAAACGAAAAAAGCAAAAATAATAATTCCCACAAAAATGAATATATTATATATCTATATGATAAGTATGACACAGGTTAATGACAAATCTAAAGTACAGCAATCTTTCAACACTAACAATACAAACAAAATTAAGGATATTTCTTCAGGAAAATAATAATTTTTGAGTGATCTCCCTTTTACAGACCAATCAGATACATGCGATAAAGTATTGGTTATATAGGGAAGTGGTTGGTTACAAGGCAGGTAATTTACATGCATGACTAGACCAGTTATGTACCACTATATTTAATATCACAGCAATTGTAATGGTTAGGTTTAAAATCCCAAACAGACTGACCAAAACCTAGAATTATCACCAACCCCAACTTGTACGATTATTCTAAAACTGGACAGTCTTCTACAATGGATTGTTTCTTAATCAAAAGATACAACATGCCATCTCCACTTATGATTGGTCAGAATTGGTCAGTCTGGCCACAACTAGTAGGGATCAGTAAAACATGGTGGTTTACAGCCATTGAATGATGGCTAGCTCTACCTATAGATAGTGTCAGGAGCTGGTGGGTGGTAGAAGTCAGTTCCGTGCGTGGGCGTGCCCAGGGCGCGGGGCTGAGTGTACTGGTGGGTGGGGGAGGGGTAGTCAGAGAGGTCAGTTAGCTCAGGAAGTGACCAGGGGTTCTGGTAACCTGTGCAACAAAACAATAACACAACCATATAAATATTCACAAATTCTTTGTTAAAGATATGGTCTTTTATAGTCAGGTGACCAGACACATTTAATTGTCACAAATTGCTGAGTGTGGATTACTGTGGTATGTGTACTACCATAATTTCCTTGGGGTTGAACAGTTATAAAAACTATACAAATTAAATAATTTCCTTTCAATTCTGATCCTCACCATGAATTACTTTAAATCTTCATCTAAATTTTGATCTGGATTATCTTAAAAATTAACAAATTACCAAAGTACATTTCAACTTAACTGGGACTTTCAACAGATAAACTTGTCAAAATAAAGAATTTGGAGGAGAATTATTGGAATTTTGTAAAAGAAGAACTTGATGGAGTGGAAGAAGAAGTTGTTTACCAGTGTTAAGTAATATATAAACAATCTGTCACCTATCAACCATCTTTATATAAGCAGGCTTACTAAAGAAGCATGATTACCTCTATCACCAAGATGTATATGATGGTATACAATGTTTGTTCTGTAGTATCAGCTAGGCAGTAAGTGACTTCAGTGTTATATCATGATACACACAGCACATATTTCACACATCATTATTTCTTCATTCAATTGAAAATATATTACTAAATAATGACATTTGTCATCTGGGTGATGATTGGTATATATCACATGATGGTCTTGTTTTGAATTTAGTGTTTTGTCTAATTGGAAAGATTTAGAAATAATGCTGGTGAGAAATGAGCAGTATATAGTAAGGCACCCTGCGCAACCAAATTCCAATATGTGACTGGAATACATGTGCTGGTATTTTGCTGATGAGAAACTCAAACTTTGTACAAAGGTAAGACATTAAGTATGGACCTAAACAGATCAAGCTCTAAGTGTTGGTCGCCCTCGTACTAGAGAATACAGCCGCATATCTATAAGAAAAAGAAATGCACACAATTGAACTGTAATAATCCCATTTCTGTCGTAATGTACATAAACTGAATTATTGTGCTTCAATTATTGAAAAAAGACTCCACAGTGTTTGCATGAAAGTAGAGCCTGGTTCGATATCTAACATGGACATAAACATTCCCCTTTGTTTATCTTAGATCCAGACTAAGGTTGATAAAATGTCTGATTTTGATTGCTACATTATTTGGTGACTCATTCGTGGTGTATAAGGTATTTTACATTTTGATAAAGGTAAAAATCTGTCTGAAATAATATCTGTTTTCATTAAAGAGACTTGTTCTTGTTTTATTTCCTGCTATATCTGTTTTCATTAAAGAGACTTGTTCTTGTTTCATTTCCAGCTATATCTGTTTTCATTAAAGAGACTTGTTCTTGTTTCATTTCCAGCTATATCTGTTTTCATTAAAGAGACTTGTTCTTGTTTTATTTCCTGCTATATCTGTTTTCATTAAAGAGACTTGTTCTTGTTTTATTTCCTGCTATATCTGTTTTCATTAAAGAGACTTGTTCTTGTTTTATTTCCTGCTATATCTGTTTTCATTGTTCTTGTTTCATTTCCTGCTATATCTGTTTTCATTAAAGAGACTTGTTCTTGTTTTATTTCCTGCTATATCTGTTTTCATTAAAGAGACTTGTTTTATTTCCTGCTATATCTGTTTTCATTAAAGAGACTTGTTCTTGTTTCATTTCCTGCTATATCTGTTTTCATTAAAGAGACTTGTTCTTGTTTCATTTCCTGCTATATCTGTTTTCATTAAAGAGACTTGTTCTTGTTTTATTTCCTGCTATATCTGTTTTCATTAAAGAGACTTGTTCTTGTTTCATTTCCAGCTATATCTGTTTTCATTAAAGAGACTTGTTCTTGTTTCATTTCCTGCTATATCTGTTTTCATTAAAGAGACTTGTTCTTGTTTCATTTCCAGCTATATCTGTTTTCATTAAAGAGACTTGTTCTTGTTTTTTCCTGCTATATCTGTTTTCATTAAAGAGACTTGTTTCCTGCTATATCTGTTTTCATTAAAGAGACTTGTTCTTGTTTTATTTCCTGCTATATCTGTTTTCATTAAAGAGACTTGTTCTTGTTTCATTTCCTGCTATATCTGTTTTCATTAAAGAGACTTGTTCTTGTTTAATTTCATGCTATATCTGTTTTCATTAAAGAGACTTGTTCTTGTTTCATTTCCTGCTATATCTGTTTTCATTAAAGAGACTTGTTCTTGTTTCATTTCCAGCTATATCTGTTTTCATTAAAGAGACTTGTTCTTGTTTTATTTCCTGCTATATCTGTTTTCATTAAAGAGACTTGTTCTTGTTTTAAAGAGACTTGTTCTTGTTTTATTTCCTGCTATATCTGTTTTCATTAAAGAGACTTGTTCTTGTTTTATTTCCTGCTATATCTGTTTTCATTAAAGAGACTTGTTCTTGTTTTATTTCCTGCTATATCTGTTTTCATTAAAGAGACTTGTTCTTGTTTTATTTCCTGCTATATCTGTTTTCATTAAAGAGACTTGTTCTTGTTTTATTTCCTGCTATATCTGTTTTCATTAAAGAGACTTGTTCCTAGTTTTAATTCCCGCTTTATTTGCTTACTGTTAAATGTATTCTACAACTTTAATTTAAATATTATACCAACTTTTATCATAGTATACATTTAAGATTGATTAAAAATAGTAAAAATGATTTAATTAAGAACACAGGTAAGCAATAATCACTTATATCCAGAAAGCAGAAATACAAACATCTATACAGAATCTCAATCAGAACAGAAAAAAACGTAAGCGTGGAAAAAATGCATCAGAGATCCTCCAGGTTGCCAGACTAACTGAAGAGTCATTGTAAAGCTTATTATAGCTTACAAATTCAAATGTACCCAATTCTTCATTGATGCAATGTAATGCAGTTACCTCCCCTGAAAATCAGGACCAACAATCAGGTACATAACATAATGTATCACAGTGACTGTACCATAGTTATTATTTTGTTAACCCCTAGGAAGTCAAATGGAAGATGTTTCTCTCCTTGGGTTGTTTCTCTTTATAGAGATCTGTAACTTTTCTCTCTTTATAAAAACATCTCTACCCCATCCCCATCTAAGCTTTGTTCCTAAACCAGAACACTAAATTAATTATCCAATATTCCTTCAGAAGTTAAGATTTGGCCAAGTATGATTAAAAATATTAATCAATGCTTCTAGTGACTACAAACTTCTGAAATTAAAAAAATCTGATATCTAATTTCAAAATCATGTTTTATATCTGAATGACATCAACTAATGCTAGAATAAACTTCCTTCTGGAAATATTAACAACACAATTTTAACAAATGTATCTCTTATAATCAAAAATTTTATTTCTAAGATTATAACCAGGTTATCACAGATTGTCTAAGATTATAACCAGGTTATCACAGATTGTCTAAGATTATAACCAGGTTATCACAGATTGTCTAAGATTATAACCAGGTTTTCACAGATTGTCTAAAATTATAACCAGGTTTTCACAGATTGTCTAAAATTATAACCAGATTATCACAGATTGTCTAAAATTATAACCAGATTATCACAGATTGTCTAAAATTATAACCAGATTATCACAGATTGTCTAAAATTATAACCAGATTATCACAGATTGTCTAAGATTATAACCAGATTATCACAGATTGTCTATGAATATAATCAGATATCACAAATTTTCTGAGATAATAAACAGATTATCACAGATTACAATTAGAGATTATTTCAATGTCAATAAAAATGTATGTAGAAAACTCCATCCCTACAAATTGAAGACCTTACCTTGCATCACACTTTCATACATCAGGGAGGACGGGGTGACAGGTGATGATGCTTTAGATCTTCTACTGTAAAAAGGTAACACATAATGTTAACATTAAAAACCTTGTTAATCAAAACCTAATGGCCTCAATTACATAAAAGTAATGACCATCCATAATTCTATTAATGATGTCACAAACACAATAATGAAAAGTCAACTCCAGACTATCTTTCACTGACTATCTCCTCTTGTTCATTAGAAAAGAGGTGATGCATCTATTAATAAGTTTATAGGTAGCATGTTATAAAGCACCTGTCAAACCTTGGCAGTCAACAGAGAGGATGCCAGTACCCTCAGTAATTCTATCAATAATCACAGAATATTAGAGTAAAGCCATTTACGCAAGAAAATGGGAGTTAAAGGATATGGTAGAAACAGCTATTAGTGAAAGTCACCTCCATGTACGGGATGCCACAGCTGATCGTGGACGCTGCATACTGTCTGGTAATCCTTCCTTCCATCCCGGTACATGTCCAGACATTGGTCGTTTTTTATAGTTTTCCCAGAAGACATCCCTACCCCCCGCTAGCCAGTGGTTTCCTGTGGACAGGTTAAGGACTGCACTTCCTGGCCGGGACACTGCCTTGTTTTTCAATGCTGGTGATGACGGTCTCGCTGGTGGTGGTGACCAGTGACCTACTGTACCAGAATGACTAAATCATAGTTGGTAAACTATCAGGCCATATTCATGACCGCCAGCATTATATACATTTGGATTTTTCACTGTTCTAAAGTAGACTTCCCATGTCAGATCTATACAAAATATTTGTTCAACTTACTTCACTTGAGTTCCCAAAGATATTCAGAAAACAATAAAATTATATGTTTTAAGTTAATTTCAATAGTCATTCAAATTAATGCACAAAAATCTTCATAATCCCAGCCTACAACAACAATGCATTTCAAAATCAGAATTGGTTTTTAAGGGAACTGTAAATATTCATTTTAATCCTTTATGGAGTTTCTGTTCCAGTTATAACATTTAACAGTAATGATGTCACTTTGAATCATTAATATTGCAGCAGAGTAATACTGATACATATTATATTATGTAGAATTTGAATGAAATCTTCTTAGTTAACAAAGATCATTCATGAATTAAAAATTCATTTAACAAGCAATGTGTTTATGTCTACATGGAAAATTTTCACATTATCCACAAGTAATAATTTATACATTCAACAACTTTAAATTCTACTACTTTTCCTGAAAATTAGAAAATCATAATTACTGTAAACAGCCATATTTTAGATTTCACTAACTGCAGCTTCTATATATTTCTTATATAGTAATAACTGTAGATACACTAATTTATCATTGCACTTATTTGCAAAAATGTGATTATGTGATAAAATACTGTTTTGTCAAATTATGTTAATAGTAAATTGTTTAAAATCAAACAAGAACTAGAACAAAATAAAAACATGCAAAACAGAAAAATCTTTATACGTGTACAAATACAGGAAAGACAACAGTGCTTAACAAATCAGTGATGATGAGGTAAACAATATAAAGGTAATAACATTTTGTTACCTTGTTTTTGATTGGTAGTTGAACTGCATACTAGTTAATCAATATCAAGATTTCTTTAAATGAAGTATAAAATCCTGGGTTGTTTTTCAGGTATTGGCAAATAATGATTTGAAAGTTATAACAAACAAGAAATATGTGTGAAATCTTTTCATAAACCTCTTGTAGTTTATCTACATTTCGTACATAAACGTTACATAGATGATGATAAAATTATAATGGCATCGTAACACAATAAGCCAGTGTGAGATCTTTTTATAGATCCCTCGTAGATTGTCTACATTTCCTATATAAATGTTATATAGATACTGATGATACAAAATACCAGTAAAAACAATTAGTGAAACAGGGCTAAACATACAAGTTAATACAAATGAATAAGGAAGACACAAATAAAACAGAAACACTTGATGATGGTGATAAAGACACAAATAAACTCCAATGTTTGATAAAGACACAAATAAACTCCAATGTTTGATAAAGACACAAATAAACAGAAATGTTTGGTGAAGACACAAATAAATAGAAATGTTTAGTGAAGACAAATAAATACCAATGTTTGATGAAGACACAAATTAACAGAAATGTTTGGTGAAGACACAAATAAATAGAAATGTTTGGTGAAGACACAAATAAATAGAAATGTTTGACAAAGACACAGATGAACATAAATGTTTGACAAAGACACAGATGAACATAAATGTTTGACAAAGACACAGATGAACATAGATGAAATGAGAAAAAGAAATAGACATAACCAAAATGTTTGCTAAATATACAAAGGTAGTACAAATCTTATTATTCTATAAAAACAAAAAAACAAAAAAAGCTAGAAACTAAAGATAGTGAGCTCCAAATCAAAGGGATTTCTATAATAGTTTCTGGTCCTGTTACGTAGACAGAGAGGTAATAGAAAGTCCAAAACACCATCCTTATTTGAAAATATCAAAATACTGATCAAAGCAGAAATTAAAATTTAGTCACACATTAAAATTAAAAGCTGAGATAGGGAGATATCAATAGATATGTGCTATAAACTAAAAAAAGAAGTGTTTTAATACAGAATTAATATTAAAAATTAATTGTAACTTAATGAGAAAAGAAGTGCAGATGTGATTCAGTGAAATCTAACAAAGTAATAAAGTGAGATTGTCATTTGATGTTAATTTACCTCCTGTGTCCTCATTGTCTGGCTGCACTACAGCCGTTTGGACTGTAATAACTGGGGGCTCAATTGTTTCCTCTTTTGTCTCTTTAAAATTTATAGTAAATAAAGTTGAAAATAGCATTGCTTCCTAGTAAACAGGAGTTACATCAATCCATTACTGTCAAGTCTTTCACCTCAAAGTGTGTCCTCCAATATCACTGATATAGTATAAATAATGACATTCAAGGCATAGAGAAAGTTTTCTTCCAATCACTTTTCATAAAGACTTGAAATTTAGGTTGGCTTGATATTTGATTTTAAGGGGAAAAAATGACATCAAATAAACTTAATTGATTTTGAGTGTCCCCAAAAAGAATTTAATCCATTTGAAAACTTTAAAGTGACCATCATATCTATATTAAATAGAACATTTGACTTCCTTCAATTTAACAGTTTTTAGGCTAGGTAATATTTCTATGGTGACGCTATGATGAGATATAATATTGAAGATAAACAAGGCTTTAGTCCAAGCTTCCCAGCACTCTGAGCCACTGGTAACCCAATAAAACCATGATACTGATAAAGACATCCAATGAATATATATATATATATCACACGTAATGATCTGATTGTACAGTTGTGATAAAACAGTGCCATGTTCCTCAGTTTAACACCTTCTCCGTACTACTCAACCATCACCCCAAATAAAGGTGGTGATATATACAAACTATACAGATATCAGAAAGCCTCTACAGCCTGTATCACTCAGCAACATGTGATCAATTTTTGATAAAACACTGCAGTAAGTTTGAATACCTGGTAACCATAGTAATACCAAGGCAGCTTGGACATCTTTTCAGATTTACTTTTTGTACAAAAGAAACAGACGACGATATTTTGCCATGGAATCAGCAAAAACAGTATAATTTATAAAATCAGAAGTCATCAAACTGAGAACTGATCTTACCTTCTTCATTTTCCTCGCTGACAAAACTTAATGCACCTGTTGTCAGCACATAATTAAGGTATACAACCACACATCAATAGGTAATACACACACAACAGCTAGTACTAGTTAATCATTACACAAATCTACAAATATCACACAACATAGACCAGCTACATTAAAAAAAAAATCACTAATGCCGACTGTGAGACATCCCACAAATCCCTGACCAAAACACATCCCTCCATTCCCTGACCACAAGATATCCTACCAATCCCTGACCACAAGACATCCCTCCAATCCCTGACAACAAGATATCCTACCAATCCCTGACAACAAGACATCCCTTCAATCCCTGACCACAAGACATCCCTCCAATCCCTGACAACAAGACATCCCTCCAATCCCTGACAACAAGACATCCCTTCAATCCCTGACAACAAGACATCCCTCCAATCCCTGACAACAAGACATCCCTCCAATCCCTGACCACAAGATATCCTCCCAATCCCTGACCACAAGACATCCCTCCAATCCCTGACAACAAGACATCCCTCCAATCCCTGACAACAAGACATCCCTCCAATCCCTGACAACAAGACATCCCTCCAATCCCTGACAACAAGACATCCTACCAAAGCCTGACTATCATATTCACTCTCAACAATGCCTCCCACCAATCCCTGCCTCCCACCAATCCCTAACTTAAATACATCCTACCAATTCCTGACCATGAGACACTCTAACAATGCCTGACTATAAGACAACCGATCCGAACAATGTGTCTCACCAATCCTTGCATCCCACCAATCCCTGACCAAGACACATCCCAACAATACTTCAATATAAGATATCCCATCAATGCTTGACTTTAAGACATCCCCTCCCAAAAAATGCATCCCATCAATCCCGACAAAACATCCCTCCAATCCCTGCCTATGAAACATCCCCCCAATCCCTGCCTATGAAACATCTCAACAATCCCTGATTATGAGACATCCAAACTTTGCCCGATTATTAGACATTCTCTTAATCCCTATTTTTCTTACCTTTGTTTTGCTGTGCACGTGCCTGTACTGACTGTTTCCAGGCCTCTGTGCGCTGTTGTTGGTATGACGTGTTGTAAGCGTTTTCAGCGAGTGATGGTCTGATGGGGTGAGCCACAATGTACCTATAAGCATCCACAGCACTAAATGGCCTCGCCCTCGCAGTTGCCACTTTCTTCCTGAAATTTGCAAACAGGAATTTTGTTATTATTGTATTGGGTATCTGTAGGAAATGATTTTTTATTTCCACATAAATCTATAAAAGTGTGCCATAAAGGCAACAACAATTGTTATATATATATATATTAAGAGATTTTATTTAAAATCCTGTTGTAATTGAGATGGGAAGTGTTCTCTATTATGAAAAACACTTTTCCCTTTTAAAATGGAGTTATAAAGGAACCTATTTTCTCTGTATGTTGATCATCTACCCTCGTAATCCTAAACACTATTTTGACATAATTTTATTTCAGCACTTCACATGCTCAAAATATTACACTAAAAATTATTGTGCTTTGTGTGGTTTTGATATGCTGTTTATATAACAATTATTATGGAAGTGTGAATTCATCAACCCGTTAAATTGCCAAAAACTGACAATATACTAAAACATGATTCAAAACAAGAGGGCCATGGCCCATAAAAGTCATCTGACAATCGACGAATGGGTAGACAAACTTCACAATTTTTCTAACAAATCTGATGAATTTAAATTCTGAATATTCATTGAAAGTATAAAAAATTCAAAGATGGTAGGTTTTGTTCATGAAAAATAGTTTAACAATCATGTGACAAAATGGTTACTGTGGTTACCATGTTGAAGTTTTAATCAGTCAACAACAAATCATCATAGAGATTGAATCAACTTTATGAAATATCAAATGGTGTGATTTGAACAGCCCATAACTTGATGGTACTAAACTTCTCACATACCAGTCAAAATCCTCCCATCTTTCTAAAGTGAGTGATTCTTTAATAGCTACTTATATGATATGAAATAAATTGCCTTACCCAGCAAACGGTCCGAACCTTGGAGAGGGGTGATGGCGTGCAGAGGATCGGTACCCTTTAGGAGTGGCTTGGGATGCGTCACTGGAATGTGTGGTGTCCAGGGAGGTGTCTCCTGGAATGGACAACTGGAGCTCTATGTGGTGACCAGCACTAGTATGTGGGCGTTCGCTTTGGACATGGTGGTGGCCATTATGGTGACCATTGGTCATGTGATTCTCCTTGTTCTCACTATGATCAGGAAATAAGATACCATCAAGACTAAATTCTCTCATATATATATAAAGAAAAAGCACAAGTAATACTGTTAATGGATAATCTTAATGAAATAGGATAAACACTCTGATTACAAATTATGTACTCTGATTACAAATAACATACTCTGATCAAGGTTACATACTCTGATTACAGATAACATACTCTGATCAAGGTTACATACTCTGATTACAGATAACATACTGTGATCAAGGTTACATACTCTGATTACAGATAACATACTCTGATCAAGGTTACATATAGTGATAACAATTTACATACTCTGATTACAGGTTAAATACTCTTGATTACAATTTATGTACTCTAATTACAGATTACATACTTTGATCACATGATACATTCTCTGATCACATGATACATTTTCTTGTCACATGGTACATATTCTGATCACATATCTTACTTTGTCTTTTGTCAAATTACAGTATATAATATTGATATTATACAGCAGTGAAGAAAATTATCAATTCCTGTCTCTAATTTGAATACTGAAGCCCAACTTTTAGATGAAATGAATCAGTTCCAGTGGAGAGAGGACAAGATAAAAACTTACCCTGTACCTTGTACCGGGTGAGTGTGGCCAACAGGGCGTTTCTGTAAAACAAATAACTTTGTTATTTTGTATGTTGATACAAATACAAGCTGAAATATTCTGATAACCACTCCGACAAATCACATCATAAAATATATAACCTCAGAATCTAGAATCTGTCAACGTCCAGAATAAATAACTACCAAGTTTTGGGACATCAAGAAAATTTGTTGATGTAAAAATATGGTATGTCATGTTAATGATGTATAATGAAATGATGATGATGATATATACAGTAAAATTCACACAATAATAGAGTCTGGAAACTATGCTTAGATGGCTGGTAACTGGGAATGATGATGTTCTAATACAGAAACAAGAAATTCCCAAAATCCATATATACCAGTGTACTTATTATTTTGATAAATGAAGCTGAGAAAAAATACAAGCATTTTTTAACTGGTCTGGAATGAAAAACCAGTGAAAGAGACAACAAAAAATCTAATACATTGCCAGCGTGTATAAAATCAAATATCCTATACATGAGTAAACATGAATACAACAGTCATAACACTTCCATTATTGGAATATTTCCAATTTATTCTTCGAGTCAAGAATTCTTATCTAAAATCTTTTCTTTCAAAGACAATAAGACATGATTTTTTTCCTGGCTAGTAGAGCTTATTTTACGTGGTGATACGTTTCTCTCACACCCAGTTTTCACCTGAGATCTGTGATGTCTACACCCTGTATTGTGTGACTGTTTGATAAGTCACAAGAGAGGCCAACACTTTAACACTACAACTGAATATTAATGTATATTTCAATTTTGATTCATTATTCATACAAATCATTCATATTTGACAACTCATGCCATTTCAAATTCTCAGTTTATATGAGCAATGCTTATAGACTGATGGCAATAACAGGATTTCTTTAAACTGCCATACAAAGAGCAATACACTAACACTGACACCATGTGCCCCGCGTACCGCTGTCAATAACTGTTAATGGCTTATACCAATACATATCTTTATGCTAACAGCCTGGCTATTTAAATTGCCTTTCCCTCATTCCCTATGGTCAACAGTTTATCTGAAATTCATCAATTAGTTTTTAACTATAAAACCCTTAGCTTCAGTCTTTTATCAAATGAAATTTGTGAATATGAAAAATAATCTGCAAGTCGGCACCAGGCATCCAGGAATATCTAAAGTCTAATGCTGAATCTGGAGACAAAGTACAGACAAAATGAAAGATGAGGTTAACAATAAACATTTCTGTTTGTAAAGCCATCAGCTGACTAAGCTTGTGTATAACAAATCCTGGTTATATTGATCAATATCACAATAATCAACAAGATGTCAAACACGATTACCACTACGATTACCACAACTTGAGAAGGGGTCAGTGAAGGTCCTGCTTGACCAGAGGGTGACCTTAAACTGATGCCAGTGCAGCTGGACCACCAGGTATTAACTACATTGGAAAATTAGATTAAGATTGTAGAGGTAAGAAGTCCACTGGACTGACTGGTGCAGTGGAGTGGCACCAGGCCCATAGGGCCATCACTTATCCTAACACAGCCAGGCTTATGTAAACAACAGTCATGTTTGTTTTACATACCACTAAAACTCTGTGTACACTTAACAAGCGACATGAGACATCAAGTGTGCAAGACAAGTTTACTTTTCAAAATTTGAGGATAAGGTAAAAGTCGACCATGCAGACAAGCTTGTGATACAGTCAGTCTTATAGACTCTTTAAGTTTGCTTTACCATTACAAACTGCTTGTCCATCAATGGCATTTACAACAGACACTTACTCTTTCAATTAAATCTATTGGAAATTGTCCAGCAGAAAAAGGATTTCTTGCTTCAAAGGACACACCCACATGTATTAAGACAAAATCAAACTTAGCCAATAATTATTCCTAACCACAGGTAAAAGGAGACAGGAGTCAACAGCGACCACCTTGTTCCCCCGTAGGAAATTTAATGTTAAATTGATAGGTGATATGAGAAGTCAAACACTATTAGGTATAACGCATAGCGCTGCCTATCATAACGTGCAGAGATATGATCTAAACGGCTGTAAAAAATTACACGATTGGACCTGGATAGTTATTCCAATGAGACGGGACAAAGGGAGGTTTGTGTCCATGTTGAATTCCAACTGTTACTGCAGATGACCAGGCCGTTGGGAGTTGTACAGGTGGATATAGGTAAAGTTAGGGCTGTGTGGATTACCCGACTAGAACGAGTACAATCACCCACAGGTAAAAGCACTTGAGGAGAAAGTTATTACACTTGGAAATTGATTTGCAAGGAAAGTGACAGGTTATTGACTGTTGACAAACACACCTAATCCCTTGTTGTACTTAGGTGGGAAAATAGCAACTGTCTCCCTCCTCAGACGTCAGTTACATACCAACACACTCAACCAACAATACACATCATGGCTCCTTATCATTCTACTTAGTGGACTGGTGCAATGTATAATCAGAGAATTACATTTTGACATATTCCTGTTTAATTTTGTGGTCATGTAAGTGTGGGACAAGTTGTACGTCACTGTACTGCTCAACTTTTAAATTGCTGTGAAAATTATTCAGATATATTCTTGTATGTGTTTTTCAAAAGTGGCAAGATGTGAATACGTAAGAATCATAATCCCAGCAAAAACAGGATAAGGTATATATAAGACTGCGGATGACTATTGTTGAAGTGTTTTCTATAATACTGGATTTACTGGTCAGTCGAGGATAACAAGCAAAAATTGTTGAGGATTTAAGAGTAGACCAAAGTTTGCGATGATATACAGCCCTGTATGAAGTGTCCTAATCGCTGGTTTACTAGGAAGATCTAAGACAGGCAGGTAGATACCTACAAGTACCTCTCCAGAAAACCATAACGACTTATCCATAAAACAAGCTGCTTCAGTGCCAGCTATAAACATTTGGATTGAGAGTCTACAGCCCTTACCAACCATAGTCTCTATTCGAGATTCACAACAGACTGGTTACATTGGTACATACTGAGACCTGTCTTCTTAATGAATGTAGAAAGGGACGTGTTTCTAAAGAGGATAACAGAAAAGTACCATCCAGTGATTACACAAGTGTGGTATCTAATGAACAGTATTGAATATATTTAATGAATTTCATACAAGTGTATAGGATTCATGACTCTACGAATGCCATTATAATGTTCTTTTTATAATGTTCTGACTTAAATAATTTGTATCTTTTCACAAAATGAGTAGCAAAAGTTTGTGAATGAATTTCTAAAGTTTAAAAGTTTTGTGGATTATGACCTACCTAATGAAGAACTACGCAGAGCTAGAGGCCGGTTCTGAGGCCTTGGTCAAGGCCATAGTTCTTGGTGATGAAGATGAGATAGTTAATATAATGAATAAGTATGACCAATTCTGCCCAGAAATATTTACAACCATCACGTCTGAAGGTACCACAGCTCTCCACTGTGTGGCCCAACGTGTTCGACCACAGATTCTACGTATCATGTTGGAGCTAGGAGTGGATATCAACAGTCGAGACAATGATGGTGAGACACCACTACTCAAATCTATCCTCTACAACAATCTAGCCACATCCAAGATACTCATAGACCACGGAGCTGATGTCAACGAGACTGTGTGCCATAAAAGTGGCAACACTTTGCTACATAAACTTATCATGGGTGACCGATTCAAGGCTGTAGAAATGGTGGTAGAACGAGGAGCAGCCATTAATGCTGGCGATAAGACTGGACGATCCTCATTCCATATGTCTTTACTGAAGAACAATTTGAAGATGACATCTTTTCTAATTGAAAGGGGTGCAGATGTAAATTCAAGTGACAATTCCGGCAGAAATGCTCTCCATATGACCATTGGATATAAACACCCAGATCTCACCAAATTACTTATTTCAAAGAATGCGGATGTGAGTAGTAAGGATCGCACAGGGACTACACCACTACATTTGTCAGTGTCAGAGGGCTACCTGGATGTAGTTAAACTGATTCTGCGTAGGAGCCAAGCCAATGTCAACACTAAGGAAAAGTTAATGGGACGAACACCCCTCCACATGGCCTGTGCAATTAGTCATTTCCCGATAACTAGGATACTAATAGACAATGGTGCAGATGTAAACCTTACAACAACATTTCGTAAATCTGCCTTACACCTCGCTACAACAAACGGTTCATCTGATATAACATCTCTCCTACTGAAGCATGCTGCTAACGTTAACATGCTGACTATAGGGAACAAGACACCCTTACACAATGCTATAGACTCAGGAAATATTAGTGTGACAAGCCTACTACTTCAATATGGTGCTAACATTAACCTTCGTGATCTCCAGGGGTCAACACCCCTCCATTATTCGGCACGAACAGGAAACACAGACTGTATGCGTCTGCTGCTTCGGTGTGGTGTTAATATTAATAGTTATGACAACAAGCAGAGGACGGCTCTTCACACAGCCATCATCCATGGTCACAGAAATGCAGCAATGTGCCTTATACAAGGTGGTATCAACATAGCAACGGTAGATGAGGACAATAAAGTGGCTACCGATTATGACAAATCAGGAGAAGTAAAAACTCTAGTAGCAAAAATGTATGCTGACTGAATTGTGTTAGATTCCTAGTAATTAACTGCAAAAAAACCTTCTAACATGTTTGTAGATAGATTGGTAGCAATTCTATTGTACATTTTTCCAGAAATCTGTGAATGACAATGAAAAAAGTTAGTTTCCTTGAGAATTAACGTTAAAATCGCAAAAATTTAACAAAACTCATTATACCTTATAATCAATATCAAAAGTTTGCAGCAATCCCTCAGCTAATCACTGAGTAGTTAGTTAAAGCTCATCACTAATTAATCATCAGCCAATCGCTCTTTAGTCAATAGATACTACTTTGCATAATCACTAGCTAGTGCCTAGCTAGTAGAGGGGAAATTAGCCGTTAATCATTCATCATAAAACAATCACTAGAGTATACACACCTATTTCCTAATAACATAAATCAGACCTAGATGCCTTTGTCCTAAATACTGATCTTTTTCCTATGTTTTTGAAGCAAATTTTAGTTGAAACATATGTGTACAAATCTGTGATATTTAAATATAGTGTGAAAAATCAGGTCACTTTTATTTATTGTTCACACACTTCAATTAAATCTGAAAAAAAATAACATTTTCTTGTTCTTCTTTTAGTAAAGGCTACTATATTAACACCACCTAGTGGTAAAATGTTGAACTTCAACACCACCTAGTGGTAAAACTGAACTACAACACCACCTAGTGGTAAAATGTTGAACTTCAACACCAACTGGTAGTAAAATATTGAGATTCAACACTATCTAGTGGTAAAATGTACAGATTCATCATCTCCTTGTGTTAAAATGTACAGATTCATCATCTCCTTGTGGTAAAATGTACAGATTCATCATCTCCTTGTGGTAAAATGTTATCATCTCCTTGTGGTAAAATGTACAGATTCATCATCTCCTTGTGGTGAAATGCACAGATTCATCATCTCCTTGTGGTAAAATGTACAGATTCATCATCTCCTTGTGGTAAAATGTACAGATTCATCATCTCCTTGTGGTAAAATGTACAGATTCATCATCTCCTTGTGATGAAATGTACAGATTCATCATCTCCTTGTGGTAAAATGTACAGATTCATCAACTCCTCATGGAGAATTATACTTGTTTAACACCACCTTTTGACTTTATGGCCTCAAGTGATTAAGAGTTTGGATAGACACATCAGTATAAACAGTCAAACAGACCTAACGAAAAAAATTCTTTATAACCTTTTATTAAGTCAGGGATATAATTATCAAAGCTATGAAATGTTTAGACTTAGATTAGATTTGAAAACATTTTTGTAGACAGATAAGTTCACACTAATGTGTACACACCCAGTGTCATGAGAACATGTAAATCAATCATTCGAAAGAGTAGTTTTATAGATCATCACTAAGGAAGCTTCAACCATGCTTAACAACCATAACATAATCCATCTCATTTTCTCTTCACTTAAGTGCTGGTTTTAAATTCTGTTTGAATATACCTGTATGTAATCAATGAAGCATTATGGGATGGAGCATATTCATACCAAAATTGACAATCTAAACCCCCTTATCCTGAACAAAATACTGATAACATAGCACCCAGTGGTTAATTAGTTAAAACAACTCAAGATCTTTATAATAAATTATCACTTAAAGTTGTCACTACATATCAGTCTAAAACATGTTTTTTTTCTAATCTGAAAGAAAACTGTTTTTAAAAACATGCTGTCCTTTGTGTGTTATCTCTTAGGACAGGTTCTACTGTAGACATGTGTCTTATCTTAAGGACAGGTTTTACTAAGACAACACATGTGTCTTATCTTTTAGGACAGATTCTACTGTTGGCAACAAGGGTGTAATCTCTTAGGACAGTCTCTACTGTTGTAAACTGACGTCTATATATATATTATCAAAAGTTTTACGACTGACAGGATTTTATTAATCTCTTAGAACAAGAACTACTAAAAAGAGGCATGAGTCTTAAATATTTAAGGACATGTTCTACGATAGACAACAGGTGTCCTTGATTATCACTATTGACTCTATGTATCTTATGCCTCTGAACAAGTTCTGCTGTTGACAACATGTGAAACTACTTAAGACGTTACACATTTTTTTTGGTGTGGCAGTTTTACATGCACTCTTTTCTCTCAATTCTCAATATCAATACGTTATATTTCTGAGGACTGTCAGGCCCAGATAGCATGTAAAGCTGTATCTGATGAAATATATAACCCAAGTCAGTTAAACATAAAATATAGGTCACAGTGACCTACATATCACCTCATGGTGTAGTATTCCTGAGGAAATGTGCATTTTACACAATGTAATTTAAGCTAAATGCAATATCAAGCAATTAAGTGGAATAATATATGTCAATCACCAACATGTCACATCGTTTAGCTTGTTGATGTTTTTAGATCAATAAATTTTATTAAGACATTGGCCTGATAATTATGGAGATAAACATGGAACAGACACAAACGATACACATTAAATGTCCATGTCAGATTAGTTAAGGTGAAAACATTAGTCTCACTAATATAGAGGAGTTTGTCAGAATGACTACGGTAAAAGACTCTGACACTACCTGTTTGGTTACACAACTTGATTCAACACATCAAAGCACAGCTTATTATGCTATGGATATCATCATGTTCTTTCATAAAAATTCCATTAAAGAAGAGGACATTGATTTCTACCCAAAGTTATAAGGAGTAGCTCATGAATATTCTATTAATCATTAAACACAAGCTTTTTATAAGTTGTCTACAGATTTATCACTGATATACATATCACCAACAATAAAGAAAACAGCGACCAAATTGTGAAAGCTCTGATGAAATACCAGAATTGTTATTCATTGGTATACAAATGATATCACATGATTATGAACAGTTCTATATCAGAAAATTTACACGATACCCATTCAAATGAACTTCTTCAGGTCAGATTTTACAAAAATAAATCATTCTTCATGTCAGGAGCCGTTATACTACATGTCCAAAGGGAAAAATTCAGCTAAGTTAGGTTTACCATGCATCAAAAGGAGATTTATCTTTTCAGTACATGTAGAACAATTTGCTGAACAAGTTTTCCTTCACAAGCTAACCTTGATAGCATAAATATATCAGAGTAACAGGTAAGTTTACCCTGGTAAAGTGTGACTGTACACTTAATATGCTTAGCAGAGGTATAACTTCTCTGTAACCTTAACATACCTAGAGGAGGTATAACTTCTCTGTAACCTATACATACCTAGAGAGGTATAACTTCTCTGTAACCTATACATACCTAGAGAGGTATAACTTCTCTGTAACCTGTACATACCTAGAGAGGTATAACTTCTCTGTAACCTATACATACCTAGAGGAGGTATAACTTCTCTGTAACCTGACATACCTAGAGAGGTATAACTTCTCTGTAACCTGTACATACATACCTAGAGGAGGTATAACTTCTCTGTAACCTGTACATACCTAGAGGAGGTATAACTTCTCTGTAACCTGTACATACCTAGAGGAGGTATAACTTCTCTGTAACCTGTACATACCTAGAGGAGGTATAACTTCTCTGTAACCTATACATACCTAGAGGAGGTATAACTTCTCTGTAACCTGTACATACCTAGAGGAGGTATAACTTCTCTGTAACCTGTACATACCTAGAGAGGTATAACTTCTCTGTAACCTGTACATACCTAGAGGAGGTATAACTTCTCTGTAACCTATACATACCTAGAGGAGGTATAACTTCTCTGTAACCTATACATACCTAGAGGAGGTATAACTTCTCTGTAACCTATACATACCTAGAGGAGGTATAACTTCTCTGTAACCTATACATACCTAGAGGAGGTATAACTTCTCTGTAACCTATACATACCTAGAGGAGGTATAACTTCTCTGTAACCTGTACATACCTAGAGGAGGTATAACTTCTCTGTAACCTATACATACCTAGAGGAGTAACCTGTATAACTTCTCTGTAACCTCTGTACATACCTAGAGAGGTATAACTTCTCTGTAACCTGTACATACCTAGAGGAGGTATAACTTCTCTGTAACCAACACATACCTAGAGGAGGTATAACTTCTCTGTAACCTATACATACCTAGAGGAGGTATAACTTCTCTGTAACCTATACATACCTAGAGGAGGTATAACTTCTCTGTAACCTATACGTACATACCTAGAGAGGTATAACTTCTCTGTAACCTATACATACCTAGAGAGGTATAACTTCTCTGTAACCTGTACATACCTAGAGAGGTATAACTTCTCTGTAACCTGTACATACCTAGAGAGGTATAACTTCTCTGTAACCTATACATACCTAGAGAGGTATAACTTCTCTGTAACCTATACATACCTAGAGAGGTATAACTTCTCTGTAACCTGTACATACCTAGAGGAGGTATAACTTCTCTGTAACCTATACATACCTAGAGGAGGTATAACTTCTCTGTAACCTATACATACCTAGAGAGGTATAACTTCTCTGTAACCTATACATACCTAGAGAGGTATAACTTCTCTGTAACCTGTACATACCAAGAGGAGGGTTAACTTCTCTGTAACCTGTACATACCTAGAGAGGTATAACTTCTCTGTAACCTGTACATACCTAGAGAGGTATAACTTCTCTGTAACCTGTACATACCTAGAGGAGGTATAACTTCTCTGTAACCTGTACATACCTAGAGGAGGTATAACTTCTCTGTAACCTGTACATACCTAGAGGAGGTATAACTTCTCTGTAACCTATACATACCTAGAGGAGGTATAACTTCTCTGTAACCTGTACATACCTAGAGGAGGTATAACTTCTCTGTAACCTAAACATACCTTTAGAGGTATAACTTCTCTGTAATCTTTACATACCTCGTTGTGGTTTAAATTCTCTTTATCCTACTCATACCTAGAGGAGGTATAACTTCTCTGTAACCTACCTAGTACACTACCTAGAGGAGGGAGGTATAACTTCTCTGTAACCTGTACATACCTAGAGAGGTATAACTTCTCTGTAACCTGTACATACCTAGAGAGGTATAACTTCTCTGTAACCTGTACATACCTAGAGAGGTATAACTTCTCTGTAACCTGTACATACCTAGAGGAGGTATAACTTCTCTGTAACCAACACATACCTAGAGGAGGTATAACTTCTCTGTAACTTCTTCTCTGTAACCTGTACATACCTAGAGGAGGTATAACTTCTCTGTAACCAACACATACCTAGAGGAGGTATAACTTCTCTGTAACCTATACATACCTAGAGAGGTATAACTTCTCTGTAATCTGTACATACCTAGAGGAGGTATAACTTCTCTGTAACCAACACATACCTAGAGGAGGGTTAACTTCTCTGTAACCTGTACATACCTAGAGAGGTATAACTTCTCTGTAACCTGTACATACCTAGAGGAGGTATAACTTCTCTGTAACCTGTACATACCTAGAGGAGGTATAACTTCTCTGTAACCTGTACATACCTAGAGAGGTATAACTTCTCTGTAACCTATACATACCTAGAGAGGTATAACTTCTCTGTAACCTGTACATACCTAGAGGAGGTATAACTTCTCTGTAACCTGTACATACCTAGAGAGGTATAACTTCTCTGTAACCTATACATACCTAGAGAGGTATAACTTCTCTGTAACCTATACATACCTAGAGAGGTATAACTTCTCTGTAACCTATACATACCTAGAGGAGGTATAACTTCTCTGTAACCTGTACATACCTAGAGGAGGGTTAACTTCTCTGTAACCTGTACATACCTAGAGGAGGTATAACTTCTCTGTAACCTATACATACCTAGAGGAGGGTTAACTTCTCTGTAACCTGTACATACCTAGAGAGGTATAACTTCTCTGTAACCTATACATACCTAGAGAGGTATAACTTCTCTGTAACCTGTACATACCTAGAGGAGGTATAACTTCTCTGTAACCTATACATACCTAGAGAGGTATAACTTCTCTGTAACCTATACATACCTAGAGGAGGTATAACTTCTCTGTAACCTGTACATACCTAGAGAGGTATAACTTCTCTGTAACCTGTACATACCTAGAGAGGTATAACTTCTCTAACCTGTACATACCTAGAGGAGGTAACTTCTGTACATACCTAGAGAGGTATAACTTCTCTGTAACCTATACATACCTAGAGAGGTATAACTTCTCTGTAACCTATACATACCTAGAGAGGTATAACTTCTCTGTAACCTATACATACCTAGAGAGGTATAACTTCTCTGTAACCTATACATACCTAGAGGAGGTATAACTTCTCTGTAACCTGTACATACCTAGAGGAGGTATAACTTCTCTGTAACCTATACATACCTAGAGAGGTATAACTTCTCTGTAACCTGTACATACCTAGAGGAGGTATAACTTCTCTGTAACCAACACATACCTAGAGGAGGTATAACTTCTCTGTAACCTATACATACCTAGAGAGGTATAACTTCTCTGTAACATGTACATACCTAGAGAGGTATAACTTCTCTGTAACCTACCTAGAGAGGTATAACTTCTCTGTAACCTATACATACCAAGAGAGGTATAACTTCTCTGTAACCTATACATACCTAGAGAGGTATAACTTCTCTGTAACCTATACATACCTAGAGGAGGGTTAACTTCTCTGTAACCTATACATACCTAGAGTGGTATAACTTCTCTGTAACCTGTACATACCTAGAGGAGGGTTAACTTCTCTGTAACCTATACATACCTAGAGGAGGGTTAACTTCTCTGTAACCTATACATACCTAGAAAGATATAACATCCCTGAAGCCTGTAAAAGGGATCCTTATTTCTTCCCACTGGAGGTATAAGTTTTCTAAAACCTACATAACCTTATAGGAATTCTTACTTCTTGGTAACCTATAGGAATTATCTGTAATTTACATCTGCCTATAGGATGTAAAACTTCCTTGTAACCTATACATGCCTGTAGGAGTTATAACCTCTTTAAAACCAAAATATTCATAGCCTATATGCCATTAAAAGGTCAGCTAATCTGTATATACCTTCAGGAGTCACCATTTCTCTCTAACCTACATAAATACATATATATCCCTACTGAGTTGTAATTTTCCCTTAATCTATAAACGCATTTGACAGTAGATTCTATTACCCAGAGTCTTTTACTTAATATAAAAAAAGCAATCGATAAAGTAGGTCGGACTAAATGAGTATTGATTTGTGTCATTGATTTCCCCTCTGGTATAGAGTCAACTGTACAATACCTGGTCAGAGAATGGTTAGTCAGCACATTGTTACGCCACACCTTGCCTTACAATACACAGTTATTAACATATCAATAAGATCCTATCTCACTAAGATTGCCCATTATATGCTGTTAGATGTAATCAGATTGATCCAACTGATACTATGGTTTCTTTTCAGGCCCTGATCAATAGTACACTGTCTAATGCACCTGCACACCTCAGTTTGTATGTAACATTTCTTACAATCAATTCTCCCCATATTAATATACATAACCTATATTACAATTATATATGGATTTTTTCAGTAACAAATTTAACTGTTAAAAGCAAATCATTGATCACATATTGTTGAGTTTGATTAAATACTACATTATCACCTTGTATAAAGACTTAATTGCCTGGTCTGTGATTCATCAAGTGAAGTTTCACTACAGCGTATCAAATAATGTAAATTACAAACCAGTTGATTAATCAGTGCTATGCTGAGATCAATCAACAGGAGCACTTTAATGGCAGTGACATTAAAAGCACAATGTAAATAAAATAAAATTATACAGTGACACATTTATAACAGAGTTTTAACCATAAAGTTTTATTTATTTTCTCAATAACTTGGGGATTTAAATTACACATATATTGTAGTTTAAAAATTTGTGTACAGTGAGATTGGTAAAGTGTAAATTGAGACTGGAACTGTGTATAGCGAGATTAGTAAAAGTGTATAGTAAAATTGGTAAAGTCTAAATTGAGAATGGCACAGTGTTATTGAAGTTGGTAGTGTATAGTGAAATTGATACAATGTATAGTGAGGTTGGTATAATGTATAGTGACTCTGATATAATGTATAGTGAGACTGGTTAAATATAGAGTGAGATTGGTATAATGTATAGTGAGATTGGTATAATGTATAGTGAGATTGGTACAATTTATAGTGAGACTGGTACAATGTATAGTGAGATTGGTTAAGTATAGAGTGAGATTGGTATAATGTATAGTGAGACTGGTACAATGTATAGTGAGACTGGTGTAATATATAGTGAGATTGGCATAATGTATAGTGAGATTGGTATAATGTATAGTGAGACTGGTATAATGTATAGTGAGAATGGTATAATGTATAGTGAGATTGGTATAATGTATAGTGAGACTGGTGTAATGTATAGTGAGACTGGTATAATGTATAGTGAGACTGGTGTAATGTATAGTGAGACTGGTGTAATGTATAGTGAGATTGGTGTAATGTATAGTGAGACTGGTGTAATGTATAGTGAGATTGGTACAGTGTATAGTGAGGTTGGTATAATGTATAGTGAGATTGGCACAGTGTAAAGTGAGATTTAGTTTACTGACTTGTCAAATGTATAGGAAGAACATAGCTAAGACAGTTCATCAGTGGAACAATAATTAAATAGTTGTCTCTTTATTAGGTCAGACTGACCAAATGACTTGTCTGAGGACACTGCTTATATCTGAAGGCCACAGACTAACAAGGTCGCAGTTGTAGAAATTCATTGAAACCGGGAGAATTCATTACCTATTGTGTCTGAGGACACTGTTTACACCTGAAGGTCACAGACTAACAATTTGACAGTAACGATGATTCATAATGTGCTCATTTATCTTTTCTTTTGAAAATACTCTGTTGTTTTGGAATTTTTGAGAGTTTGTATTTTATATCTAAATTTCAAACCTCAAAAAAATTCCTTTACGTACACTTTTTGTACTTGTACCTTTAATCAACATGCTAAGTTGTGCTTTCTAAATGTTTACACAAAATCTTCAGTGAATGATAAATCAGATTTCACCAAATGATTAATTTAAGTGTAACATACAGGAGTCTCTCTTCAGTATACCCGATGGAATGGTATTAACAAGCATCATGGTATTTCAGTTTTTACTTAACTACATAAAAGACTAAGAGACTTACCTCCCCCTTGGCCAGAGCTGCAGCTTCCATTGCACATTGTATACAGTCATGTACCCCAGGGATGCCTGTCACTCCCCCAACAGCTGTCACCACCGTGGGTGTGGCATTACCAGAAGGTTGTGGAGAGGCTGATGAATCAGGGACAGTTGGAGCTTGTGAGGGGACCTGTGAAGGGACCTGTGAAGTGGGCTGTGAAGGGGTCTGTGAAGGGGTTTGGGAACGAGTCTGCTGAGTAGTATCTGCTGCAGGCATAGCTCCAGTGTCCAGTGTAACATCAATATGAACCGGTCTCCGTGTCTTGGGCTGCCCTTCCCCTTCTTTTCCTTCAACTGTCTGGTCCATAGCTACAGGTTCTCCATCCCTCTACAAAACAGGACAAATCTCATGCTGACCATATTTAAATTAATTCAAACATTTATTATTAGAAATTGTAATACAGAATGTTAGTGTTTCCTTACAACAGAAAATACCTGGAATACACCTGACGTTCCAGGTTTGCAAATTTTTGATAATTTGCCGGTTACATATATTTATGAAGGCCTTGATATTCAAGCACTTTTATATTTGGTGTTTTCATTTTTATTTTTTGAATTGTATCAGTTTTGCTTTGATTGCAACACTCATGAAAGTAAATCACATATTCACAATCATTAACAATAACATACTTTATATACCCAGTTTATACTTTACAGTATATCCAAATTTCAGGAAATGTTTGTTGTGTGCCTGTATAAATGGATACAAATGTATAGCCATGAATGAAAAATTCAGGTTAATTAGTACGTAATCATCTCCAAGCTAAAAACCTTACAATCTTACCTGACTATCAACACCTCCAGGCCTAGCGAATTCCTGATCTCGTGAAGATAATACTCGCCGGGTAAGGTCTAATTTCAAATCCAGTTTTTCCTTGAGTAGAGAGGATACAGGTCGAGGAGTCTCCTGCATCTCCTGTTTGATAACCAAAGAATAAATGATTATGTCTCCATGACAAACAGGTAAACATAATTTTCACTTTTCAAAATTTTTAACTTCTAAGGGAAATAAATGTATACATCACATCTGTTTGGCATCATGCCAAAGCCATTTATCCTTAGGATGACTATTTAATGATAAAAACTAATGCTAGTTTCTTCTGATGACCAATTAAGAATTAGGTTATCATTATTTCTTGTCTAGATCAACTATTTTAACAAAAGCTGTGGCAACAAATTAACACCACAATAACTGGTAATTTGCCTCACAAAACTGTGATAAATCACAAAAGTTTAACTCCTGCTTACAATAAATTCCAGGATATAATTAAGTTAACAAAACCAACAGCTGACATATAGAATAGTAGATTGCAGCACCAACAACTGGAACAGTTAATTTCATGATGAAAGAGCATTGTAAAAAACAAAGTCAACAAACATATTTAAATACTAAAATCATTATTAGATGCGTAAGTTTCCTACCTGAGCTGCTTATTATTGTAAATTTATATAATATATGTAGTTTTACCTGTGTAAACCCATATATCAGTACAAGAACTGAAGTGGCTGGTGATTATAAATAATAATAAATGGTTGGTGATTATAAATAATAATAAATGGTTCGTGATTTTAAATAATAAATGGTTGGTGATTATAAATAATGATAAATGGTTGGTGATTATAAATAATAATACACTGATGTACACGTATAACTAGAGTCACAACACAAGAGTATTCTGTGATATTGATACAGATACATTGTAGTACATGTATAACTAGAGTCACAACACAAGAGTATTCTGTGATATTGATACAGATACATTGTAGTACACGTATAACTAGAGTCACAACACAAGAGTATTCTGTGATATTGATACAGATACATTGTAGTACATGTATAACTAGAGTCACAACACAAGAGTATTCTGTGATATTGATACAGATACATTGTAGTACATGTATAACTAGAGTCACAACACAAGAGTATTCTGTGATATTGATACAGATACATTGTAATGTACGTATGCTCAATAATCAGTAAACCAATGTATGTATTTTGAAGTTAAACACTTAATGTTATGGGTGTTACCAGAGTTATGTCCCTTCCTTTGTATTTTTCGTTACCTGTATTATAAAAATGTGTCTAGCTGCTTACTTTTGTGACAGCTAGGAAACTGTAAAACGCATGTGACTTAAAGAAAGCTCTACACATTATTCTGCTCTTTACTATTATCAGACAATTTCTAAACTTCATGAATAAGGATAATTACAAAAGTCATCTAAACATAAACTTGGTTGGTGAAGTGTCGTGGTCTGAAATATAACTAACATACTTGACAGTCTGACCTACATGAAACTTTGCACTGAACTGAAGTCAGGATATCAGGAATCATATGAAAAATTGTCTGTAAAGGTATTGCATTTATCTTTAAATTTAGTGAAAACAAATGAAACACAGATTGTTATTGAAATAAAAGAAAATGTCAAATTTGACCTAACAAATCACACTTTAAGATCACAATAAACTTCCTCAAATTAGAACTTAGTATTTCTAAAAGAAAAAAAATTTACAGAAAATATTTATCAAATAGCATTATTTATCAGATTTGCCAAATAATGTAAATTTAGCCACAGAAAATATCATGGTTTACCCAGTATATAACAAATCTAATTTAGTCAGCCATAGCCATTTAATAATATACAATGTCCTCTTTACCCTGAGGTGATATAGCTATTTAGCCACCTTCAATATACTTTTGAACTTGAAATGACATAGCTATTTAGCCAAACATGATGTATTTGTGAGCTTGAAATGACATAGCTATTTATACAAACAAAATGTCCTATTTAACCTGTGATGACTTTGCTATTTGGCACATGTATATTTTCCCTATGTTGAGGTGACATAGCTATTTAGCCAAACAAATGTCCTATTTAACCTGTGATGACTTAGCTATTTAGCCATGCATGTTTCCCTACACTGAGGTGACACAACTATTTAGCCACACAAATGTCCTATTTAACCTGTGATGAATTTGCTATTTAGCTGTGCATGTTTTCAATCGCTGAGGTGACACAACTATTTAGCCACACTTTTGTTCTGCCTTGTGATGACTAAGCTATTTAGCCATGCATGTTTCCCTACACTGAGATGACACAACTATTTAGCCACACAAATGTCCTGCTTAACCTGTGATGACTTAGCTATTTAGCTGTGCATGTTTTCCTTAACCTGAGGTGAAACAACTATTTAGCCACACAAATGTCCTATTTAACCTGTGATGACTTAGCTATTTAGCCGTGCATGTTTTCCCAACACTGAGGTGACACAACTATTTAGCCACACAAATGTCCTATTTAACCTGTGATGACTAAGCTATTTAGCTGTGCATGTTTCCCTATGCTGAGGTGACACAACTATTTAGCCACACAAATGTCCTATTTAACCTGTGATGACTTAGCTAGTTAGCCATGCATGTTTCCCTATGCTGAGGTGACACAACTATTTAGCCACACAAATGTCCTATTTAACCTGTGATGACTTAGCTATTTAGCCATGCATGTTTCCCTATGCTGAGGTGACACAACTATTTAGCCACACAAATGTCCTATTTAACCTGTGATGACTTAGCTATTTAGCCGTGCATGTTTCCCTACGCTGAGATGACACAACTATTTAGCCACACAAATGTACTATCTAACCTGTGATGACTTAGCTATTTAGCCGTGCATGTTTCCCTACGTTGAGATGACACAACTATTTAGCCACACTTTTGTTCTGCCCTGTGATGACTTAGCTATAAAGCCATCACACTTACCCAGGGTATGGTATATCTATTGTGGTGAAACAGTCGATCAGGTAGTATACCCATGATAAGCTACAATTCATTTACAAAATAATAACTTGAGAACACAAAAAGCAATGATTTGAATCAGTTCATCAGAATACAAAGTTATAACAAAGAAATCACTTTAACAGAAACACTGTAATTACAGAAGTCACTCCTCTGATTAGGCTCTGAATAACTAAAGAAACAAAATGAAAGTGTCTAAGTATACCATTCCATTTTTCGGTTATGTACCCCTAAAAACCCTGTAATGTGTGCAACTACATAACTTACACAGGTATATCTGAGGCTGAAAATACACTTCTACTAATACTACACATTCACCTTGTCAATTAACCTAGATTTATTTATTTTGCACACACAAACACTTGTCTTCATACTTATCAACATTGTTCGGTGTTTGAAGTAATTATCTACCTATTAATGACCAAATCAGGTAATTATGATCTTCACAAGTCAAGTTTTCTTTCATATTTCAATATCATATCCAGTGAATATGATGTATTGCATGTGATTGACATACAGATCACGGAATGCAGGCATGTGTGTTTCATGACACATTTTGTTACGATAAGGCTATCCCTATCTATTTTAATGAATATATAAATGTCAGACTCGGATATGCTTTGTAAATACCAATGATGCTGGTTATAATAAATCTATAGTATCAATTGACACTCTGCATACTAATATATCAACACACACTCCTGAATACACAAGACATGTGCTCATGGTTCAATCGCTGTGATATAAAATGCGAAGGATGATAACATGAAACCTTTCATTCTTTAACATTTTGAACAAGTTTTTTAAAAGAGAGTCATATTATAATAAATATATTTTTCACTGTCCCAAACAGGCCACTGTTTTTACTGCCCCACCCCCTTTTCCCCCACCACAACCCCTCCAATCACACTTCTGAACCTTTAATTCCTCATGAAAACTGCACACATTACACGGGTGGGTTTCACTTTTTATCTTTACATATGATTAATTGTATTTTGCATCTGATGGGCCTTTGACCTAAGGAAATAAGACAGAACTTCTAGGGTCCATTAAGTGGGAAGTGTTGTGAGTGTGTTCTTAGCTGGATCAGGGTGCTACTTCATGTCATAGAGGGGTAGGGGTTAGGGATTAGGCATGGTGAGTGTGTACCTATCTTGGGTCAGGGTGCCTTCCCAGGTGTACTAGTGGGGTGGTGAAGCGAGTGTGTATTCAGCTGGGTTAGGGTGCTTTTCACTGTAGTAGATTGTACCTACCTTGGGTCTGTGTGCCTTCTCCGGTGTAGTAGGGGGGTGGCGTGGTGAGTATACGAGGGGAGCTTCCTGTCCCGGTCCAGGAGTAGGAGTGTTCCAGTTGGGTGAATTTGGTCGGACAGTGTTGTCATCCATATTGGCCTTGCGTTCTAGGTCCTTTTGAAGGTCCTCAACATTATGCATTGTCAGCCTGTTTACATGTATATTACTTCTTATAAGAGTCTGCACATCAGAGAGAAATTTCAACTCACAGCATTACCTGTTTACATAATGTGTAACTGAAACAACTCCAATACTACACCAATATACTTGGTCAAGTTTCTCATAAAAACAACGAATACAATACATCATACCAGGCCACCACAATGTCTAATGGGACAAATACATTCATGAACACAACAGTAAACATTTCTACCAAATTTACACTAATATCTCAGTATATCAAAACTAGACTTTTTTGAAAGAAATTTTACATGTATATCATTTATCACAAACAAATGTCACACAAACTAAACCATCAGGATGAAATAGAAAGCTAATTATAGCGTCAGTTCTTTCTCCATTCTCTAATTACAGTCTATATCTCCATAAATGAACAACTGGAAGAAAAAAATTAAAACAATACATTATCATTTTTTAAGGCATTCCTGTGAAAAACATGTTCAAACTGACTTTGATAGTTTATATAACATGCAATAAAATCTAATCTAACATAAAGAAAGGTAGCGTTACTTCCCTTAAACATTACAAGATACACCAGGAAACAGTAAATGAATTTAAGGTTATGACAGCACATAGTACATATAAAGTAGGAGGAAACAAAGGTTTACACAGTAGGTATACAGTAAGAAATTATCAAAAGCAGAAACTAGGAGGAACAATTACATGCACTTATGTGATTTAATGATCAATACAAACTACAGGTAAGTCAATGTGATTTATATAGGGTGTGGCACTAGACATTATAGGTATTGGCACTAGACATTACAGGTAAGGTTGGGTTATACTTAGTCAAGGTGAGTTATATAGGGTGTGGCACTAGACATTACAGGTAAGGTTGGGTCATACTTAGTCAAGGTGAGTTATATAGGGTGTGGCACTAGACATTACAGGTAGTGGCACTAGACATTACAGGTAAGGTTGGGTTATACTTAGTCATGGTGAGTTATATACGGTGTGGCACTAGACATTACAGGTAAGGTTGGGTCATACTTAGTCAAGGTTAGTTATATTGGGTGTGGCACTAGACATTACAGGTAACGTTGGGTTATACTTAGTCAAGGTTAGTTATATTGGGTGTGGCACTAGACATTACAGGTAAGGTTGGGTCATACTTAGTCATGGTGAGTTATATACGGTGTGGCACTAGACATTACAGGTAAGGTTGGGTCATACTTAGTCAAGGTTAGTTATATTGGGTGTGGCACTAGACATTACAGGTAACGTTGGGTTATACTTAGTCATGGTGAGTTATATACGGTGTGGCACTAGACATTACAGGTAAGGTTGGGTCATACTTAGTCAAGGTTAGTTATATTGGGTGTGGCACTAGACATTACAGGTAACGTTGGGTTATACTTAGTCATGGTGAGTTATATACGGTGTGGCACTAGACATTACAGGTAAGGTTGGTTCATACTTAGTCAAGGTTAGTTATATTGGGTGTGGCACTAGACATTACAGGTAACGTTGGGTTATACTTAGTCATGGTGAGTTATATACGGTGTGGCACTAGACATTACAGGTAGTGGTACTAGACATTACAGGTAAGGTTGGGTTATACTTAGTCATGGTGAGTTATAGACGGTGTGGCACTAGACATTACAAGTAGTGGTACTAGACATTATAGGTAAGGTTGGGTTATACTTAGTCATGGTGAGTTATATACGGTGTGGCACTAGACATTACAGGTAGTGGTACTAGACATTACAGGTAAGGTTGGGTCATACTTAGTCAAGGTTAGTTATATTGGGTGTGCCACTAGACATTACAGGTAACGTTGGGTTATACTTAGTCATGGTGAGTTATATACGGTGTGGCACTAGACATTACAGGTAGTGGTACTAGACATTACAGGTAAGGTTGGGTCATACTTAGTCAAGGTTAGTTATATTGGGTGTGGCACTAGACATTACAGGTAACGTTGGGTTATACTTAGTCATGGTGAGTTATATACGGTGTGGCACTAGACATTACAGGTAAGGTTGGGTCATACTTAGTCAAGGTTAGTTATATTGGGTGTGGCACTAGACATTACAGGTAACGTTGGGTTATACTTAGTCATGGTGAGTTATATACGGTGTGGCACTAGACATTACAGGTAAGGTTGGGTCATACTTAGTCAAGGTTAGTTATATTGGGTGTGGCACTAGACATTACAGGTAACGTTGGGTTATACTTAGTCATGGTGAGTTATATACGGTGTGGCACTAGACATTACAGGTAGTGGTACTAGACATTACAGGTAAAGTTGGGTTATACTTAGTCATGGTGAGTTATATACGGTGTGGCACTAGACATTACAGGTAGTGGTACTAGACATTACAGGTAAGGTTGGGTTATACTTAGTCAAGGTGAGTTATAGACGGTGTGGCACTAGACATTACAGGTAAGGTTGGGTTATACTTAGTCATGGTGAGTTATATACGGTGTGGCACTAGACATTACAGGTAAGGTTGGGTTATACTTAGTCAAGGCGAGTTATATAGGGCGTGGCACTAGACATTACAGGTAAGGTTAGAAAGGCCATTCAAAGTTAAGGAGAGTTATAGGGGTTGTGGTACTAGATATTAAAAGTAAGGTTGGGTCATATCTAGTCAATGGGAGTTATATAGGGTTGGTATTAAATACTACAGGTAAGGTTAGACCCCACCTAGTCAAGGTGAGTTATATAGGGTTGGTATTAAATACTACAGGTAAGGTTAGACCCCACCTAGTCAAGGTGAGTTATATAGGGTTGGTATTGAATACTACAGGTAAGGTTTGACCCCACCTAGTCAAGGTGAGTTATATAGGGTTGGTATTAAATACTACAGGTAAGGTTAGATCCCACCTAGTCAAGGTGAGTTATATAGGGTTGGTATTAAATACTACGGGTAAGGTTAGACCCCACCTAGTTAAGGTGAGTTATGTAGGGTTGGTATTAAATACTACAGGTAAGGTTAGACCCCACCTAGTCAAGATGAGTTATATAGGGTTGGTATTAAATACTACAGGTAAGGTTAGACCCCACCTAGTTAAGGTGAGTTATGTAGGGTTGGTATTAAATACTACGGGTAAGGTTAGACCCCACCTAGTTAAGGTGAGTTATGTAGGGTTGGTATTAAATACTACAAGTAAGGTTAGACCCCACCTAGTTAAGGTGAGTTATGTAGGGTTGGTATGAAATACTACAGGTAAGGTTAGACCCCACCTAGTCAAGGTGAGTTATATAGGGTTGGTATTAAATACTACGGGTAAGGTTAGACCCCACCTAGTTAAGGTGAGTTATGTAGGGTTGGTATTAAATACTACAGGTAAGGTTAGACCCCACCTAGTTAAGGTGAGTTATGTAGGGTTTGGTACTAAACACTACAGGTAAGGCTACAACCTCCCTAGTTAAGGGTACCTGTTAGGAAACTTATGATTGGCAAGGAATTCCTTGAGGAGGCTGAAACAAGAAAAAGCAATCACTCCATAATGTCGCTCACAATTATAGATAATATCAACCTGGCTTGTTAACCCAAAAAACCTTATCAACACAAACAATCAACAATCCTTTGGTTTACATCTCTAAAGCACCACTGGTATTATATGTTAAGCTCATTATGACCGTTACCATTTTAACTTCCCTCTATTTGATATTGTTGTTGAGTAATAAACCCACCAATATCTATTACATTTCTGTAGACTTACCTAACAAATAAATTTCACTGTCCTGTAATAAGACCACCCATTTCTATTGCTGTTCTGTAGGTGTACTAAACAAATACTATTCTTTGTTCAGCCATAAGACTACCCTCAAATATGGAGTCAGTGGCATTATGTTTTGGCCCCATTGGCTTAATTCAGGACTTCTTTGTTAGTAAAATAAGTGTAAAAAGTAAAGATATAATGGCTAACATGATTGATGTCAATGTCTTAATTATAAAGAGTAATCCAGAACTTTTCACCATGTAACAAGGCTATATGATACATCAGGCCTGAAGTCACAGCAGACTGGCAAACCTATACAGTCAGAGTGTTCCTATGTCAGTGTCCATATTTTTGTCCCCTAGTAAGTGTTCCTATGGCAGTGCCCATATTTCTGTCCCCTAGTGACTGTTTCTATGGCTGTGCCCATATTTCTGTTCCCTAGTAACTGTTCCTATGGCAATGCCCATATTTCTGTTCCCCAGTAACTGTTTCTATGGCTGTTCCCATATTTCTGTTCCCCAATAACTGTTTCTATGGCTGTTCCCATATTTCTGTTCCCTAGTAACTGTTCCTATGGCAATGCCCATATTTCTGTCCCCTATTAACTATTTCTGTCCCCTAGTAACTGTTTCTATGGCTGTGCCCATATTTCTTTCCCCTAGTGAGTGTTCCTATGTCAGTTCCCATATTTCTGTCCCCTAGTAAGTGTTCCTATAATAATGCCCCTATTTCCCTCCCCTAGTATGTGTTCCTTTGGTGTTGCCCATATTTCTGTCCCCTATTAACTATTTCTGTCCCCTAGTAACTGTTCCTATGGCAATGCCCATATTTCTGTCCCCTATTAACTATTTCTGTCCCCTAGTAACTGTTTCTATGGCTGTGCCCATATTTCTTTCCCCTAGTGAGTGTTCCTATGTCAGTTCCCATATTTCTGTCCCCTAGTAAGTGTTCCTATAATAATGCCCCTATTTCCCTCCCCTAGTATGTGTTCCTTTGGTGTTGCCCATATTTCTGTCACTTGTGATACTTAATGTGAAACAAGCAAGCAGTAGAAGCTCAAAAGATTCAGTATCATATCACACAACTTCAAATCACAAATTATCTGACATCGTAAATGTCCACACTGACCCATAACCATTACTTTCTCTTAAGAAACATTAATTCCACTCTACAGTCACTTTCTAAAACACCTCTAGTAAAAATCACATATTTTCAACATAAAAATATTAGTTTGTTAAAATAGATAAACAAACATCAATCACTTCAATATTGTACCTTTCATCAAAGTGCATAACACTGAAACATGGAGATTGCACTTGTAGCCTTGAATTGTTCATATTCAAAAGTGACAACAATTGAGTAAATGTGAGTTAATCTGTTCTCACAATGTTGGTAAACATGAGTCAATATTTCCCTGTACAATATACATATATCATGGGTCAATCTTTACTCAAACTGCAGGTAAAGATGAGTCAATCAATATATAATGTCAATTAACAGGAGTAAATCTATTCTCAAACTGTAGGTAAATGTGATTCGACATCTCTCTGGTACTTTTTTAACAAACACAATAAGTGTTTATATTTGTTACCTCTTGATATACGAGTTTCAAATTTGACTGCATGATTTTAAACTTGTCAATAATCATAGAATATGATAGAATGTGACCAAATAATCACATACCTGTCACCAATGGCTCCCTTCGGTTTCCAGACGCCCAGATCCAGGTCCCAACCTAGGTGGTCCATATTGATATATGTGTAGTGGTCATCGCTGTGTTTCAGTTTACTTTCCATAGCACCGTTGGCCACTAAACAACAAGATGATTTATAATAAACCTACAGCAATGATGCTGTGACATTGCTAACTGAATCATGCTGTAAAACAGCATTAAAACTACAACTTTAATAGATAAACATGTCTACTGTAATCAAGCAGATGTAAAACAACACAAGCTCTGAGTCAAGGGGACATAACTCTGTCATTACCCTACATTAACATAGCCCAATACATACTGTAAGACATGTTAGTCGGTGTACTGAGTACAACAGTAAGTTAGTAGTTTTATCATCATAGTAAGACTAATAGTTCACACTACCAGTATTTAGGTGAAGCATTACAAAACTTACTATACATTGACCTTTGACACAGATTTCTATACACCATGGCCTAGTTAGGTCATCGATACCAGGACTTGTACACTCTGATTAAACATTTTACCTGGTACAGAATCCATTGAAACCAAGGCAACAAAAGGTTGTGGGAGGGACACAATTTTACCCAGTGTCTGAAAAACATTAAAACATTCTAGCATTTTAATTCAATTCAATACACTTAGTTTAATAATATATTACAATTCTGTATTTCAATGAACTTTAACATCCTTTACAACAAATTTTCAATGGTTAAAATATCACTTTCAAATAGATGTGACCAGTTAGTAGATTTCTCACACTGTGATCTAACATTGACTTTGATAAAGGAAGTACATCATAATATCTATTATGATTTTAGAGCATCAAACACATCCAATTACCTAGGTCACCAGGAAACAGAACAATTTTTTCAGATCCCAAATATTTCAAAGCTTATTGATTGTAGTCACAACAAGAAAGCTGATCTTTGACCTCCGATATGACTTCCTTACGAATGATCCCATGATTGTGATTTTTCAAAAAGAAAAAAATGTACAGCATAACCTCAATATACCACTACCTTCCACTGAGTGAAGTTTGGGTGGTACAAGAATTTTCTTAATGCATTTATATACACAGTGTACACAATTAACCAATGGACTTGGTCAGCTGTAAAGTCACTGACCCTATCACAGGTGAATTCTGTGACATTGTGGCAGGGTTATTGGAGGAATACAAAAGGCTATTTGTACAAATGTTGTCATAACAATGTGGCAAATGGCAGTAAGTTAGTTTGGCATTAGGACAGGTGCATCTACAGAAATCTATACTGATAAAATTAATGGCAATATGCGAGTTGTGCAGTACAACGGTTGGCAATACAACAAAGTTATACAGCACAGTGGGAGATATCCTTAACTAATGTTACCTACCTGTGGCCCAAGCAGTAAAATGTCACCAAGACCTGTAATACCAAATCAGACAAGTCATCATTTTTAAGTAAATTCAAATTTGTCTCATGCTTAATTGTAAAAACATAGAGTGACAAATTAATCTTTTAAAAACAGTGAGTGAACATAAATTTAATACTTAAGTCCATCAAATATCTTATTATGAACAACAGATTTGTTGGAAAGACTCGAACATAAACTTGGATAATAAATGGTTTAAGATCAGAAACATTTATTTAAGTTACAAGGACATCGGGTGGCATGTTCGTAATCATCTTTATCAATGATAATTTTGTTAAAACTGTTGACATTTTAATCAGTGATAGTGACAAAGTACATACGTGGGAACCTCTTCCTGCCTCGCTCTGATGGTCGTCTAGCACTCATGATCCGAGGAGCATCTTTGTGGGGACTTGTTACACCTTTAGAATGGAAGTCTGCTAACTCCAGGGCAGAAAGAGGGCGCTTCATGGGCAGTGCCTTCATAGACTGTTTGGATGATAAGGATAGACAAGGCCTTCATTAACTGTGACAAGTATGATATATATAAACAAGGCCTACATTGATTGTCACAAGTATGAGATACATAAACAGGACCTTAATTGATTGTGACAAGGATGATATACATAAACAGGGCCTCCATTCATTGTGACAAAGATGATATACATAAACAGGGCCTCCATTGATTGTGACAAGTATAGTATAAATAAACAGGACCTTCATTGATTGTGACATGTATGGTATACATAAACAGGGCCTCTATTGATTGTCACAAGTATGGTATACATAAACAAGACCTTTGTTGATTGTAACATGGATGATATACATAAACAGGACCTTAATTGATTGTGACAAGGATAATATACATAAACAGGGCCTCCATTCATTGTGACAAAGATGATATACATAAACAAGGCCTCCATTGTCTGTGACAAGTATAGTATACATAAACAGGACCTTCATTGATTGTGACATGTATGGTATACATAAACAGGACCTTAATTGATTGAGATGAGGATGATATACATAAACAGGGCCTCTATTGAATGTGACAAGTATGATATACATTTACAAGGCCTTCATTATCTTCTTCAAAGGATGATCAGTCAGTTACCAATTATCTAGTCTACAAAACTTTATTTACCTTGGAAAAATATCATATTATTGACAATAACTTGACATCAACTTTAACTTTGTGTATCTTCAGATTAGCTTCCTGTTTCTCCTTCCCCTTTTTCTACAGTGAAATCTTGAAGACTACAATTGATTTATCAATCCCCTTATATCGCCATTAATTTACTGTGGTCACACTTCTGTTAGAAGTAGTTGTTGTCTCCCCTGACAAGACTTACATTGATCACCTCATCTGAAGATGGCATTTTTGGAGTTCTATTGCTTAGGTTAAGGCATTGCTCCTGGACCTTCTGTAGTAACAGCTCTGCTTGGTCCTCATAAAGTCGCTTCAGTTCACCCTGTCAATGACAACAGCTAGTGTCAGTACCTACTACTAATCTACTATCCAACTTCTTAACAGCATAATATCACATATACCTACTACTAAACTAGCTGTCCTCACTTCATAAATACACATAAAACACAACATACATCACACCATTACACAAACACACATTACACAAGTAAACTAAGCACAACATACATCACACAAATAACATAACATACACCACACATACATATATCATGCAACACAAACACACAGCACACAATTACATATAGCATACCACATCACACATATACATTAACCACAACATACACCACAAATACACACATCACACATACACACTAACTACAACACACATCACACATACATATATTATACATACACATACCATGCAAACACACATCACAAATTTACATATAGCATAATACACATCACACAAATACACTAACCAAAATATACATCAAACAAATACATATCACATACACACATCACACATACACACATCACACATACACACATACACACATATACACATCACACATCACACGAATACACATAGCACAACATACACCACACATACACATATTATATATTCACACAATCACAAATACATGTACATACATTACACAAGCACAGCCACCAGAGATATCAATTGACTTCAAAAGTCTTCAATCATTTCTTCACTTACCCCTTTGTCTTCCACTACAGAAGACACCCTGGCTATTTTCTCAGCTATTAACGAATCCCCAGTCCCCGTCATTATCAGATTCATCACACCAATATCTTTGGAGATGTATTCAAAGAAGGCAGGTACTATACACAACAGTTGAATAACTTCTGAGGCTAGTAGACATTTGTAATCACTGTATCTGTAATATCAAACAATTATTTCCTTAAATCCCTAATATCTGGGACATTAAATAATCCTCAAAATTTCTGAATGGCAAAAACTCTGTAAAAAATACCATCAAACTGCATCAGAGACTGAGGTGAAATTGGTAGGAATGTAAGTGAACTCTTTTTGTTCATAATAACATCTCATGAAGGTATGATGACAGATTTTTAATGGCTTGTGAAGATTTTCTGATATTTTTAATGATTTGTGGATATTTGATGACAGTATTTAATGTGTTATGGAGATTTCAGGACAGAGTTGTAATGGGTTGTGAAAATTTAATGACAAATTTTTAAATGGCTTGTGGAAATTTTACTTACATTTTAAATGACTTGTGGAGATCTGATGACAGATTTTTAACAGGTTGTTGAGATTGGATGAAAGATTTAGATATGTTTTTAAGGAGATTTAATGACAGGATTTTTAATGTCTTGTTGAGATTCGTGGAGATTTTCATGTGTCTTATTTTAATGGTCTACTTACAAGGTGTTAAGCTTTGACTTGATGGCCGTTTGCTTGGTGTTGGTTGACTGGCTGAGTTTCATCAATTCAGAAATTGTGTAGAAAAGGCACAAGTACAGTTTGTCATACAAACCACCATCCTGAATAATAAAAATAAAAGAATAAAAACATCAAGAAATAAAATGACACAAAAAAAATATTGATGTTCAATATATACCACTCATACTTTATTAGGTCGGGGTATAATGACCATTCTGCATCAGTTTATCATAACAGGCCTGTGGAGGGGTTTGGAAGACCTTCCTATTCTGCTCGACTTTCTTGGTAAAACAACTTCAGATTTACCTCTCTGTCATCCTTGTCTATCTTTACGGCTGCCAGAAGAACACAGACAACTTGACAACGCACATCTCTTGGGAGTAAAAATAGATCCATTGTGTACACTTTCCTGTAACATGAAAAAGAATTCTTGTATTGACTTATGAAGGCTTATGAATGGAACTATTATACAAGTGATTCTTTACAACGATTCATTTCAATTAAGATTTCCAATTCTAACTGCTTTCCTGATGTAGCTAGGCAGGGCACTATTTAACATGTTCTTTACTAGAAACAAGATTTTTCTGACTCACCCTAACCAGAAACATGACTTACCTAACTGTGTTGGTCTCTGCTATATCTAACATCACCTTTACCAGAAACATGACTTACCTGACTTTGTTGGTCTCTGCTATATCTAACCTCACCTTAATCAGAAACATGACTTACCTGACTTTGTTGGTCTCTGCTATATCTAACCTCACCTTTACCAGAAACATGACTTACCTGACTTTGTTGGTCTCTGCTATATCTAACCTCACCTTAACCAGAAACATGACTTACCTGACTTTGTTGGTCTCTGCTATATCTAACCTCACCTTGATCAGAAACATGACTTACCTAACTGTGTTGGTCTCTGCTATATCTAACCTCACCTTAATCAGAAACAAGACTTACCCAACTTTGCTGAGCTTTGCTGTATCTAAAGTTTCCTTCACCAGGTGTGTAGGAAGAACAAATTCCAGTGATGTCTGTAAATATAAACCCATGAGATAAATTTTTAACACCACCTAAGGTTATAAGTACACATAGTAGTACTTTTCTACTTTAACATTTACTTTCACATTTCACAGTTTTTTTCAGTTGCTAATTGGATACCGTCAAAACATATCAAAGATGAATGTGACCTTCATCTGAATCTGCTTCCTAACATAGCCTGTGATGATTGTTGGAGGTTGAACATTTATCTAAACTGAAATATAGCCCAAAGATATCACTGTGTGGACTTCTGTCTACTTGATGTGACAAGCTTTTGTATATTCCCCCCCCCCCCCACCTTTTTTTCCTTTTTCCTTTTTAAAAATCATTGGCAGTTAACACATTTCAGGTAAAAACTTTAATTCATAAGTGTTCCAGGTACTCACTACCAGGAGTAAAACACTGATATAACTGATTTGGCTCTATTCTCTGTTAGGAGTATAACTGGTACTCACCACCTGGAGTATAACACAGTATACTCCATCCACCAAGAGGTGTATACCAGGTACTCACCACCTGGAGAATGACACTGATATACTCCATCCTCCAAGAGGTGTATACCATGAACTCATCACCTGGTGAATGACACTGATTAGTCCATCCTCCAAGAGGTGTATACCAGGTACTCACCACCTGGAGAATGACACTGTTATATTCCATCCTCCAAGAGGTGTATACCAGGTACTCACTACAAGGACTGCTATACTCCATCCTCCATATAGAGTATACCAGGTACTCACTGCCTGGAGAATGACACTGCTGTACTCCATCCTCCATGAGGTGTATACCAGGTACTCACTGCCTGGAGAATGACACTGTTATACTCCATCCACCATGAGGTGTATACCAGGTACTCACCACCTGGAGAATGACACTGATATACTCCATCCTCCATATAGAGTATACGATGTACCAGGTACTCACCACCAGGAGTAACAACAGCATGTTACAGCGCTCAAGGTCCGTAGGTCGAATCTCCAGAAGGTCCTCAAGGAAGGAAACACGGTACTTCAAAACCTGATACTCCCTGCAATCAAAATATTTATCATCAACAGAAAAATCTATGTGTGGTTTCAATTCATACATATCCCTTTAAATATAATAAATAATGAATTTTTACCTCCAATATGAGTCAAAACTCAGTTGGTCAATATTTGGTGGATAAACAAAATATGTCTGCTTTTTATTTGTTTTCATAAGGGCAATGCACCATTTATCTACAAAAGGGCATTTTTCCACTAATTTGGGAACAGGTTTTTAATCTCATTTAGGGGAAAAAATGATCTATCAAGAAGGAAATTTTCTAGGTTGTATTGAACACTCAGATCACAACAAATTATACACAATACACAACAGATGGGACTGGGTTAATTCAGTTATTCTGGATATTGAAGAGTTTGAATATTGCAGTTCAGAAATTAAGTTAATTCTCCAATATATCTGATCTTTAATGCTAGTGATCAGTAGAATATTTATTAAAGGGTTATAGGTCATCATCAACTCACCGATTAGTGTATTTCTTGTCAATGACTAGATCCTCTTGTATATTGAAAGCAACATATTTGAGTCGTCGTCGGTCAGTTTCTGAAATAGAGCATGATATAAGTCATATAAGTAATTTGATACCCAATTGGTATGTTGGGAACAATTGACTGGTTTTTTAGTAAGAGAGGTATCCAAATCTGCATCAAAGTGATGGGTGTTATTTCAAGATGGTGTAAATTAAATACAGACTGTATCTAGGAAAAGATTAATCAATCGATAGCCATCAATAAAATAATAAATTACAGAAATCTTCCTATATGGGAACCAACAGGTCCTTGTATTACAGGTAGTCTTACCAATGTTATGGACCCCATTGGTGGGAAATCTTGTCATCACATGGGTGGCCTGAAATTGACATAGACAGTGTAGTTTACAATATCATATAATACAAACACACAACACATAGCATACAGATATGTCATACAAAACACATAACATACAGATGTGTCATACACAACACATAGCATACAGATACCACATAAACAACACATAGCATACAGATATGTCATACATAACACATAGCATACAGATACCACATAAACAACACATAGCATACAGATATGTCATACATAACATGTCAATATACTTGGGAAGAAAGTTCTAAATTTTAACAAAATATATCATCACATTAAATTGTAAATGTATCTGTAATTTGTTGTATATTGCCCAATGCACAGATAGCCCACAGAAAACAAATGACCCCAACTGTTTATAGATACTCTTGCAGAAAGCCTGACCCAATAAAATTTGGTACACATAAAACATTGGATGCTTAAAAATAAAAATTGCAGGGGAATTTGACTCTAACCAGCACATGCTTGCTGCAGCACACTACCTTGATAAAGTATCATTTTTGTGTGCACATTAATTGCTCTGTTCGGATGGACAAGCAAATTGCCTTTCTAGAAGGAAACATGTTGTCTGCCAGCTTGTTATCACCATGTCATAGTCAAGTGTCCCAAACCTTTCTGTATAGATTACTTCCCTTTAACACTTCCTACTTTTTCAAATCAAGACAAATAAGTTAAGGGCCTGAGTGAGGGGTGATGCATGTCAATATTTCACATAGCATTTCAATTAAACACTATAGAGATTTTAATGTAATCATAATTTCATGTATACCTATATTTACTTTCTGTCCTAATATTTGTTCAAAAATGCTTGGACTTAAAAAGTAGTTGTAATGACAATGCAATGTAAACATCTCGACAGACAAGTTATGAATAGCTCTACTTTAGCAGGTGTTTGAAAAACCTACCTTTGCACCAAAGACTCCATTGACTTCGATCTTCTTTAGGTTGGATGGTACAAACCATTCCTTAGCTAGCTTATGTCTCTATAAAAAAAACAACAGCTCATCACATAAAATTCCTGCATTGAAAATAAAACACAGATCATCGACACCTCTGAAAATAAAACACTGTTTATCACCTGTCCTGAAAATGAAACATTACTCATCAACTGCACTGAAAATAAAACAGGAGTCATCAACAGAGCTAAAACAAAACACTAGCTCTTCAACAAAACTGAAAATAAAAGTTTTTTAAACCATCAGAAAAATTGTTGAATGCTTCAAGATATTTTTTTGTCTGGATCTCCAGAAAGATTAAGTTCCTTATCAAAATAAAGAATACACAAACTGTGGCCACATCTCAAAATAAAACACACACAAAAACAAGAGTGAATCACAGTAATTGATGCTGGGGAGATGTCAGAAAATATATACATGTAACTCACTTAAAAAGATTGATCTACAGTAACTGAGGTTTGACCACAACCATGTGTAACTTACAATAGGGTGTTCTGTCAGGGCTGAGTCCTGGAAAAAGTGTTTCACCTGCAACCTTTCTGCAGCTACAATGATACAAAGTGAGATGTAAGTGCTAAGTATTCACTTAAATTATTGATTTTATATGAACATTTTCATCCTTACAGCTTTCAACATCATCAAGAAATCCAGAACAGAATGGAAGAGTACACCATCACTGCTATTTGTATATACCAACTCACTGTTACCGACATTGAAAGTATATCCAGATCTTTTATTAAAAAAAAAATCAATTCAGGTTTCTGACTTTTTATCTTAGATTTATCAGTTGATTAGATCGCATATGAACAGTGTTAGATTGAGAGGTATCAACAGTAACCTGTAGCAGGAACTATCAACATGCTACACATTATAATTATCATTATTATTCTTGCTAAGTTTAATTTTGAAGTATTTTCATTATCTGTGTGTTTCACACTGGTATTCTGTACTGGATGACTACAACTATGTAGCACACTTAACTGGTGTTAAACTGTTGACCCGATCTTTCCAGGTTATCTATTAATGGGTTTTCTTGGCAAGGCTTAAGAGAAGGCAGGGTACATAGCTTCTTATCTAGATAGTGGACAATAGAGTAGGTATATATGGTATAAGGACCACAATGCTGAGGTTAACTCCAAGGTGCTGGTGTACAGACAAGCTGTCATCACAGACATGCTATTTCCAGTCTTGTAACCTAATTCAATTCAGCAGTTGCCATATTACATCGCCGAATGTGCAACACAACAAATGCACATATTGGCAAAAAATTGAACCTTATAAAAGAAACTTGGTCACAAAGAATGTAAGACATAATATATAACACAGTATAGCATACAACACAACATGTCACAGTATAGCATACAACACAACATGTCACAGTATAGCATACAACACAACATGTCACAGTATAGCATACAACACAACATGTCACAGTATAGCATACAACACAACATGTCACAGTATAGCATACAACACAACATGTCACAGTATAGCATACAACACAAAATGTCACAGTATAGTATACAACACAACATGTCACATAGCATACAACACAACATGTCACAGTTTAGCATACAACACAACATGTCACATAGCATACAACACAACATGTCACAGTATAGCATACAACACAACATTTCACAGTATAGCATACAACACAACATGTCACACACCATATCGTATAACACAGTATGTCAAACAGTGTATCATACAACACATGTGACACAAAGTAGCATACAACACAACATGTCACACAGCATATCGTATAACACAGTATGTCAAACAGTGTACCATACAACACAACATGTCACACAGCATACCATACAACACAACATGTCACAGTATAGCATACAACACAACATGTCACAGTATAGCATACAACACAACATGTCACATAGCATACAACACAACATGTCACAGTATAGCATACAACACAACATGTCACATAGCATACAACACAACATGTCACAGTATAGCATACAACACAACATGTCACAGTATAGCATACAACACAACATGTCACATAGCATACAACACAACATGTCACAGTATAGCATACAACACAACATTTCACAGTATAGCATACAACACAACATGTCACACACCATATCGTATAACACAGTATGTCAAACAGTGTACCATACAACACAACATGTCACATAGCATACAACACAACATGTCACAGTATAGCATACAACACAACATTTCACAGTATAGCATACAACACAACATGTCACACACCATATCGTATAACACAGTATGTCAAACAGTGTACCATACAACACAACATGTCACACAGCATACCATACAACACAACATGTCACACAGCATACCATACAACACAACATGTCACACAGCATACCATACAACACAACATGTCACACAGCATACCATACAACACAACATGTCACACAGCATACCATTCAACACAACATGTCACACAGCATACCATACAACACAACATGTCACACAGTATACCATACAACACAACATGTCACACAGCATACTATACATCACAACATGTCACATAAAACATGTCACATAATGTACCATACATCACAACATGTCACATAATGTACCATACAACACAACATGTCACACAGCATACTATACAACACAACATGTCACATAATGTACCATATATCACAACATGTCACATAATGTACCATACAACACAACATGTCACATAATGTACCATACAACACAACATGTCACATAATGTACCATACAACACAACATGTCACACAGCATACTATACAACACAACATGTCACATAATGTACCATATATCACAACATGTCACATAATGTACCATACAACACAACATGCCACATAATGTACCATACAACACAACATGTCACACAGCATACTATACAACACAACATGTCACATAATGTACCATACAACACAACATGTCACACAGCATACTATACCACACAACATGTCACATAATGTACCATACATCACATCATGTCACATAATGTACCATACAACACAACTTGTCACATAATGTACCATAAATCACAACATGTCACACAGCATACTATACAACACAACATGTCACACAGCATACTATACAACACAACATGTCACATAATGTACTATATATCACAACATGTCACATAATGTACCATACAACACAACATGTCACACAGCATACTATACAACACAACATGTCACATAATGTACCATACATCACAACATGTCACATAATGTACCATACAACACAACATGTCACATGGTGTTCCATAAAACACAGTTACACACATCATGCCACACAAGTACTGACCAGAAAAACAGGAACTTTATTTATTTCGTTCATTGTATGATTTAGATAAAAGTATAATTACATCACAGAGGTTCATCTATAATATTAACCTCATACATGCTATATAATAGGTGACCTCATATGTTTTAAACAGTCAATGACTGAAGGGAACTGTGACCTAATTATCCTTAATTTTGTTGTAGTAATTAAATCTTGAAAATTGACAAACATAAACAAAATACATTATTTGGAAAGTTTAGGTAATCTACTTATCAATTTTGGGAAAACAGGGTCTAGTATCAAATTAAAACATTTTCATTGTTCACCAACATTAAATATTATCATACTTTGATACAAAACACTGACTTTCAAAGTATTTTCTTAATTAGGAATTCTGGTGTCACTTAGTTCTATATAGATGTACAAATTTGTGACCTTAACAACAACAGGCGTCCAATTGAATTGATATATAGGACAATATAAGACAATTATAGGAAGGTAAACTACTTATATTGATAGACAATCTTCACACTAAGTGTGCTAAAACAATTTGAAGGTGCATTTTAACAATTAATCATTGATCAGTTTGTTATGTGAGGAAATTTTCAACAAAGGTGTTGTCCTAAGTCAGTGTACATGCTATTGTCTAACGTGTGCCAGCCTAATCCCTACAAACACCTATGTTTACTTTAAACAAAACCCATAAACATTGATACACGTATTGAACGCCTGAGAGAACAATCTTAGCCGTATCAAGTTTACCAATAAAATATTGTCTTTAAGCTGTATGTTTACTGTGACTGAGAGCAGACTAGGGGACATAATACACGTCTAAAGTTGCCTCGTTATTCACTGTTCACGTCTAAAGTCGCCGCGTTATTCACTGTCCACTGAACTCATTATATATATTCCCTATAATAACTCCTTATTAATGTAATATTACCTGATCATCTTACAGCCTATTAGATTTCTGATCCTCTGTACATGTAACCAAATCTCTTTACAAGTTATCTCAACTTATTTCAAACATTGGATTCTGTTAAATTGTCAAGTTGTACTTTCAAAATATTAGACTCTTTTAAAAGAGTTATTATAGATCTTCTAAAAAATTAAGCACTGTTAAATTGACTGAATCATGTTTTTGAAATGACTCATAAAAATGTTTTCAGTATCTTTTAATATTTCAAACATGGCCTATTTGAAATGAAATAGATTGATATTTGTAGCTAGTAAAGGGATTAAACACCCATCTCAGTGAGTAATCTATTGTTATGTGTTATTGAAGAAGTTTATGTAATATTGTGTAATCTGTATTGGTATAACCACTTACTTCAATAGATGCCCTTACATAAGTGACGAGACTACAAACATTTTGAATGTCTATTCAGACATAGATGTATATAAATTATTAGGAAGGTAAAGCCAGACATTCCAACACCAAGTCTCACATATATGCCTGAACACAGCAGGTAGAGCAAACCCTGATTTTACTATTCTGTATGAAATCTCATTTCACTATCAAATATCTAAAAGCAAAAGGACATCTACTCAGTCAATCAATTAACATGTTATTGTCCGTCACAAATGGATATGTCTATATATAGCACTTAATCCCTCTGATAACATAAAGTTAATTTCAAGTATATGAAGTATAACTAATCCACAGACCACATAAGTTTGACATGTCTACATAATCACATGCAATGGCTCAAGTTTTACCTGCCTGTATAAAACACAGGTACAGTGTTACCTACCTATGTAATAACAGTCAAGTGTACTTACCTTGAACAACCATTTTGATTTTAAATTATTTACATTTTTTTATAAATTATATACAGTCAGGCAAAATAGATGTACATCAGGTAATTATTTACTTCTGTAATTAAAAATTCAATATACTGAGTAATTTACAGAATGTGTACTCAATTACAACTTTTTCTCCAGCTGGTAGAGCAAGGCTCTAATAAACAACATAACACAGTATTAAAAGCCATTGATCAGACTGGGTAGCAATGAAATATCAAAATCTATATAGCAAGCTCCAGACTTTATTCTGTTTATCAAAGCATAATTCCAAATCGAAATTCCATTTACAAACACTGGAACACAGTATCATTTCTGTTCTTACTCTAAAAGGTGTTTTGGGTTTTTTCCTTTAGCATGATTGAACAAATATAGTTCTCAGGTTTGAAATTTTACACCAGGAAACTGAATATTTTCAAATCAGTTTACTTCAAATTGTCTACAGTGAAATGTAACTCTCAAAACACTACATGTAAATCTGTCTGAACTACATGTTGTTCTAGGTCTGTGTTACTTACTGTATGAAGTGTTTTATTTATCTGTCTTACACAATAAATTACTTATCTCAACAGTTGATAGGGAACAGACAGGGTAAATTGTGACAAAGAGGATAAGATAGATTTCCATCAACAGAAGATGTCAATACTGTATGTAAATATACTTACATGTGACAAGTCTCCCGTCCAACATCCACACATTAGGCAGACAGTCAATGACATGGATACGATCTGAAATACAACAAACATATTAAATAAGAGATCTACAACACAATGCTATCCTAACCTGAAACTATAAAATGGTTACATAATTCCAAACCTGATGACTGAGTTGTAAAATCAGCCAAATACACATCCAATGGTTTTATAAACTCTACATGTATTTTTGTCTGTGTCTTGGTTTTTGAAGGTTTAATTTATTGCAAGTAAAGACAAGAGATGTAGGTGGTAGTTCAAGTGGTGAAAACCTAAAATTGTAAAACTTAATCTGAAAGTGTGAAACTTAATCTGGAAAGTGTGATTGTAGTTCAGAAATGCATACAAAATGTGCAAGGAAAAACATGAGTTTTTAACTTGAGGACCACAAAGGACAACATACTTATGTTTGAACACTGACTGTTTGGTTGCTTTGTGGGAGTGTTGAACTTGAAGGACCACAAAGGGCAACATATTCATGTTTGAACACTGACTGTTTGGTTGCTTTGTGGGAGTGTTGAACTTAAAGAGCCACAAAGGACAACATACTTATGTTTGAACACTGACTGTTTGGTTACTCTGTGGGAGTGTAGAACTTGAAGGACCACTTAGGGCAACATACTTATGTTTGAACACTGGCTGTTGGTGGCTCTGTGGGAGTGTAGAACTTGAAGGACCACAAAGGACAACATACTTAGATTTGAACACTGGCTGTTTGGTTGCTCTGTGGGAGTGTAGAACTTGAAGGACCACAAAGGGCAACATACTCATGTTTGAACACAGTCTGTTTGGTTGCTCTGTGGAAGTGTTGAACTTAAGGGACCAGAAAGGGCAACATACTCATGTTTGAGCTTTGTGTTGTTGTTGGTTGTTCTGTTGGAGTGTTGAACTTGAAGGACCACAGTGACACCCAAAATTGTTATCATTCATGTCTTTTTCTTATCTAAAACCACCAATCCACAGATTTTAAGCCTAAACAAGTTTTATGAAGTTCTATTATAGTAAGTAGAGTTGATATTTGCAGGAGAACACTAAACTCTCAATATCAACCTATGCCATGTTTTCAAAGTTAAGCCATTCATAAAACAGATACCGTAAAGCTTGGATTGATTCAGACATATATTTTTGAAAGTGTAATTTGCTAATGACCTTGACCTTTGATAAGAAAAAACATTGAAATTTACTGATTTCTTTCAAAACCGTTAGGTTGCCTATTTCTTGTGAACATAGGACCTGAATAAAATTATCTATATGATTGCAAAGACCAAAATAATTTGAATCTTGACACTTAACACCATCACTTCACCCATGAAGTATGAAACTTTTCCTTTCATCTTATAACATTTGGTAGTGTTGGGAATCTGTTGCGAATTCATGATCAACCATCAGATCATCTGAACAGATCGATGATTGACTAATAATTGATTATGGGAAGGACATACACCTCCATTTTTGCAATGATAAATTATTTACATCAAACATGAATAAAGAAGAACTCAAATGTTGTAATGTACTTCGCACTTTTTGCCTGGAAAGTCATCAAGAATGGACTCCGCCATTTTGATTTGACATGTCCCATATGCATTGGTAAACAACATTTATTAAACATTTAAGCAGCAATGTTGACTTGTCAAGTTCAAGCAGACGCAGGATTGAGATTTGAGACTATTTCCCTACATCATAACTTGACCTTTATGAGATTATTTGTTCTGAAGTAAGGATTGTCACAACAATACCCTGATATGAGTAACTTTGACTTCTGCAAAATCCTTCATCCATTTTCCTACGGTAACCATATCCTAAGTACAAACTAATTATGATCAAGTCAACACCCTCGTAACAAATGTATATATTCCAGGTCTATATCAGGTCAACACCCTCATAACAAATGTATATATTCCAGGTCTATATCAGGTCAACACCTTAGTAACAAATGTATATATTCCAGGTCTATATCAGGTCAACACCCTAGTAACAAATGTATATATCCCAAGTCTATATCAGGTCAACACCCTAGTAACAAATGTACATATTCCAGGTCTATATCAGGTCAACACCCTAGTAACAAATGTATATATTCCTGGTCTATATCAGGTCAACACCCCAGTAACAAATGTATATATTCTAGCTCTATATCAGGTCAACACCCCAGTGACAAATGTATATATTCCAGGTCTATATCAGGTCAACACCCTAATAACAAATGTATAAATTCCAGGTCTATATCAGGTCAACACCCTAGTAACAAATGTATATATTCCAGGTCTATATCAGGTCAACACCCTCGTAACAAATGTATATATTCCAGGTCTATATCAGGTCAACACTCTAGTAACAAATGTATATATTCCAGGTCTATATCAGGTCAACACCCTAGTAACAAATGTATATATCCCAAGTCTATATCAGGTCAACACCCTAGTAACAAATGTATATATTCCAGGTCTATATCAGGTCAACACCCTAGTAACAAATGTATATATTCCAGGTCTATATCAGGTCAACACCCCAGTAACAAATGTATATATTCTAGCTCTATATCAGGTCAATACCCTAGTAACAAATGTATATATTCCATGTCTATATCAGGTCAACACCCTAGTAACAAATGTATATATTCCAGGTCTATATCAGGTCAACACCCTAATAACAAATGTATAAATTCCAGGTCTATATCAGGTCAACACCCTAGTAACAAATGTATATATTCCAGGTCTATATCAGGTCAACACCCTAGTAACAAATGTATATATTCCAGGTCTATATCAGGTCAACACCCTAGTAACAAATGTATATATTCCAGGTCTATATCAGGTCAACACCCTAGTAACAAATGTATATATTCCAGGTCTATATCAGGTCAACACCCTAGTAACAAATGTATATATTCCAGGTCTATATCAGGTCAACACCCTAGTAACAAATGTATATATTCCAGGTCTATATCAGGTCAACACCCTAGTAACAAATGTATATATTCCAGGTCTATATCAGGTCAACACCCTAATAACAAATGTATAAATTCCAGGTCTATATCAGGTCAACACCCTAGTAACAAATGTATATATTCCAGGTCTATATCAGGTCAACACCCTAGTAACAAATGTATATATTCCAGGTCTATATCAGGTCAACACCCTAGTAACAAATGTATATATTCCAGGTCTATATCAGGTCAACACCCTAGTAACAAATGTATATATTCCAGGTCTATATCAGGTCAACACCCTAGTAACAAATGTATATATTCCAGGTCTATATCAGGTCAACACCCTAGTAACAAATGTATATATTCAAAGTCTATATCAGGTCAACACCCTCGTAACAAATGTATATATTCCAGGTCTATATCAGGTCAACACCCTTGTAACAAATGTATATATTCAAAGTCTATATCAGGTCAACACCCTCGTAACAAATGTATATATTCCAGGTCTATATCAGGTCAACACCCCAGTAACAAATGTATATATTCCAAGTCTATATCAGGTCAACACCCTAGTAACAAATGTATATATTCCAGGTCTATATCAGGTCAACACCCTAGTAACAAATGTATATATTCCAGGTCTATATCAGGTCAACACCCTAGTAACAAATGTATATATTCCAGGTCTATATCAGGTCAACACCCTAGTAACAAATGTATATATTCCAGGTCTATATCAGGTCAACACCCTAGTAACAAATGTATATATTCCAGGTCTATATCAGGTCAACACCCTAGTAACAAATGTATATATTCCAGGTCTATATCAGGTCAACACCCTAGTAACAAATGTATATATTCCAGGTCTATATCAGGTCAACACCCTAGTAACAAATGTATATATTCCAGGTCTATATCAGGTCAACACCCTAGTAACAAATGTATATATTCCAGGTCTATATCAGGTCAACACCCTAGTAACAAATGTATATATTCCAGGTCTATATCAGGTCAACACCCTAGTAACAAATGTATATATTCCAGGTCTATATCAGGTCAACACCCTAGTAACAAATGTATATATTCCAGGTCTATATCAGGTCAACACCCTAGTAACAAATGTATATATTCCAGGTCTATATCAGGTCAACACCCTAGTAACAAATGTATATATTCCAGGTCTATATCAGGTCAACACCCTAGTAACAAATGTATATATTCCAGGTCTATATCAGGTCAACACCCTAGTAACAAATGTATATATTCCAGGTCTATATCAGGTCAACACCCTAGTAACAAATGTATATATTCCAGGTCTATATCAGGTCAACACCCTAGTAACAAATGTATAAATTCCAAGTCTATATCAGGTCAACACCCTAGTAACAAATGTATATATTCCAGGTCTATATCAGGTCAACAACCTAGTAACAAATGTATAAATTCCAGGTCTATATCAGGTCAACACCCTAGTAACAAATGTATATATTCCAGGTCTATATCAGGTCAACACCCTAGTAACAAATGTATATATTCCATGTCTATATCAGGTCAACACCCTAGTAACAAATGTATATATTCCAGGTCTATATCAAGTCAACACCCTAGTAACAAATGTATATATTCCATGTCTATATCAGGTCAACACCCTAGTAACAAATGTATATATTCTAGGTCTATATCAGGTCAACACCCTAGTAACATATGTATATATTCCAGGTCTATATCAGGTCAACACCTTAGTTATAAATGTAAGAATCATGTCAACAACCCAGTAATGATAACACCTGTCTGAAAGTGAATTATAATTCATTGATTTATTAGAAGATTTTAATGGAAAGCTTTATCAACATTATTGTTTTATGTGATCAGTTAGGTGTGTTCCCCATGTTTCCATTAACAAACAGCTGATGATGCTGATCTTCAGCTTTTAGCATGTGGGTATTGATGAGAAAGTAAACACATTATGTTTGGTCACCTATTTTGTTACCTAATTATGTATCCAAAGATTACATGTACCTGGTAGGAACACACTGTGCTCAATAACTCAATATATTATAAATTCCATCTAACCGGTACATATATTTTAAGTCAAAAGTTTCAAAATCATGCCATTTCATCACAAAGTATTACACAATATGTACTTACAGTAAGGGTCCTTTTCCAGTTGGGGGTTACCATGTAGACTAAGATTCAGGATGTGAACATGTCTTATTTTGCCCAATTCATGCCATGTTAAAGCATTATTGGCTAAATTAAGAGTTCCAAGGGCCACAAAACGTGATAATCCATCTAAACTTTTAATCTGAAACAAAAGGAAGGCAAAGGATTAGTTAAGCTCGATCTTCTCCTGACTTACATCTATCTGTATTAGACAGAGCTGTAAGATATTGTTCCACCAACATACCAATAGTGTGATATATATTTGTGTATGTGAACAAGAGCTAAAAAGGATACATATTCCACACCTGTGCATATGGATATGAGCTACAAGGATATTTAGTATATATCCAACACCTGTGTATACAGACCAGAGGTACAGGTAAGCATAGTATATATTCCACACCTAGGTATGACAACCAAAGCTACAAGAGAGTTAAATTATTTTTTTTTATATTTGACACCTGTATATGTGGACTGGGGCAACAAAAGGGCCAAGTATAAATTTCACATCTGTGTATGTAGACCATAGCTACAAGGAGGTGTAGCATATTTCTCACATAATTAACAGGCTGATCCATGCTTTTTAGGGTAGGAATAACATATAATTTGGGTCAGGAGTGAGGCTTTCACAAGGTTCTGAACCAAAATTCTACACCTGAGTTGGTGTGATATCATCATACTTAAGTTCATTTAGTGCACCCATATGGGATAGATTTATCCCACATAGAAGTTCCACATAAATTTAAGCAGAGGTGTTAAAAATACTGCTGGCATGCACAATGACATTACTCACAATTAGACAGCATTGCCTTTTTATGTGGTGTAATCATGTTGCAAATTGATAATATCATCAAATTTGAAGTTTATTTCATGGGACGTTGATGATAAGGAAGGACAAAAAGGCTACACAACAACTTCCATTTTGTTACTTTTTTTAAGTACGAGGTATGGTGAGAAAAAATCATTGAACACTAGTAATCAAACAGAACAATGTAAGATTCTATTTATCACACACCTGTATATATAAGCATTAGCTTCAAGGTGGTATGTATATTATATTGCATGTAGCATTGCAACTATCATCCTGTCCTCATCCACTATAGTTTGAATGAAAATAAAACATTGTTATTTTATAAATCTTCCTACCATCTCCTTTGTTTCAGAATATTCAATTAGCACACTATCTTTTCGAGTATATAATATTTTTACTTACACAGTTGTTTCCTAAGTCAAGCCTCCAGAGCTGAGCACAGTGTTCAAGGTTTGCAACTTCAAATATATCATTTCCCCGCAATATCAGGGTGTGAAGCTTAGCACAGTTGTTAAGCTTTTCTATTGCCACTGCAAAATCAACAGTAAACATAAAGAAACAATCTGCTTAAATATAACTTTAGCATTATGGCAATTTCATTTCACCACAAATATATCAAGAAAAAACAAAAGATATGAACAAGAACCATTTGTTTTTGAAACACAAAAATGGGTTTTAACAATACAGTTGAAGAGATCAGTTTGTCTATTCCATAGATATATCAACCCTTCAGGTTGGTTATCTGACTTCATAGTAAAAGACATGATAGTAAATTTCAACCACACTGACTATCTAACATGTTTATATATCTTATGATATAAATGGTCTACCACATTATTACATGAATATATTATATACATAAGCACAGACTTAGATATACATCTAAGTCTGTAGTTTCAGTCTGAATTGCATAAAAGGGGATCATAACTCTATACATTCTTCTTGGACAAAGAACACTTGTCCATCAACTTTCACAAACACACTACATGTGCAAACAGTATACTTGCTATACTGTGCTGAAGGAGACTTCGTGACATTAAGTAACTCTCAATATCCCAAAAAGTGGTTTGATCGACTTCTTTTCTGTATGAGATTAAAAGTATATGAGCAAACTTTTTCTTGACAAAGTTTGTTCATAAACGTTTAATCTTTTGTAAAGGCACGTGTACATTTATTGAAATAAATGACCTTTATCTCTATAAATACCTTTCATTATCTATGAGAAGAAAGCCGAGAATAGCCTCAGTGATGACATAGAAATATATTAAAACGTATCTGTTCAAATGACAGCCATCACAATATAGACTAGTCCCTGACAAATGAGTAGTGACGTTGTATCTATATCATTTGCCCTGCACCTTTTTCGGAACATCAAGTGATGTTGAGGATTAGTTTTGGGTAGATTTCATTAACAATGAATGGCTAAATCAAGTAATTACAGCTAACTAACTGTGTACAGTCAGTAATCGTAAGTTCACCTATTTACAACCTATCAACAACTTACCTATTCCCAAGTTTGACAGGTCCAAGTATTCGGTCGTCTGGAGCGGCCCCTTGGCCTTGGACCTAAGCAACTGTTAAACAAAAGCCACAACAATTAACACATTTGTAAATGAAATATTACAAATATAAGGACAATAACGCCGTGACATCGTTAACATGATTTTACCTGTGCATTAACTCTCATTTCACCATTGCTCCGACCGACACAACTTGAGAAATAACCCCAGCCGATTTACGCACGTACCTGATGAAGGCGTCACAAAATCTAGACCTGATGTTATAATGCAGATAAATAGAATTCATTTCTATGGATAATGCCCTATCATGCACTTACAGTAAATAAATGAAGGTTTCTTCTGAAAACTTGTAAACTTATTTATTTAACTCATTTACCACTCAAGATGAATATAGCGCAGTAATACTCTTGTCCGGAAGGTCATTTGATACATAGTGCGGAAGTTGTCAGTTGCTCTGGCAATGTACACAAACCCAACACGTGGTTTTTATCTCCAGCTGACAGTCGATGCTTTATCGAGCCTCCTTTATCTCGTTGATTATCATTCTTTCATATTGTATTAAATACTATATGTACGAGCTGATCAATAATAATATTTTCTTAATGAAATGTTTGTATTTGTTGACCGGTGTAACAACTTACGTTTTGTGAGAAATATTGTCAAGTTTTACTATTTTTGGTTTGATTTTTTTCAGCCTGTTGTCTTCAATCAATTAATTACGTATCATTTTCCAGGCAATAAGTACACGTATTGTGTAGAATATGAGATTACTGTGCATCGTTTTGTTTTAACAAACGTATTGAAGGTTCGTGGCACTCGGATTTGATAATCATTCCAAAAAAAGTCATTTTCTAATTGACTTTCAACTAAAAATGTATACACTGGTGTTAAAAAGGAATCCATATCCCATCAAATTATGACATATTAAATACTAGTCAGTACCAACCATCAAAATACAACTTTGCGTTTTGTCAAAATTGACATTCAGTAAAGTTTAAAGGCTATAAATATATTTTATTGCCATGAATAACGATTGGACAAGGGGGAAAAAATCTCAATTTATCGAGTTGCTTTTCCTACCGTGACAATACTATCACACACTGAAACTGAGGCACAAATGTCAGTAGTGCCCTTAAATATGACCTTTTCGAGTGAATATTGTCTAATATTCTGTTTGCCTAACTGTAAACATCCTTGTGAGAATGTCATTCACATTTTCCCAGAGTGTAAACTTTTTTGGCGATGAAAAGCAGATTATGCTACCATTTCTTGAAAGTTTGGTAGTTCATATCTTTCTGTGGACCTGAACTCCCCTGTATTAAGACATTTATATTCACTTGAGTCAAATCCAGCAATGGATTTATGAATGGTGTTTTTATGGTGTGAACTTGTGTTACTTTCACATATATATGGGTCCTTAATTGAATGCTTAATTCTCTGTAATATTGTAAATGTATGATGGGCGATGGATTTTCTAAGTTGTTTGAACAACTTGTGTCCAATCCCTAGTTATTAACTAATATTGGCAATAAGTTGAAAGTTCTGGTGAATAATGACTTTTCAAATTCATGAGATAATTTTTCACATCATGGTGGAAAGGGGAAGAAAGGAAAACCAGTAGGAATCTAATCAAACTGCTGAACAGATGTAAATATATAGTCCGTCATCCGAAATCGCTTCGTTATGAAAAAAAAAAACTATCGGAACGTTATCGTTTTGTATAATCTGTGATGATGCTTATTTTCATAGTCTCACCAAGGTTATTAAGATTTTTGCTAGAAAGGTCTCTGGTGTTTTCCATAGTTTCAAAACAGACTTTCAATCAAATTAAATTTGTTTACAGAAGCGGCATTTTAGTGCAACATCTGTGCCGATGTCTTGTTCGGAGAATGTTTTTAACGAGAGATCCAGGGACGTAATGTTTTTTAGAGTTTCTCGAGGGCCTCGATAGGAAAGCCGCGGGTAAGAAGGAAAAAATAGAAATATGAAGTTTACACCTGCACATCCCATTATAATTAGTTCTACCATATACACAAAGAGAAAGTAAGATAATTAGATCTGGTACAACTTTGAGATATTTGGAAATAAGTTGCTACTTATCGCTATACCTGTAGATTGAAACGAAGGGAAGCAACTTTTGTAGTTCAGAACGCGTATCTAAAGACAGACCAGTAGCGTAAAGGGAGGTAACTCCAGAACATTTACAAAGAACCGTCGTAGTTTATGGGTAATATGTTTATAAAAGGTACATTTTTTTCTACAAATAATATAAGTAACAATTACAAACGGTACCCACAAATGGAAAAAATATATATCATCTGTAGAATCTTAGTACTACATTACCAGGAAGTAATAAGTTATTTCAGAAGCTTGGATTCTGTAAAACTTTGTTGTACAAATACGTCCGGATTGATTGAAGTTAAACTGCAATCAACATACGACAAAAGCTAAAATCGATTTGAAGAAGAAAGACAACTCGTACAGTTGGCCATATCAAACGTTGACACAACGTATCAAACGGATTACATAAATACCAATATTTAGTCTACAGATGTTGTGGCTTTATTTAAATCGGAATTCTATTCTGTTGTTGTTGTTTTGCTAGATGTCAGATGGTCCTATCTTAAGGTGGATCTTGTATCCGCGGTTGTTTCGGCACTGTCCTCTACCACCTCCAGCGGTTCGTCGACTAGGATGATCAAACCCTAGCCTGCAACCATCTAGACTGTACCACCATGTCACACTGCTGCTGTTGTCACACTTCTCTTGTGATTGATGTTGTTACCACTAACACAAATGTCATATACCTCACTCAAAGTATTTTTTCTTTCAGAAAACAACTATCATTTTGCAACATGTAGAACCAGGATAGCAAGGTCATGGCAGCTATACAAAACATATGTAACGGTGTCCAGTTGTATACCAAATATATTTCAGGGTTTTGCATGACAAATTTGAGGATATTTTCTTTTCTGCCGCATTCTAAAGGGTTGTAATTTATCTTAAATATCTCGTTATTTATATTTGTAAAACTGACTTGTGTATTGTATTCTAAATCTTGTATTATTCGAAAAATCCCAAGTGATTTGTAGTGTAAAACTGTGTTATAATGCAATTCTTGTGACTCACAAGATTTTGCATATAAAACACAAAGTATTGAATATAAAACACAAGATATTGAATATAAAACACAAGATATTGAATATAAAACACAAGATATTGAATATTAATCACAATGGATATTGAATATTAATCACTAGATGATATAATATTGCAATTTTGAAGTCATCAGAGGTAGGATTTGACATCCTTGAGTCTGTTATCAGCGTAATTTCTGAAGAAGTTACAGAAGAGAACTTCTTGACACCGTATGGACATGCTCAGTGTAGATCCTTGTTGTATATAACCTATTTGGATCTTCTGTGCCCATGCATTTTTGATTTTGAAATTTAGAGTAAATTTCGGCTATTCTGAAAATAAACTACAGCAAGAGTTTCCTTGAATTTTTTAGAACATATTCAGTAAGGATCGTTTTAGGAAGGTACTGAGGGAATCTTTCATAAATTATACAGACATGATTCTACTATTGACACAAAGCGTATTCACCACGTAGCTATGTTTAAGTACGGACGGATATAAAAACAAAACAAAAAGCTATGCTTATCAAGTAAGTGATGCGAAACTGAAAACGATGTTAGGAATGTTGGAATGTTCGGCATTTGTTTTATTCTCGTCCATCTTTGATTGGCGCCAAACTAGTAAAGACTTGTGTGTATGTCACTGACCAGATGTTTAAGGTAAACAACTATATGTACTACAGAACCATCATCCTGAATCCTACTATCGACTTTATCCTAAAATAACCTGTTTATTTCATGTTTCATAAAACCAATTGCGGAGCGGAGTCTAGAGGAAACATATTGCGTTTATGAAATATTTTTAATTATTTCATGAGTTGATAATATTAGCATAATTTACAAGGCTTGGAATGTCTCCATCACACCTACGTATATACTGACAGTGTATGTGACAAGTCCCTAGATATAGATCCATTAATGATTAATTTCCACCTGTTGTATATATCAAGTACATAAAACCCACATCATGTGATATTGCCGACATGTGACGTGGAGAAAATGCCGGGAGAGCATACGTCACGCGTACCTGCAGCTAAAAAGCAAAAAATGTGAATGGAAAGAAGGTATGTGAGTCAGCTGTCACGTGACTATACTTACCTGTCATCACACACCTAGTTCCTTACAGGCAAGAGGTAGTCGCATTGCACACCTGACCAGAAATCATGCCGGTAAGTTTAGTTTTTTATATATTTTTTCTTTTCGGTGTTCATCATTGAAATAGCGAATCATTTACTGATTAAGACAAGAAATCTGAGATAAAAGTGAACGTTGTTTTATGAGATATGCAAAGTAACATAACAGTGACACCATCCGTCAGGATGAGTGGGCGGGGTCCTACAGATATGGCTACACTTTTTGATTAATTGTGGTCTGTAATATGTTTTCTTCCTACATAATTTCCACATATTTTAACAGTTAAATGCAAAGTATGAAAGCAAACACCATATTTATTCTTTGTGGTGGAGTTTTATACAAAATGTATCTTCGTTAAATTCTTAATCGACATGTCGGCAAGACAAGGAAAAGTGAGTTAAAATTTCAACTTGGTAGTAAATTCAAATGGTCTGTGTTTTACACCTAGATACACCACACCTAGTGCGTGTATATGTAAGGTAAGGTGTATTTAGTCCGGAGAATGACCAGTCCCGTAATCGATAGATGGTGTATTTTGACCTGTGGGTATTTGCCTGGCCATTCGGCGCTGACAATAAGTTACCTGTAATCTGGGAGGATATAGGTCACATACCTTGAATATCATACGCATATCATAGTTTGGGGAGTGGGGATGTCAGACATTTTTTGCCTTTTCATTTTTTTTTTCATTTATGCAATGCATGTGTGATACAAAACACCAATTACGTGATACACTTAAAGATAAGAATTGTGAGATTCGAGGTATTATGTACGCCTTCCCACACGTATAATATTGTTGTACGAGCTCGACAAACATTACAAATAAACAAACAACTGTATATATGTATCCACAGACAACATCAACAAAAGTAGACTTACCAGTGTATATATCTACCTCTAGTCACTCACAACAAAAACGGAGTCTTGATACGTCAATATCCTAGACAAACATGATGAGAGTTAACTTACACAGGCATAACCGACATCATTGTAACAATGGATATGGTGGGTGTATATCTGGATTTGGGAACACCGTCATATAGCATGTTAATGTTAAAAATTGAAAATTGATTTTTGAAAGAAATGTTTTCCTGATTACGGCCGACATACAGGTGCGTGCTTGTATGTTCAATCAAGCACGTTCTGTCCCTTTTTAATGTAACGTTTGACGTCGTAACTGATGTGAAGTTGTTCATTTCCTAATACATTTATTCAAAGCTATCAAATATTTCGATCGATCGCTCCATATTAGATGTAGCCACATGTCAGTGTACGTGTTTCCTGTACGTATAACTAAGACAAATAGTTTTTGTCTTCCACAAGAAGAATGAAGTTTTTTTTTCTACGAACCGCAGTTGTGTGGAATAATTTACCTGAGCGCGAAGTGATTATTAAAAATCTCAACTGCTTTGAAACCAAATAAAATAAACACTGGAAAATCAGACATATTGTAGGATGAAAACACAAAACAGCAATGTCGTTAAATATGTTGTTTTGTATTACATCCAAATAACGTTTGAGTCTGGTGAAGAGGATGGGTATTCTGTATGTTTTATCTTGAATTTTTCCCCTCACTTGAATTATGATCCCCCAGAGTTACTGCCCTTCGTTTTCACTCGGCCAGAAGGTAGGCAGAGAACGCCCACTACCTGTACAGTGATGTGTTTTCCCTTTCTCTCAGGGTACCGTACGTGAAAAAGAAGACTTTGATGCTGATGCAGCAGCAGAAATACTCCGGAATGCGATGTGTGGTTTGGGTAATGTATATTTAAATAACGTGCTATTCACATTGATATGTAGTTTCTGTGTGAAAAAAATAGGTGGTGTATTGAGCGTCGCTTTACTTTTTATTCCATTAAAGTGGTATCGCTAACACTACTTGGTGATATTCCTATAACTGGTGACGTCACCAATTCGTTTGGAGATGTCACAGTTTCGTCATTGTGATATCTCTATAACTGGTGACGTCACCAATTCGGTTGGAGGTATCATAGCTTCATTAGGGTGATATTTCTATAATTGGTGACGTCACTAATTCGGTTGGAGATATCACTTACGTTGTTATGGTGATAGCGTTGTTATGGTGATAACGTTGTTATGGTGATTTCTCCATAATAAAGTGATACACAACACCATAATTTGGGAACCTGCTCCAGCTGAATAAGATGATATCATCATACTTATTAGGCCTATCTCTGAAGTCACCATTTACACGAGCATTCATTGGGAGTCAAGGACAAGTTTTATGAAATGCCGAAAATGAATTTTGAATTGAACATCTCTTCTTCACAGTAGTGTGTGTATTTTCACAGGTACGTCTGAGGAACCTATCATTGATGTTGTGGACAGCCATAATAACGCACAGCGTCAGGACATAGCAGTAGCGTTCAAACAGTCCTACGGCAAGGTTTGTGTACAACCACCTTAATAAATATCCCGGACCACTATCTCTCCAGAAACCTCCTTAAACTATGACATTTATTTCTCCAGCATCATCCATAAAATTCCGATGTCTATATTTCCAGCTATGCTCGTAAATATATGATTCATATCTCTCCAGCAACATCTGTACATCTCTAACTGTATCTTTTCTCCTGTCATTCTCTGCCCACTCTCCAGTATTCCTCGCGAACCTTTGACTCTTAAGTCTCTGTCAATCCCTTCAGTCATTGTTGAATGTCGACTTTTCAATATTCTCCGCCAATATTTTACTCTCAACCCTCCAGTGTTTCCGCCAGTCTTTGATAACAACCAACTCTCACGAATTGCAAGTCCTCTTTGACAATCAACTCTCCAGCACTTTCCGTCAATCTTTGCCATTCTTTGACAATAAAGTCTTCAGCAGTCCCTGCTTGTCGGATGACTTGTCGTGTAGTTGTTTAAACTCTACGCTAGACTTCGCTTCTTAAATACAACTAAATGTCAGGGTTATAGATCCTGTCGTTTTGATTGGCGGATATTAATATTTACTGTAGGACATTCCTTTCCAAGATGGCCCCAAGGAATTTCGTAGTCAAAGTTTAAATGTCTGCATCTAGCGATAGCTACCTTGTGGTTAAATATGCGTTTTTGCAATACCAATGGTATTTTCATGAGAACATTACCCATTACCGTACTTTGTATATTGATTTTTTTTAAATCATGATTGTTTCAAGCAGACGCTCGGCTTCCCTATCCAGCATTCCCCGCCAATCTCTGCCATGTACCTCTCCGCCAATTTTTTCAACTCAACTCTACCAGCATTTCCCGTCAATCTTTTATTCCCAATTCCCTAACATCCCTGCCCATTTGTGTTGAAAATCAACTCTACAGCATTAGAAGTTTTAAAAAACAGTTTTCCTACATTCCTCCTTTTTGGATAGTGCGTGACCAGTTTGTCCTTAAATCTTGACACCGACTCGGGCTCAGTGCAGTGGTGTATAATTATTTTCTATTTTAGGATCTGATTGAAGAGCTCAAGTCTGAACTTGGAAGTAACTTCGAGAACACTGTCGTTGCGTTAATGACGCCTCCACGTCTATATGACGCAAAAGAGCTCAACAAGGCCATCAAGGTAAATATCGAGTCCAGTATCATAGATACTCCAAGGGTTACGATCACTTTCGTACCGTAAAACATGTCATGACAAAATTGAAGGCACAAGCGAAGCGATTTGATTGGTTCCAAGCGAAAAAAACTTACCAATCACAGGCTGACACGCTCATTTTGAAGATTGCAAAGTAGCGACACCAAACTGCATACGATTTCGAGATTCATTTGATGTACATTAAATGATCAAACTATTCTTTTTTTGACTTGCTCACAAGGTATTGCATATGGAATCTTCAATATTGCCATGACATGTTCCAGGGGCGAAAATGATCCCTGGAGTATCGAGGATGCTATTCCACAAACTCTTTGTAACCATACGACTAAAAAGACACCAAAATATTTGTCATGGTAATATGAAACACATAATACATGAAACATATAATACAATTAGATACATCAGTCAAATAAGGAAAAGAAAAACTATGATAAACAATCAGAGAATGCGTAAAAGAGAAGAGGACGAGGGTTTTTAGAACAGTTATATTTTTTATATATTGTAGGGAATTGGAACTGACGAGACAGCACTGGTAGAGATAATGTGCTCCCGTACTAACGAGGAACTGGAGGAAATCAAAGCCGTGTACCAACAAGGTAAAATGTTGAAACCTAATCTCGGAACAATTGAGGCACAACGAAAATTAAAGTAAATGTTTATTCAACAGAGCAAGTGTACAATAAATGTAGAATATGACATCTGAAGTTACGTCCATCTTGATCTGTCAACATAAACATAAACATATCTCATGCAATTTTGTGTCATGTAACAGAGTATGAAGTGGCACTGGAAGAGGACTTAGATTGTGACACATCCGGGTACTTTGGTCGCTTGATGATTTCTTTGGTTACTGGTGGGAGAGACGTGGATGACACTGTTAACGACGAGGACGCCGATACTGAGGCACAGGAACTGTACGATGTAGGTGTTGTGTGCCTTCTTTATCCTGTTACGTTTCTTCAGGTCCCCTAAACTTTTACCAAATAGATTTGATTGTATTCATATTTACTTAATTACTTACTAATGTTTCCCAAATACGGTGATGTCTCTCTGCTTGAATTATCACTTTATTGTTGTGAATCTCTACAGTAATGTCTACAATGTGATCCGAGACCGTAGCAGGTCTCTGCAGTAATATGATTATTGTTGTACATTGTGATCCGAGACCGTAGCAGGTCTCTGTAGTAATATGATTATTGTTGTACATTGTGATCCGACACCGTAGCAGGTCTCTGTAGTAATATGATTATTGTTGTACATTGTTGTACATTATAAAATCTCCTGTAATGTCAGGTCTCTGTAGTAATATGATTATTGTTGTACATTGTGATCCGACACCAAGGAAAATATTTTTAGTAATGTCTACATTGTAGTACATTTTGATATCAGACCATAAATATTTCTATTGTGATGTCTACATTGTTGTACATTATAAAATCTCCTGTAATGTCTACAGGTGTTGTCACTGTGATCCGAGATCATAAAAATCTCTATTGTGATGCTGCATTGTTGTACATTACAAAATCTCCTGTAATGTCTACAGGTGTTGTCACTGTGATCCGAGATCATAAAAATCTCTATTGTGATGTCTACATTGTTGTACATTATAAAATCTCCTGTAATGTCTACAGGTGTTGTCACTGTGATCAGAGATCATAAAAATCTCTATTGTGATGTCTACATTGTTGTACATTATAAAATCTCCTGTAATGTCTACAGGTGTTGTCACTGTGATCAGTGATCATAAAAATCTCTATTGTGATGCTGCATTGTTGTACATTATAAAATCTCCTGTAATGTCTACAGGTGTTGTCACTGTGATCAGAGATCATAAAAATCTCTATTGTGATGTCTACATTGTTGTACATTATAAAATCTCCTGTAATGTCTACAGGTGTTGTCACTGTGATCAGAGATCATAAAAATCTCTATTGTGATGTCTACATTGTTGTACATTATAAAATCTCCTGTAATGTCTACAGGTGTTGTCACTGTGATCCGAGATCATAAAAATCTCTATTGTGATGTCTACATTGTTGTACATTATAAAATCTCCTGTAATGTCTACAGGTGTTGTCACTGTGATCAGAGATCATAAAAATCTCTATTGTGATGCTGCATTGTTGTACATTATAAAATCTCCTGTAATGTCTACAGGTGTTGTCACTGTGATCCGAGATCATAAAAATCTCTATTGTGATGCTGCATTGTTGTATATTATAAAATCTCCTGTAATGTCTACAGGTGTTGTCACTGTGATCCGAGATCATAAAAATCTCTATTGTGATGTCTACATTGTTGTACATTATAAAATCTCCTGTAATGTCTACAGGTGTTGTCACTGTGATCAGAGATCATAAAAATCTCTATTGTGATGCTGCATTGTTGTACATTACAAAATCTCCTGTAATGTCTACAAGGCTGTACATTGTGATCGGAGACCCTAAATATTTCTACTGTAATGTTAACACGTTTTTGCTTTGTAGGCCGGGGCCGGTTGCTGGGGCACAGAGGAATCCAAATTCAATCAAATTCTGTGCAGACGTAATTTCAATCAACTTAATAGAATATTTGAAGTGTATGAGGAAAAGTTCGGCCAGTCCGTGAGGGAAGCAATATCGAGTGAATTCAGCGGAAGTGTACAAGATGGATATACGGCTATAGGTAAAATTTCATGATTGTATGTAACTTGAGAGTCGACTGAATGTCCCCGTTAATTACTCCGATATAGGTATTACGTGCTGTATGGAATATACAATGACGTTAATGAAATGAAACGAAACGCAATGTTTTCCGTTTCCTCCCATTAGTTATAGATAATACTAATTGCTCATAGAACAACCGTCCGGATAAAATAGACAAATATAATAATTTTTTTGTGAAGTTTGAGATGCATTTGTTGGCAATATTTCTACAGGTTTTCCTATGTACCTAAACTAGCTATATTTTAATATAAAATGTTCATCTTCATCTTCAGTCGATATAGCAGAAAACAAACCTTTGTTTTTTGCCAAGAGACTGGACAATGCCATGAGAGGAATTGGTACCAGTGATGATGACCTCATCCGCCTGATTGTGTCCAGGAGCGAGGTAAAATCGCCAACAGCTATGTTAAAGGATTTTTAAATTAAGAATGCTTTGATTGAATCCATATAGTGATTCTCGACGCCATTTTACAGGAATAAAAATATTTCGAATTAGGATGTCAACAAATTTCAGTGATGTTCACATGTCGCTGACTTTGAACAAATTAAATATGTCTTTTCGTTAGGTGAAATTGTAAAATGACCTTTAGAAATTTTAAGGCCTTAATGAATTCCGCCAACTTGTCAACATGTTCTTATCTCATTTTCGTCAAATTAGAAACAATGAGTTATCTTTAAAATATCCTGCATATTTTAACGGATGCAATAAAATTGTATAGAATATCTTGGCAGATTTGATTTTTTAACACTATTTTATTTCACAAAATCAATGTTAGTTAGGTGCAGGTACCGTCTTAATGGATTTGGTAAATTTTTCAAAATGTCTAAACATTTCTGTGTGAAATGATATGCAAGGTCTTTACGGATTTGGTGAAATTGTGTATAAGGTCTTAAAGGACTTGGTCTTTTTTTACATGTAAATGATACATAAGCTGTTTTCATTTTTTTACACCTCCAAAAATTCCATTGAATGTGCACGTGTCTGATGTGGTATTTATGTATGTACAGGTTGATATGGAGGAGATCCGCACAGCTTACTACTACATGCAGCCCGAGGACGACCGCCGAACATTACGAGAAGCAGTAGCAAGCGAATGCAGCGGTGACTACAAGAACATGCTGTTGGCCCTTCTCAACAAAGACGACTGAAGACATGTCAAAAACGTAGCACTCTCTTGAGAAATGCCTTGCCTGTCGGTCCGTCAAGTTTTGACGAGATCACGGATTTAAAGGAACGTTTTGTATAATCTGCCAGAAATATTGCTAGGAAGTAGCCGCTTATTAACTCATCCAGTTTAGCAGCGGGAAATGATTTGAAACTCTACCGTAACTTCAAATACGCCATTCTGCGGCTGCTGGACATGCACCTCGCGGTATTGTAGCAGTATTTCAACTTACTCTTATTTTTGGACATACAATGTATTCATATTTTTAACAACTAGTAGCGTACATTCCGGTGTTATTATTATAAAAATATGTCTCTTCATGTTGGGGTTTGTTTTTTCATTAATTAACAAAGTACAACTTCTATCTTTAAAATTAAAATATAACACGACAAGAATTGAACTGGCGATCGCATCATATGCAGTTTAGCAAACACTTGTTTTCAGCATCAGAACCTCTTAATGCTATCTTTAAACAGTTTGGAAACGTGACAATATCCTTCTTTACGGCCAAGGATTGGTCACCAGTTTATTGTGATGAAAATGTGAATAGGGAAACATAACTCCGACACAACACTTAAATTAAACCAAATTTGAAAAAAAGCTAAATATTATATTAATGATGCTACAAGGTGATGTTCGGGTCTTTCAGTCATATTAAGAAATCAGGGGCGATTCTTAGCGGAAACTGGATTTTTGTCACTTGAACAAAATTATAGCCACCACCAATATCTCTTTGTCAGTTCTATAAAATCATTGTTAATTTCAATACTAACCAAAATCAAAAGCATTATTTCATTATTACAAATCAATAGTTAGGCTTGTGTATAAATATAATATGGAAGCAAATATCATGCAAAATAACTAATTTCATCGTGAAATTTCCCGAAGGACACGTCGGTGTTACATGTATTGCATGACGACTGGAAAAGCGGAACGACGAACGGACAGACAAAAATGATTACTTTAGGGCACCGCATCTGTTAATTGTTGCAGATTTTGCGGCTTAGAGGTAGAATTGGGCTTGTAGATTGCCGCTCAGGTAGGATTGACGAATTTGTAGATTGCCGCTCAGGTAGGATTGATGAATTTGTAGATTGCCGCTCAGGTAGGATTGATGAATTTGTAGATTGCCGCTCAGGTAGGATTGATGAATTTGTAGATTGCCGCTCAGGTAGGATTGACGAATTTGTAGATTGCCGCTCAGGTAGGATTGATGAATTTGTAGATTGCCGCTCAGGTAGGATTGATGAATTTGTAGATTGCCGCTCAGGTAGGATTGACGAATTTGTAGATTGCCGCTCAGGTAGGATTGATGAATTTGTAGATTGCCGCTCAGGTAGGATTGACGAATTTGTAGATTGCCGCTCAGGTAGGATTGATGAATTTGTAGATTACTGCTTGGGTAGGATTGGCAAGTTTGCAGATAACTGCTAAGGTAGGTTTAATGTATTTGCAGTTTGTGGCTTATATAGGATTGATAGTTTTGCAAATTGTGCAGATTGGTGGATTTGCATGTATCGGAGATGGTGGTTTATATTTTGTTTAAATCCCGATTAAAGGTGTTGAGGTCAAATTTTCATATCAAGAATCCAAATCACGGACTTTGCATCGCAATACGTCTCAAACAAAATGATACCGTACCATTACACCTCTTGCCCACAAAATGTAATTTAGATCACCTTGTTCGATAAGGAGAGTCGGTGGTAGCATTGCAAATAAAACTGTCGACTGTACACCTGTCAGTGGTGACGCTTTTCTATTAAATCCGATGACACCTTGTATTTAACAGCTTCCACTCCAGCCCTAATATTGTAAAGTTTAGCAATGCAGTAAATAAAATAATTGATGTTCTTTGATACAAGTCGAAGACACTTCCGGTAAATGAAATTTCATCTCACCTAGATGAAGCCATGCCTAAAACAAAGTTCAAGCGACTGACAAAAAGTGAAAAAGAAAGTAAGGTAGAGTTATCCTTAACCCTAAAACCATATATCTTATCCGACTATCAACGAAGCACTGAACGTATCCTTTATGAATCATAACTTAAATATTGATGCAAGTTCGGTTCATGCGGTTGAAGCAGCACCCAGCCAACCTAACCTCAAATGTTTTTCTTAAATATACTACGATTATACCACTACCTGATACATACAACCAGTAACCATCATAGTAGACGGTGTATATCTGACTCCAACACTAAGTACAATGTAGACGGTGTATCTATGACCCCGACACTAACTACAATGTGGACGGTGTATCTATGACCCCGACACTAACTACAATGTGGACGGTGTATCTATGACCCCGACACTAACTACAATGTGGACGGTGTATCTATGACCCCGACACTAAGTACAATGTAGACGGTGTATCTATGACCCCGACACTAACTACAATGTGGACGGTGTATCTATGACCCCGACACTAACTACAATGTGGACGGTGTATCTATGACCCCGACACTAACTACAATGTAGACGGTGTATCTATGACCCCAACACTAACTACAATGTAGACGGTGTATCTATGACCCCATGAGCTATGACTATGACCTCAACAGTAACCATGATGGTAGACGGTGTATACGTTACCCAACAGTAACCATGATGGTAGACGGTGTATACGTTACCCAACAGTAACCATGATGGTAGACGGTGTATATGTTACCCAACAGTTACCATGATGGTAGACGGTGTATACGTTACCCAACAGTAACCATGATGGTAGACGGTGTATATGTTACCCAACAGTTACCATGATGGTAGATGGTGTGTCTATGACCCAAACAGAAAACATAATGTGGACGGTGTATTTTTGTCCCTTACAGTAACCATGTGTGTGTATTTATGATCCCCATTAGTAATCATAACGGTAGACGGTGTATCTTCGTCTTCTCACAGTAACCATAATGTAGACGATGTATCTTTGACACCCCATCCCCTTTTCTCCAATAACTATAATGATAAGTATATAACGATCCCGATTCGATGATCACATTAATGACAAAATGGTTCCGAATCATAAAAGACATCTGGAACCATTTACTATCGGAATACTTGAGCACGGAATTTTCACTCTCACTACTATAAGGGGAGTAACTCCAACACAACCATTGATTTGACGGTTTAGGAACATGAACAACTCTTAACCGTGAAATGATGCGATTTAAAATGCACAATATCTGCCATGATGAACCAATATGAATGAGCAGCATTTATGGGCAAGAAAATTGCCAAGGATCACTTCTGAACAGCAAGTTTTTTTACCGAGAAAATTCTACATGAAGATGATATATTAACAATTAAAAGTAAAGATTCCAGGTCATCATAAAAGACCTTTAAAAAAATTCTTGTTCCACTTGTTATTATTACATTCTTAACAGTTCACCAACACATAAAAGGTTATTAGGGCCAAGTAAGTTCCAGTTTCAATATAGATATAATAATTAATGACAAGGTGAAAATGTATGGCTTGATTTGCTGTTTTGATGGTCATCATGTGATCTTACAAATGTAAACTGATACCTTATAGTCTTATTATCTTCCAGATTTTCAAAATTATTTGTAATAAAATGTTATGTTAATCTGATCTTAAATAGAACAATAGTTCAGTGTTATTTCAACCAATAAATTTGAATTATATTCCTGGTCCATGGTATGCATGAAAAGTTATTTATCATTTGGGTAAAACTTTAAAACGACAGAAGTGGTTAACAACAGAATTGAAAGCTGATACAGTAGTAAAGCCATTGGATACTTAATGAAAAGCAAAGTGCCAAAATTTAATAGCTATCATTAAAAACTAATTCTGTAACATATAAACAAGTCAGGAATGATAGATGCTCTAAATTTGTAAGATATTACAAGCCTATGAATTAGGATCAATCTAGACATTTGAAATTTGCTTTTAGTATGCCAACTCTATATGACTATAAGGGATACCTTTATGATATATAAAGATAACAACACTTGACATACTGCAAATGTGAGCTATGTTTATTCACGAATACTGGATATAAAAATAAAAATATGCTGAATGGACACCAAAAAGACACAGAGAGCTAATAACTGTACGGGTACAAAAACCAACTGCAGGTAAGATACCTAGTAATGTTATCTGTTTTGAACAAACACGGGGAAAGAATTTGACTGAAGCAAGTGTGATAACCTATATCCCTGAAAGAATGAAGAAAATAATTTGCCAATGAACAAGGACCCAACATGAAAGAGAATTCGCCACGAAGGCTTCTAAGGACAATAAATGGTCACTCAGTTCAAACCAACCCCTACATTATTCAAGCTCCTTATATATGTACATAACATCAGCAAACTCAACACCGACAGTAGTGTATCACCAGCCTTGATGGTGCATGCTTTATTTACAAAAGATGACAGTGATAATTTCAATAAACTCAAAATTATGAAAAGTTAATTCATTACTGGATGATAAAATGGTGTGTGGTTGTTTAAAGAGTTATGAGCTTTGTTTAGGTACATATTCACCAATACCTGTGGTGGACTGTACCATACATGGAGCCCCAGGACTAGAGACATGATTAATGTTATATACATAATAACAAAACATAAAACAGCCCTGACAACAAAACACCTTGTGTCCATTACTGTGGGCAGATTAGTAGTCTAAAGCTTCCATAACAAAGTGAAAATTATGCAACTTTCTCATATAACAGGCAGTTCTACACAATCAGACTGCCTTATATCATTTAACAACAAGACAAAAAGTATCACATACATCAGAGATGAGGGTAACTGTTTTTGATTGATATATCTATACATATGTTTATAGATCTATTTGCCTATTAACTATCATCTGCAGTATCCTTTTTTAGTATTATCTGGGCACCAGGTTAGGGGTGAAAATCAATGAGAAAAAAAAATCAAAACAAATATCACTTTTTACTTCATCAAATGTACCCAGTTTTATATATAATATATATCTATAATATATATACTATGTGTATGTATTATATGAGTGAAATAAGTTCATATACAACATAATTGACAGTTATTCATAATTAGAGCACTATTTTTCACTAAAAAGAAATAAATTATCAAACTAATGCACATAATAATGGTGCGGGTTCTGTACAAACAAATGCCATTTGGAGTGACAACACCCCTTACTACAAGTATACATCCTCACACTCGCTACAAACAAGTCAGGATCTTGATTTCAACACTTCAGACTATGTACACGACAAATCAATGATCCTAGATACAACTTATACTTTGAAAGAGTCAAGAGTATTTACAATTGTCAATAATAACTAAATCAACCATCAACAGAGTACCAAGTTGGATGTTAGTATGAGACAGTAATAGTAGGGTTTATCTGTGGTCTCGGGAGGAACGTCGACGCTTGTTAGGAGGAGGTAGAGTTTCGGTTGCATCTGAAGAAAGAAAAATGTAATTCATATTTCTTCTACAACAAGCTAACAAAAACAACTTTTATCCTATTTTAACATTTGCCAGATAGCTATTTTTTTTAATAAAGAATACCAATGTAATTGTTAGATTCCTTTAACATCTAAAATCTCAGGTTGGTAAGCTAAAATTGTAATGCACCAATGAGAGTAAGCTGCACCCATATTGGTGATTGATGTGAAATAGTCTACCTGGTCAACAAATACAAATTGGTAAATTGTATTCTGCCATCCTAAATCTACAACTATAATGTGTATGGCAGTTTTGATAAATCTATATGAAACAAGGTAACAATTCCCAAACATAATAATAAACTTGCTGTTCTGACAATCCTGAAAATTTAGCTTAAATAGTTTAGATCTGTATCTCATTCACTGCATGGGTAGGGATTGTCTAGTTACCTCTGGGTTTGGAGGACCGAGTAGAGCGTTTAGAGTCCTCCTGTGGGTCAGTGTTGGGGGATACTAAGGTTCGGGTTCGACTGCGCACTGGAGACCTGTCACGGATTTCTGCAACACAAATACATCATATTATACAACAGACCAAGGGATCCTACACTGCATATATGATAAATGTGAAATATTAATATCTTACCTTCTTAGTCATGTAAATAGAAATAAGATTATATGTTTCATATGATAAAAAAATGATCCAGCATTAATCAATCTTGGAATAACAGAAAGTAAAAGAAATATGTGTATGTGGAGTGAAAGTTACATTGGTTAATCAGGCAGGCTGATGAATCTAGTTAATCTGGAAACAAAAGCATTAATATTGCAATCTAAAATTTTGTCAAGAGCAACTCAAATCATCACATTGAAAGATCAACCAAATCCTTTTTCAAAAATAAAATTGAAGATGAATATTGAAATTAAGGATATGTATGTGTAGTTTTGTTTTATAAATGATAACGAAAGACATCCACCCTTCCCTCAAATATGTCTCTGTATTGATTAGTGTTAGTGTAGATCAATTCTTTATACATACGGTTTTGGATAGCAAGCGTTGGAGAGTGTCTACTTCGCCGACTCAGTTGAGCTTTCTTGTTCTGTGCTAATTCATCTTCTGAAACTAATGGCTTTTTCTTTGGGTCTTTGTTGATTGCCTTTTGCTTTTCATCCCCAGAAGGTGCCTTGTTCTGAGTTCTGTTCCTGAGTCCAGTTTTGACAGAATCTAGCGTGGAAGTCAAACCATCAATTGTTTCATTGGTTGACACCTTTACAGTATCATTCTTCAGAGTGGTATTGACATTATCTTTGGTATCAGAAGAACGAGTATGTTTTGCTACCTCAGAATCATCTAAACTTGTTATTTTCTTGTTAGGATCTGAAACACCAATCTCCTCATTCTGCATTGGTTTCCTTCTCCGAGAAGATGTTCGTAGGTTCTTACCCAATTCACTGTCAGTACTCTTGTCCTGTGAGTCGGCGGTGTTTGAACGCTGTCTTGTACCAGATTCCTTTTCAGCTGCTTCTGATGGATTGTTACGTTGTCTAGTCAGACGAAGATTGTGTTGGGCTGAAGACATATTTTCATTTGGTTTGCTTTCAATGGGTTTATTTTCATTTGATTCTGAAGACTTTCTGCTTCGTCTCAATGCCATTGTAGTTGTGGAGAAATCGTCTGGTGTTGAAGGCCTGGAACTATCAGGCACACTGGCTGGTTTTTGTGATTTGGAGGCAACAGCATGTGCCGAGGAATCTGTGATACCATCCGTGCAGTTACCAAGATTACTGTCACTGTACACTGGTAGCAGCTGTGGAACATTGTTAGTTTTCTCCTTTGAGTGGGTTTCGTCTTCATTTTGGTTTAAGTTCTGTATACTGAAATTACCTGTGTATTGTTCTTGTGACAAACTATCTGGTCGTTTATCATATATATTCTCATAATTTGGCTTTGTGTTCATATGTGAAGCAGTATTGTCTCCGCAGTGCTGCTGCTGATATGAAGCACTAGTTGGTGTAATACCACTGACAGCCACACTACCTACAGTTTCAGCACGACTAGATGTAATCTCAGGACATTGAGAAGTATTCGTACACAAATTATTGTTGTTGGCACTACAGTTAACGAGTAAATTTGGAGAACAGTTTTTGGAATTCTCTGTACTAGAAGTATTGCACTCATTCCCATTACAATTAAGAGTAACTTTTGGTGGTAAATGACCTGTCTGTTCATCTTGTTCAAGGATGTGCTTGGCTTCTACAGCTACAGTAGAAGTATTAATGTCTGTGTTTGTAGAACAAGCTGTATAAGTTGTTTGCATTAATACACAATCCGGTCTAGTCACACCAATATGAGATGTCCCTTTTTGCTTTCGAGATGGAGTAGACATTTGTAAAACAGGTTCTTCCACATTAGCACTATTCGTAAAGAGTGTAGACAACGTTCCACTAGTATTGTTTGCCATCAAATTTGGTTGTGATTCTAAAGTAGCAGTCCAATTTTCTGCACGGGTATTAGGCTCCCCCTTGGTCCCACCATTCATACCATCACTGATGCTATGCACTCTCTCTTGCATTGGATTCATACACAGAGATTCCATGTTTGAGTCAGAATGCAATAATAAGTTTGAATCACAGTTAGCGAAAGTATGGTGAGTTGAGCTGCCTGTGAAAGAAACATTAGATTCCTGTGAGGGCAGAGTTTGAAAGTCAGTCTGAATGAAATGGTGACTAGAGCTTGGTAAACAATCTTGATTATTTACTAGTTCATCTTCTTGTGTTCTGCAGGTCATTAAATTGGGGATTTCAGCAGACAGATGTGGGGGAGCTGCTGAGTCTGTGTCCAGAGGTGAATTAGACTTGACAAATTTTCCAGCCATTGCTGCCTCAGACACAGACAGCCTACCATCTGGTGCAGTCCGAGTTAATCTAGGAGGAGAACTAGAGGCTTGAGATTTTGTAGATGTTGTATTAACAGGAGACTTGTGTTGTGAATGAGGTAGTGAGGACTGATCTATTGAGGGTAGAGGCTTCACCAGCTTCTGTACAGATTCTGTCAGCCGTTTTGCTAGAGGTAGGGCAGGGTCAAAGAAATGCTGGGGGAGAGAGTTGATCATTGAGTTTGCTGGGGACCGTCGCTTGTTTGAAGACGCTGCACTTGTTGAAAATTTCTGTGGATCATAACTTCCACTACTGCTAACAACACACCTACTTGTGTCCAATTTGGATGTTACTGGCCCATTACTCATTACCTCTGAAACACATGTACTGTAATTCAGAGAATGAACTCCATCAGCAGACTTTCCAAAACCTGTCATTCCTGAACTTGGAATCACATTGTCTGCTTGGCTTGATGCCATAGAAACTGGGTTGTTTGCGAGGGGAGATTTTGTCCTCTTGTCTACTTGAGGATTCCTTGGAAATGATTTCTGTTGATAATATTGTGAAATATTTGGCTGAGAAGCCTCTGAGGAACTGAAAGATACCACACTTGCCCCTGATGGTCCAGATGTGGGCCGGGACACAATGTTGTTTGTCCCTGGTTGTACATTATTGTAGTCATTATTGCACATTCGGTAAGAATCCTCAGACATCATAGATGAGCGAGGACTGGAGCATCTACTGGCTGGGTGACTGTTGACCTTGAGAGAGGGAACTGTAGATCTAGCCACATCCTGTTGTGTTGAGAATGGTGCCCGTCTTGGCTCATCACTTTTACCCATGTTGCTTACTCCATGTGAAAATGTAGTGTGTACATCAGTCCCACCTAATAAATATAAAATGCATCATTAGACAAATGTTGTGAAAAGCATAACTGAAAGTCTCTTCCGAACTTCATCACTGTCAAGAACACTCCAAAATAGCTTTAGGGAAATCATCATGTTCTCTATAATAGTCAGTAACAAAAAGACATCACTAAAGGAGGTGACGTTGATACATCAACATTAGTGATCATTCACCTTGGATCTGCTATTAATGTAGTACAAATGGTATATTTATATAACTTGTCAGGAAGTCATGCCGTCATACCATTCATTCAGAGAAGCGTTTGACATACCTTTCAGTCAGATCAAGACATTTCCTTTATCTTAAAGGCAGTCAAGAAATAACAAGACAATGCCTTTATCTTAAAGGTAGTTAGGAAATTACAAGACAACACCTTTATCTTAAAGGCAGTTAGGAAATTACAAGACAACGCCTTTATCTTAAAGGCAGTTAGGAAATTACAAGACAACACCTTTCTCTTAAAGGCAGTTAGGAAATTACAAGACATAAAGGCAGTTGGGAAATTACAAGACATAAAGACAGTTGGGAAATTACAAGACATAAAGGCAGTCCGGAAATTACAAGACATAAAGGCAGTCACGAAATTACAAGACAACACATCTATCTTAAAGGCCAGAGGAGATCACATGACAATATCTTTATTTCAAAGGCAGTAAAGAGATCAACGACCATACCTTAACCTTCAACACAGTAAGGAAATTACAAAACCTTTATCCTGAAGATCCAAAGAGATCACATAATACCTTTGAATCTTAAAAAGTAGTCAGAAAATCATGTGTGCACATGACAATATCTTAAAGGCAGTCAGATGGTCACATGAAAATATCTTTATCTTAAAGGCATACTGGAGATTACATCAGAATACCTTATGAGGCATGTGATCTCCTTCCGGCCTTTAAGATAAAAGTATAAAAAGTATTGCCATTTATTTCCTTCCAGCCTTTAAAGGCATACAGAAAATAGCCTTACAAAAAAGGTGGTCAGAAATTACATAATGAAATCACATGACAAAGGGGTTTTATTTGAACGGTATTCAGGAAATCACATGATAATATCTTATTGTATTGTTTATAGGTTATAAATATTGATTACCAATAAAATCAATGTGTGAAGTTTGAGTTTGATCATGTCAAACAAAATTTGTTACTGAACATAAAAACTATTCTATGTATGATAACAGTGACCTTTACCTTTGACCTTCTTTACCAGAAAGTGATTAAAAGCAAGCCATGTCAATAGGGAAGCACCTAAATAGTTTATTTGGTCGGAAAGAACTCAAATTATTAGGCAAAAACTAATTATATTTAAGTGACCTTGATGTTTGACCTTTTGAACCCAAAATGCAATCCCAACCAAACTTCAGCACTCCTTAAAAGAAAACTATCTATTTGACACTTTGATTCAGTAATAAAACTGAACAGAGCATGTGTATGGTTAATACTTTTGATACTTTCTCAAGGGCAGTCATTAGTGTACTATATCATTGTATGTCTTACTACTTACACTTAACAAAAGTATAGTGCACATACTTCAATATGGGTGACAATTAATAAAGAAATAGACTTGTCTAGGTCACTTTTCTCCAGTTGGATTAGGAAGTTACCTTTGTCTATTTTGGGAATTAAAATGATCCATTAGGAAGAATATCTGATCAGTTATTTTGTGGACAATTTTATAATTATTTCAGTTATAGACTCAAAAGTCTTTAGCAAACGCAAGGATATAAATTTCTAATATGAAGTTCATAACTTCATATGACAAATCTCACTAACATCTTTTTTTTCAAAGAAAAATCTATTTTGATATGTAATGGATAGTGACAACAAAGACTTTCTATTAGAAATTGACAGTGACCTTGAATGACTGCTACAATCCAAAACACAAAATATCTATAAATACAGTGTATAAATATAATTGTATTATCTTTGAAAATGCCAAATGGCTAATATATAACCTTTTTCTCAAAGTAGAGAGCCAGTACAGAATAATAATAATAAAGCATTTGTCAGCATTTCTGTTAACTACAATAGAAATAGATTTTCCTATTGCCAGACATGTACACTATGGTATTTTTGTACATACAAGGCCTGCATGTTTGGCCTTTCACATATGAGGTTATATAAAAACATTATTAAGTCATTCAGGGGATTTTCCATCAATTGCAATGATAACATTGATGTTAGCTCATGAGCTATTTCACACATAATCCCATCCATGAATTCTCATACTTTTCAAACTTTTAATCAATTTCATACTAAAACTTTCCAAATGTCAATGATGACAGATATTTTCTATATAAGGTTATCATGATGACTAACCACAAAGATAGTACATGCAACAGAAATTGTTGAAGTATTCGCTGTTCTTTTAAGTGATGAAAGAGGTTTCTAACAAATATTCAAGACTGTGACATAAGCACAATAGTTTTAAAACCATGTTTGACAAAGCCATTTTAGACTTATAAGGAGATGTGCCATTCAAATGAATTTTGCTCTTGAATTTTCAAAGTATTTATCATGATCATTATCAATCTTAGTTCCAAGCCTGAAAAGGGTTGGATAACTAACCTTTATGCAATGGTGCTTGCAGATTGACATAAGGATGAGTATTGATAAAGTTCCTTTTTCTCTTGCAGTCAATAACTGTAAAAGTTTTATTTTGAATAAATAATCTAAATACAGTTTAACATCTAGCAGTCTGAAACTATGATGACCAAATGCAAATGCACAGAGAATTTGTCATGAAACTATCTTTGTAACCATGTCACAAGAGATTTATTTGTAATCTACAGTACTAAATATAAACAACCTTAACTTTTATACTCAGAATTTGACCTTAAAGTGAAGATGCTGAAAAACTTTCATGATATAGTAAAGAGCCATACATAGATACATAAATTGCATTATTTTTTCATTGGTTGAAGTGTATATTGACTACCTGGAATGTTGCCTACAAGAAAATGTTAAAAAGACATATGATTTGTCATAATAACTTCAATCACTTTCAGAAAATTACAGAGTGTGTGAGTTTTAATCTCATGCAGGATTTTGTCACAGATACAACGATCATACCTAAAATACATTAAACTCTATCTCTTCCATTTCAACAAAATTGAGTGAGAGAATATGGAATGTGGATTAAGGTAACATTCTAAACTTTAGCAATTGCAAGCAGCACATTTCTTATTTATAATGCATCTTAGTAGTTTATTACATGAATTGGAATGAAACAATTTTGACACATGATTATCACCTGATAATTTTTAGCCAAAGCTGAATATAAATGATACTAAGTGCTAATGCCACATCCAGAAAAAAAACATATTGATTACAAGAAGAACTTTAGAAGGAGTTCCTGTTTCCAGGTTTTACTGGACAACCGTGGATCAAGAGATTTCATTTTAACAAGCATGGTAAGATATTACATTGTCATCAAGGTTTCAAAACTATGTCAAATGACATGTCATAACTGCAAGTGAACAAATTTTGGCCTGTTCAATTGTCAGGGAAGTATTGAATTTTCAAAGGTTATCACACAATAACATTACAAAATCACAGGCACAATGACTACAATAGTAATCACTACTAGAGTACAAAAACTAAACAGCACATACACAATTGCAGAAACAATATTAAAAGCTACAATATATACATTAACATTATTTGCCTTTTTTATCACCTTGATTTGATACCTACACTTATACACTGTGACATGGGAGAGTGGACAAAGGCCATTCATTTAGTATGTACAGCAACACATATTTGTGGCCAAATATCAGAATACTACTGCTTGATGAAATTACAATGGTTAAGAAGGGCATACCAAAACTTGGCCAGATTGTTCTGACTTGTACCAGGTAATCTGTACAGATTCAGAATTTTGTAGGTAGGATTCATGCAATGTTAATTGATAAATTTGTTTAGTAAGAGACATGTCTTATTTCTTTAACCTTTATTTACAATAATTTATGAAAACAGAGGTAGGGGACAAACTGTTTCAGTTTCACAAAGAATCTATTCAAAGGTTCCACTCATAATTTAAATTTCTCAAAAGATTTTACAGTTATTCAACTCGAGACAGATCACTTATTAACTGTGGTTAGTTATAATGTGAGGATTTTAGAACAAATGAATTACTAACCAAATGTAGAATTGCAATTGCCATGTGGTGATATTAGAGGATCCATTTTCTGCATATGCTTTAAATGGTCTGCAGAATAAGGAGGCAGCTTTTGTTTGTTCGTCATCACTGGTGCTACACATTCTTCTCTCAGAAACTGCTTTGGACTTTTGCGTTTGTTGGATTCTACCTGGTTAGAGAATATTTTCTCTCTAGTCGACCAATGTAGTACAGTATTTTGGTGACTAGGGCCAACATGGTTCATAACCTTGGTCTTGTCTTTCCGGCAATTCACATGATTAAATGTTTGATGATTTAAAGCCTTTTCCATTGGCATTGATAAAATTGAAGAGATATCAGAATTATGCTTCAATGTGTTTTTGTTGACATGACTATTGGACATTGCATATCCAACAGTAATCACTTGAGCATCTGATTTTGGTACACATGAGGTCTTAGTTATTCCATCTAAAAAATGTTTGACCGATGCACCACAATCTTCACTGTTAGCATGTGCTGCTTTGAAATCATCTCCAGGTTCTGATGGTGTGCCATCTGACCTTTCTGATGAGCTGCCAATTCCTGAGTCATGATTGTACACCTTTGTCTCCTGTTCCAGAGTACAGCCTGAGGCTGCTATATCATTCGGAGTAGAATGTTCATGCAGAAGACTACTCTGGCTAGAATTCTCCGAGTCTCCACCAGGGCTGTCTATCAAACAGTTTGTGCTGGTACCTACAACACCAGTGTGTTTGGCTGGATGGTTCATCACATGAGGATTGAGCAATTGTTCAGAATTTGAAGGACTAGTGTTCTCTGATGATGTTTTCTGCTGAGTAGAGGTTGCAACAACATTTGTTGCAACATGCTGTTGTCTGTGGCTCATGATAGGAGAAGCACTAGCTGTTGTGTGAGCCCCACAACAAACAGTTGTCAAATGATTGTCCTCAGGGAACCCAGATGTCAAACTCTTGTACACACTTTGATGCAATGGTTGCATTTCAGTTGAAACAGTTGACATACCAGGCACATAGCCAGGCAAAGTTCTGGGGGAGGATGATGTTGGTGACTTGGTGACAATACCTTGAGATGCACTAGAAACTGGCATATACTCTGGTCCTCCTGGTGACCTGTTGACAGCCCTGTTCTGTGTCAAATTGCTGTTGTGTACACTGGTTACAGATTCTTTCCGAGAAGGACTAGAATGCACATAACCACTATTACCCCTGCTTGCAGGGAATGTCAGTGGCTGTGGAGATGATGAAGTAGATGGTATTGAAGAGAATGATGATGACGAAGGCAACATTAAGTTATTACTACCAGCACTGCTACTGTACACTGCTAATGTCTCATTCTGCTGGTGTTGCTGCCTAGAGTAATTAACACTTGGATGTCCTGCAGAAGAACTTGGCACAGATGAGATCCTATCACTTGATGGGGGCATCCTTCCTTGATGCATGACATTATTAATAGCTACATGTTTATTTGGAGAAATACCACTTGGTGGCTGCTTTTTGTCCTTTGGGGAACGTTTTACAGGATTTTTGTGAGGGGAAAATCCATCCAAGGAACTGTCACTTTTAATGGGACTTGTATCAGATGAATTTTCCATAGGTTCTAAAAGTCCAGTATATGGGTTTATGATTTTTCCAGCTGTGTTTTCTGGTAAAAATTGAGTTACATCCCCTGAATCTGACTTCCTTGGTATGGGTTCCTGAGACAATGGAATTAAGTTAGAAGCAGCAGTTGAGTTAACCAGGTGTAGATTTGTGTCAGTGTTTTGGTGTGATGGGCTGTGAGGCGGATGGATAGGTGGTCTCCCAGAAAAGGTTACAGCTGGTTGTGTAGAAGCTGGTAAGGCCTGTGTAACCATTGGAATGCTTGGCATATTTGAGCTGCTGCCTGACGTGACCAGAGGCAAGCCACAGGTAGCCAGAGCAGGGTTTGGTACACTCTGTATAGAGACTTCTCCCTCTGATGATGGCACTGCTGTTGGAGTGCTGGGAGACTGGGACTGTGTCTCACTTACAGTTGCATTAGGTTTTTCTTTGGGCTTGCGCTGCCGCCTCTTCTTTTTAGGAGGAGACCCTGTTTCTGGAGGTGGCAGCATTTTACTGTGCATAAAGTTATTGATGCCTGCTAAGGACGGTTCTGTCTGAAGCAAATTGACTAGCAATGGACTTCCAGTGGACGTTGCAGGATACCTGCCACCCTTCACATAATTGTTGACCAGAGCACTTCCATGGGGATAAGGAGGAGGAGGAGGTAGAGAAAGCTCGTGTCCTTGCTGTTGTGGAATGCTGTGAGGAGATAAGCCTGGTGGTGAGGGCAGTTTCATTCCTGGTTGACCCAGAGTGCCCTTGGCCTGCTGATCAAATGGAAAGAACCCACTCTGATGAGGTGGCACATTCGTAGGGTTTTTCCCTGGAGGAAATCCAAAAGACTGTTGGGCTTGAGGACTCCTGCCCGTGGATGATGATGGCATTCCCATTGAGGAAAACGGCAGGACATCTCTAGGACCAGATGACTGAAACCCATCAGGTGCTGATGACTGCTGCCCAAATAATGTGTCAAAGAGGGGTGCCCCTTGCCGAAGATAGTCAGCAATGTTTTTCTGTGTAGTGCTTTCTGCATTACTTGGTCCAGGTGTTTCGAAGTCATTTGATCTACCACCACTAGAGTCTAACACAGACACTGATGGTGCATCAACTGTATCACTTTCTGCTCGGAAAACCAACCTAGTCCTTTCATTATTTCTACCAGCTATTGTGAGTGAGATAATCTGATCGCCTTCAATTTGCACAGCTAAAACTCCCAATTGTCGTAGTGTTGAATCTCCCTGCTGTGCCAACTGTTTAAGCCTCTGAGCAGCTTCACGAGGGATATTAAACGTCACACGTACACTGTTCCATGGCTCTACTTTCTTTAGGATAAGCTTTCTCTTATCTGGAACATAGAGTACAAAGTACCATTAGGATAAGATCTGAAACATGAACGTATAAGGTACATCTAAGGCAGGTTAAGCCTACCTCTTTTATATAAAACACAATGGATAACAGGATCTTGGCACCCACCACTGAATGATCTTTATTGATTCTATGCAGGACTGAACATTTTTCTACATTTCGCCTTTTTTCCCTTTCCTTCTTAATCATCTGATAACACAGGCAATCTACATATTAAATCCACTAGTGATTATAACAAGAACTTTCTGAGAAACATTGGTTATAAACTTCCACTGTCAAGATCCAAGATGGTCTAGAACTCTGAACAATCATTTCATTTTCTTGAGCAGACACATAACTGAATGGGCACAACATTGGAACACGGGAAACCTTCATGACAAGTTGAAGAAATATCTTTCTAGTGCATCTCAAGGAATAATTATACCAAACTTAAATGTCGAAATCAAAGATGGTCACTTGTAGGCCATTTTGTTTGGATTAAAAATGGAATGGGCATAACTAGGAACCATCAGAAATATATTTGTGAATTTTGAGAAATATTCCTCAGTTATTTCTTAACAAATAGCTCTAACAAGGTTTGTTTTTACCTAAGAATGGAAGATGGACAACAGACAAAGTGTGATTGAACAGCCAACCATCTGATGCTGGTGGATTAAAAATTACTTAGTTCAGATCATCAATTAGATCAAACAAACATATGGAAGTCTTCCAATATAGTTTTATTTAAACTCTACTGATTTTGAAAATTGGTCACATTAAATAGCCAACCCACCCTATGAAACTAGTTGTAGATAGACACACAACTTGGTCATAAGCATATCTCTATTACATTAATCTCAGCATTGTGAAAACTAATATCAATTAAAACTAGCAAATAAAAGAGAAACAGGGGCCAATGGGCTTAAATGGTCATCTGATTATGAAGACCCATATCTTGACTTAACAGAAGTAGTATTCATTTTCAAATGATTAAAACAATTAGGAATTCTTAAGCAGAAAAGGATTAGAAATCTTCTTGTTAAAGTTTCTTCACATTCACACAAAATTTCAGCTCAATGGCACCTGTGGAACTTGAAAAGAAGTTTAAATCATATTTATAAAGATGGCAGTCACTATGTATTTCAGACTGACCTAAAATATATTAATAGGTTATGACTACCTCAGTGTCATTTCAGAATAGTTTCAGCTGAATCCTTCTGCTGGGACTTGAGAATATGTGTTGTTCAGGGTAACCATGCTTGGGTCGTGACCATCATGTTACAAAATGGCCACCATAGCTGCCATAAACAACGCATTTAAAAAAAAATTTTGTCAGCTTCCTTTCCTGAACATTCATAAGAATTTTCAGCTCAAAGGCTCCAGTGACATTTCAGAAGCAGTTCAAATCTGTATTTCAAGATGGCATCCATATTGGATTTCAAACTGACCAAAAAATAATAACCTTCCTATTTCAGGATCATTTATAAGATAGCAAATTTCAGCTAAATCCCACTGATGACAGAACACAATGACTACAGGACACCATGACCATGCTAATGACTGTCATATATTTCATATGAGCTCTTAATTTTTATGCAATAAAAAACCCTCTCTTCCAAACAGGAGATAATGAGGCTTTCCAAACTCACCTGTTGAGAGCAGGTCTCGAAGACCTTTGCGGAAATCTTCAAGTCGAGACTGAAGGTTCGGATCATTGATGTCCCCTTCACATGTAAACACCGTCTCGATGTAGTCCTCTTGAGGACCCATCTTTACTGAGAGGTCATATGTCCACCTAAAACACCAAGATTTAATATAAAGTCAATCTCAAAGTCTTTCTGCAATTTTTATTATAAATCATATATATTGAACAAAATCTTGAATAAAATAAAAACTGGTAAAGAAGGACATGGTTTCATAATTGCTAAGTTTGATTCATTACATTACAACTTTCATTCTTAGACTTTTTTCATTATTGAAGTAACAGCACGAGTCTGCACTGATTTGCAAAAATATAAGTGCACAGTCTTCATTATAAAACCCTGCAGGAAACTCTATTTTTACCATGACAAGTGGGCTTTCCACAGGACATTTGAGAGACAAGTTCATGGTGACCTTTTTCATAGACTGAGTGACTTTCAACTCCTATCAACAGTATATTGTACTATTACACTGCCTCCCATCCCCACCCAATCTAAATACTGTAAACTTTCGGACATTTCAAAGAAAATTAAAGTTGAATCAGTTCAAATTATAAAAAATTATGCTTGTGAAAAAAGAGCTTAAATTATCAGATCTGACATTGCCAAAAATCATTATGAAGTATTTAAAAGTGTGCTGGTAGGAAACTTTGATAGGTAAAGACAATGTTTTTTGGGGAATATTGAAAAGTATGTTGATTATAATATCATTATCTTTTGAAATACTTACATGTTAGATAAACTGTAAGTAATTGCAAGTTTAAATTTGATATATAACAATTTGAATAACAAAACAAATCAAGCAAAAAAAAAAAAAAATAATAATGTTGGAATTGACAAATCAAAATTAGGAGTGTGGATTTTCTTCTTAATACATATTGACAATTTTGTAAGTAAGAACTTCTGTTGATCACAATGCAAGGAGATCCTAACATAGAAATTTTTGTTGCAGGTCTGATAAAGAATTAAGGGGAGAGTATCTTGCAATGACAATTATGTTCTAACCTGGACGATATTTTGATTCATTTCATTAAAAGCATGATGTTAGTATCACAAGATCAATCATAACATATATTTCTCATCCAATGAGACATGTACAAATTTCTAGAAATGAGTTGTTTATTGAGCTATATTCATAAAACAATCAACAGACCACTCTGCCAATAAGTGTTAAGCAATATTTCATTTTCTGACACTGACATGAAATGGACTCAATAAAATATTTCTTGACATCTAATGGAAGTTATCTTATTAGAACTTATTCATGCAACTTAAAATGCTGTGGATTATGTTGGACCAAACATGGACCCTATTCGCAACTGAGATTTAAACCATACTGTAGCCAAAAATAATTTACTCCTTTAAATGAAGTGATCCATTTTTTCCCAGTATGAAATCGAAAAGGCCCTTTCTCAAACAATTAGTAAAAAGGTCTGGATTTGGCTCATTTTTTGTTAAGTCAATAATCTGAGACAAACACATGAATATTTGTAGATCTCAGGTTTCTATGAGATTGTCTGTTGCAAAGTAGAAAATATTTAAGATTATGAATTCTTCAATGTCCACTTTAAGTGTCTGATAGATTGTTGAGAACGACTGATTAACATTAAGTTAATTTTATCATCAATACACACAGGCAGATGACAATATAAGCAAACAGTATATTTAACTACCCAGATAAGAACAAACAATTTTCCTTAATCTCATCAGGAGTTTCAGTAATCAACAAAATATAATTTGGGAAAATCAAATGTTTAATTAGTTCCTTTCTACAAGCTACTGGACCTCATTCTGTGAAAAATGATTTGCCTATCTCAAACAATAAGAAATCGTTCATTTAACTTATATTTTTACATTTAATATCAATTATACTCGGCCTACATCTGAACAAGCATGGAGCAAAAACGTGAAAATAGAAAGTGTACTTCACTGTTTGCACTTGCTTTAAACTATAAACCCATATGTCGTTTTGAAATTGACCGAATATGATTTAGTCGATAATAATTAAACTCTCTCAAACATTTATTCAGTGTGCTTTCACACCATGATATTGACACCACATGACGTACATAGTATGTATTTCTACCGGGTAACGTTCGCGTTCATGGTACTACCATCATCTATATTCAAACATCTAACTTTCAAAACGACAGAAGAATTATATATAACCATACGAAATACAAACAGAACCAATAAAAACATTATTACGGCGTTAAAAATTCACATTTGCAACGGGATATGGCCAGCTTGCATTGGATTGGCAGCCATGATGAACGACGAAAACTCGCGCATTGGCAGAGGTAAACGTGACCTATTAAATTGGTAATGCTAAATAAAACATTAACTTTTCCAGCAAAAGTTAGAGTAACATGGTTCCATATGCCCTGTGTCTTTACGTTTAACATGCGCCAGACATTATGTCGTCTCAGGCGGAAGGGAGGGCATGGCACCGACCTGAATACAAGACAGGGGACTAACCGCTGTCATTATTCAATTAAGACTAATTACCTACTGCATGACAAAAGACAGCATTGCGCTAAAAAAAGTTGATAAACCGTACATCAAAATGCTTCCTTGCATTTGCAAATGACACACAATATCATATTTAATCAGTAAATAATCGGAGTGATGTCATGAGAACCGAGTCGGAAATGCTCGGACCCCACACCATCCAAGGTGCCCTACGCTTCTCCTGCGAACACGCAATGAATCACTGACCATTATCACCTGCAATAAAAAGACCTCTTTTTGTAAGTGCATCCAAATTAGTCCAAGCCACTGACCTGTATAGGTGACAGAGTAGTTTTAAAAATGTGCTTGCATACTCAACGCCATTGAACAATAACAAGTGCCGCCATTTGCAATACTACTGGCACGCATGCCCAAGTAAACTACTGAATTCTGGGAATGACATTGAAAACCGCGCGTAACTTTGATGCCCGTTTCTACGCCGGTATATGGCCATATATGATCGACATTAATGTTCTGTTAAACGGAGAAATGTATTCATTGTGTAATTCACATAGGAAAAATACGGTCTATAATGATTCCCGCCACACAATGAAACACTGAACCAGGAACGACTAGTCACCGACGGCGTGGACAAATCCGATAACTTTTACTTCTTGCAAGTCGTATAGAATATCACATTTATAGCCAAGTAGTCGTCGACAAGTTATATATCAACAAAACTAGTGTATAAAAACTCTTGAATTTAGGAGAATGACACTTAAGATATTGCTCAATCGGTTTAGGTTGTAACTTCCACTGAAGACTTTATTAAGCTAATTTGATTTGGCCTAAGTATAGAAAAAAAATCCGTTAAATGCATTCACTAACCGACACAGCCTTGACCTATTGGAATATTCATGTCCATGCTGTATGCCTATGTGCAGTCAAATTGCGATATATAGCAAGAGGTAAGCTTTTTGAAAGAGTGCGCTGTTGATTTGTGGTAAGATATGAAAATTAGGGCAAATAATGATATTTTAAAGTACCGGAAAGCCAGCTAGGATAGGAAATTCTACAGAATTAAAAAAAAAAGTCAACTTGGCCGCAGTTGTGTACTTGAAAATTACTAGCAAAGGGGAAAAAGATGTGTAAAAAGTTTGCTCACACTCGAAGCTCTCTATTTATAGAATGTCTACTTTTCAAACGAAGTCACGGTTTTATCACTTCTTCACACGACGAGACAACTATCCAATTCTGGAAAAAATCTGAAATGATATGAATAAGCTATTGTGATGTTTTTTTCGGTTTTAATTCAGGTTGGGCACACCCACGGTGTTTGCTTCCATGTATCCGTCGAGGACATTTTATGAAGTAAACATATTTCATTAATAGCAAATGTATAGTGGGATTGGGCACAAGAAGTTTCAATTTTAAACTTAATTATATTAAGCTCTTTCCCCGACTGAGGACATTTCACGAACGAAACATACAACATTGATGATTTTACTAGAAACAGAAAATAGAGAGTAATGTTATTTTACATAAAAAATGACAGTGTCAATATCAAACTCCTACACATGTGTGTTATTGTAGTTTAAATGGACACACGATGACTCGCAAAACAAGAGACGTGTATTAGACAAGACGAACTGTAAATGCACGACTGAATTGGAGAATATTCAACAAAAGTTTCTTGTATCAGTGTAACGTTACAATTTTGATGTCATGATTTAAGAAGACGTCAACGATTTGACAATAGCATGGAAAGGACTATAGATGTCATCAGATAGAAGATATGTCATTGTAGCAATATCATATTAAGGTTAATGCAGATTCACGAATTTATTTTTTTTTCAAAATTCATCATTTTTTTTTGTATTTGTTTATTTTTGGAAATTTTCACATAAATACAAACATACACAAGAAAACATGACACACACTTCCTCTCACCACTATTCATGATTTCCATGAGCATTATATCATTGGTGTATCGGTATAAAAATTCATCTGCAGTGTATATATATATATATATATAGACATACATACCAACCCACGCCCCCTTACACACACACACACACACACACACACACACACACACCCTCACCAACAAACAAACAGCCACCGAGAGAAAAGAGAGAGAGAGAGAGGGAGAGGGGGATGGCATAATAATTAGAATACTTAAAAAAAAAAAATATTTTCAAAATACTGTATATAGTAGTGGGTCAATATATTTTTCTTGAAATCACAAATTACAAACTTTCTCCCATTTTTTCCATTTCTTTTTGAAATTTTCCATGACAATTTCACCTTGACTATAAGCAGTGTATTTTTGTGGATTATAATGGTATTTTATTGTGATAATAAGACTATTAATGTTCAGAGAGTTGTGAAGGCATCGCATCTTGTATATATATTGTTTGATTAGAAGAAGTATTTCATTGTCAACTTTGTGTATATTGAGGTTTGGTGATGTCAGTCCAAAAATGAAAGATTGTTTGTTGAAATCAAATGGAATGAATAGAGCTTCTAGTAAAATTTTAAAGCTATCAAGTAGGTTTTGAACTTCTTTACACTCCCACAAAGTATGTATTATTGTTTCAGTTTCTGCATTACATAAAGTACACAACGGAGAAATAGCGAGATCTGATTTGAAAAGAAAAGAATTTGTAGTTAAGATACGGTGGTTAACTCTGTACTGAAACCATTGTAGCTTTTTGCTTCTAGTAACAGAGAAAGGAATTTTATATATTTGATCCCTACCTACACTACCTACTACTAAATTCATCATTTTGTTTACTTGAATAGAAAGGAAGTCGTGATAAAATCTCCTCCACACTTTAAGAAAATCCCTGCTACGCTTTCTAACCGATCGGGTTAGGTATGTGGTACTGAAAGTGAATCTATGTAGCGATCAGAATTTATCTGAGAGACTACATGAATAATGTGATGTTAGACAAAATGCAAGAGTTCAAAAAAGGTTAAGTTCTTTAGTTTTTATTCCTTATATACTAATAAGCGTATGTCATAACAGTGTATAGACGACAGTTTACGTGTGGTGAGTCAAAGGTAGTAATTGACAATAAAATTAATGCAGTTAGGTGTAATGTGACCTTGACTTACTCTTGGCAGAATGTTCAAATGGTTTCCAGTGTGACGTCATAACTTCATGGCGTCATATGCATTAACGAATTTCATTATGTCATCGTAAAAGAGATATAGAGTGAAAACAGTCATTTTCAGATTTTTTTGTCATGCAGTCGAATAAATTGGTATTTTCAAAAAGAAAAAAAATAATAATATGGTATTCAAGATATATGATAAACAAAACCGTACAATTATTCCCATTTCATATTTTTCATCGTGAATTTTTATTTTACCTCTACACAATGAGAAAAATGGCACATTAACAGAGACGTATATACGTTTCTGGCAATAACCAGGAGACGCAGTTAAGGGAGTGACTAGAGGTAAAAGGCACGTGTTGATGTTTAATTACTCTTCAATAGGTAATTAGCGGTGTTCATGACAACAGAATAAATAGATAGATAGAGTAATGTGCACGATGAAGCACTAGATAAATATAACACGGGGGTTATTTTGTCACTGATATTTATGTATGAAAAATACCTCTTCTTGACGAGTGCCTCCTCTCCGGTTTTATTCCATTGGCTCCAAGTGATTTTGTTAAAGGGGATCAGAATAGACATATTAAAACGAAAACTCCCCTTACAACTTGTAATAATAGTAGTGTAACTTCTGTGGTTAGAACAGGAAATGACATTCCGATATTCGGCTGAATGTATCAGTTCATAAGAAAAGGATATTAATAGATTTTCAAGTTACGTTGGCATTTATTATTATTTCTACGAATTCGTCATTTGTTTCTCTTTGAATATTAAAGCTAGCATGGACACTATTTTCAGAAAATTGCAATTACTAAATAAATTAACTATTTAATATATAACTTTTTCGTTTATATCAAATGAAAATAAGACTAAAACGATCTCTTGTGGCTAAATATCATTTATAAAGCATAACCTTGTGTTATCTTTAACAGGATAGTATAGTATTGTCAATAATAATTAGACATTTCTTTGAGATTTACCGATATTTTCTGTAATTTTTTCATTTACTACAAACTGAAGGCGATAATCCTGAATATCAAAGTCAGGTTGTTCAGCTAGATATAGTTTAGTATATTTACCTCCCCTTTCCACGGAATACAGTACAAAATACAGAAGTTCTTCATCTTGTCAACATATTATTCATCAGCCTTCGATAAAAAAAAAAAAAAAAAACACATGATATTTATTTAGCTTTATTGACAAGAAGATCTGATTTCGCAGATCGTAACGCCAAAATTTTGGGAGTTACCTCCCATCAAACGTGTTGCTACACGTATTCGCCGACGCAGCAAAGCTCATGTTTAGACCTGGGACACGATCCTAGTATAAATAGCTGACGAATTGCGATTCGCCTCATAACAATCCAGGCTGTTGAACATGAGTGTCCGATCAAAAGCACTGAAAAGGAAGGCTGCTGAAGAAGGCGCCTTGAAAGCTAAACGGGCAAAGGGAGAGACCGACCTTTGTGATAATCTGAAATGGTCTCAAGAAGGCGAAGTGATGAGAGGGGTGTGTCCTCTGATGAAGTTGACATCAGACACACTTCCGGGTTCAAAGAAAATAATCGGATTTGATATAGACTTTACGGTTATCAAAACTGCTAGTGGCAGGACTTTTGCTACAGGTGGGCATTTATTTATAAACGTGATTAAAACGGAAGTATTAGATAGCTGGCTGTTAAGTGTTTTAAAATCAGGGATCACAGGTTAAGAAGGTACATGGGGAAAATTTAATTAGAGCCTAATTATAGCTTACCAAAGTCCTAGCCAAACGACAAGGATATGAATATGGTGCAAATGAGTTTTTTTTTTAAAATTGCTATTATTCCTTCACATTCAGACAAAGAAAAAATGTTTGGAACCAATTTTTGTATTCATTAATGAAGTATGATGCATCAAATGTCACTTGATATATTTTACCTCAGGTAATTTACCTGAGATTTCACAGGTGTGATCAATTATACATGATCCATGTTAGTACTTATATGGTGTTCCTTGATCATAAAAAAATAATAAGAATTAAGAAATAAGTATACTATTCATGGTTATGAAAACATACAGTCTGTTTGGCATGTCAGGGCTCTCACACCCCATTTTGGGACTGGGGCCCGGGGCCCTTAGAATTGGGAAAAATAATGGTGTTTTCCTTAGAATTGGGAAAACGTGGGGTCTAAATTGGGAAAAATAGATACTATTTTGCCTATTCGGCCCCAAATCTGACAGATCGAGAGCCTGCATGTAAACATCACAAGTTTTAGTCAACAGATCCCTGCTGAAACTTCCTTGGCTCTGCTAGATGAAAGGAAGATTATCAGACGAAAGACTGATATCCGACTGGCAAAAATGATGAAACGTCCATTGAGAATCCCTATGGAAAATAATGAATAAGAAAAAAAAAAAAAAAAAGCAAGATATTTTATTTCACTTTTTCTTTCTGAGGATGTTGTTTACATATGTGACGTAAATTTTGATATTGATTTGTTAATATTACTTAATTCATATGATTTAGTTTTGTTGTGTGGGATACTACTCACATTATTCTGATTTGTTGTGTTGTCTAGGTGCCAGCGACTGGGAATGGTGGGATGATTGTGTTCCTCAGAAGATACGAGATTGTCACAATGATGGCTACCGGATTGTTTTCTTTACCAACCAGGCAGGCATCGAAAAACTCAAAGTGACACCACAGGAATTCATGAAGAAAGCGGAGGCCATTGTTGGGGAAATTGGAATCCCAGTCTTGGTATCTATTTTATTCCTTACTTCAATCCATATAGATAACTAAGAATATGGGAAATATTGTGAAGTTAGAAAACCTAAAGACTTCATTGTTGTGTGAGGAGAAGGAGAGCCAACGTTTGTGATCAGATTCTTTACCCTTAAAACTTATATATAAATCAAATTCCGTTTTATATTGAAACACTTTAAATCTTCCTTAGATTGCTAGTGATGTTGCTATACCTAATACTAGTGTATTGAATGCTGTTGAGTGGCGATGCCTTGAAGGTTTCCAGTAAAGTTAAAATATCTGATTGGCTCTATATTAATTGTTAAAAACATAGTACTTTATCTATTAACCCCACCAATGTCTATTGTAGTTCAGTAAAAATGCTAAAAGATAACTTCTCATTGTCATGCAATAAACCCTACCCCTTAATCTAAATCCAGGAAGTGTTTTTTTTTCCTCCTCCCTCTGACCCCTCTGAGATTCTTTGTACTCCCAATCCTCCCGTCTGACCTCTGGGATTATTTGTACTCCTAACCCCTCCCTCTGAACCCTCTGTGATTATTGGTACTCCCAACCCCTCCCTCTGAACCCTCTGGGATTATTGGTGTTCCCCCCACCCCTCCTTCTAGCCCCACTGAGATTCAGACAGGAAAACAAAGATCCAGCTATGGGTAACATGATATCTTTGTCACCAGCTATGACTTGTAAACTAGAAATCTCCACCCCCTAATCAACGTAACAAATTAAAAGAATATAATGTTATTTTACATTTCAGGTGTTTGCTTGTACTGGTACCAATCATTTCAGGAAACCAAGCACAATGATGTGGGAACATTTTGTGCAGAAGTGTAATGGTGGTGTTAAGGTGAGACAATTAAATGGCTATTGATAACTATACAAACTAAAATGTGACATTACCTTTATCACCATTGTACCTGGTCCTCTTCACCCTAATTGTCTAGTCATTTTTTAATATTGTGATTACTAAGTCATATATTAACCATAGGCACCACCAGCTAAGAATAATGAGACCCACAATGTCATACTGGACTAGATCTTCTTGGTCAGTAATGACTAGTAGGACTAGATAGGATAAAAGGTATGTCCTTTTAAAGAATAATGGGACCAGACAGGACTTCATATTGTACCATGTTGTCTTGGTCTCCAAAGCCTTGTCCTGTAGAATAATTTGACAAGATATGATATCATCACTGAAGTGCCTTTTGGTAGAATAGTTGGACCTGGAGAGGACGTCATTCTGTATCATGTCTCTTGCTGGAGTGCCCATTGGTAGAATAGTTAGACCTGGAGAGGACATCATTCTGTATCATTTCTCATTGGTCATCACTGAAGTGCCTTTTGGTAGAATAGTTGGATATGGTAGGAAGTCATTCTGTATCATTTCTCCTTGCTGGAGTGCCCATCAGTAGAATAGTTGGACGTTTATAGGATGTTGTTCTGTATCATGTCTCCTTCTGGAGTGCCCATTGGTAGAATAGTTGGACATGGTAGGACGTCATTCTGTATGATGTCTCCTTGCTGGAGTGCCCATTGGTAGAATTGTTGGACGTGGATAGGATGTTGTTCTGTGTCACATGATGATGTCTTCCTGGTCACCACTGTCAAGCCATCTTTTGTTAGAATAGTAGGATCTACATTTAGATGGACATATTTTTTTTTATTACAGTATGACAGCATAGTAAAATGGTTCTTTGACATTGCATGACCTAATCTGTACATCCTTCTATTTGTAGCCAGACCTTTCTCAGTGTCGCTATGTTGGAGACGCAGCTGGACGAGCTGCTGAATGGGCACCTGGAAAGAAGAAGGATTTCTCATGTAGTGACCGCATGTTTGCTGCCAACATTGGAATCAGTAAGAATGCATTAGTCAGTTCTTAAAGAGTTTCTGACGACTAACTTACATTTATAATACGTTATATTTATTTATTTATTTTGTGTTTTGAAAATATTCATCAGAATGACTGTTTTAGTGTTAGTGATATAGTAGTTTCACAGAGTACCTCAAGATATAGTAGTTTCACAGAATAACTAAGGTATATTAGTGTAATGGAGTACCTCAAGGTGTGGTACTTTTACTGAGTACCTCAAAGTATAGTAGTTTCACAAAGTACCTTAAGGTGTAGTAGTTTCACAGAATATCTCAAGGTATTTGGTCATATTCTTCATATTAGAATGTATTACAGCCTTGATTAACAGGAGATTTAGGATTAATATAAACATATGTATGAATATATTTAAAATGGCACATCTATAGTCAATATTGGTTTAAGATATGAAAGTAATACAAAAGATTACAAAAAATTATCATTATATTTATTCAGCATGAGAAAGCATTCTGAACATTTACTTTTTCAGATTTTCAAACTCCGGAGGAGTTCTTCCTCGAAGAAAAAGCAGTTCCATTTCAGTGGAGGAGTTTCAATCCAAATGATGTTATTTCTACTGACAAGAAAGCTAAGAAGATAGATTACCATAGTAATGTAAGTGTTACTTATGAGATTTTATTTTGTTATCAACTGATGACTTCATAGTTGGGGGGATTTCCTTTAAACATCAACCTGGTAAAGGCATGTATCTGAATAAGCTACTTGGTATGAATGATTCATTTCTCTTTTTGGGTTTTACAGAAACAGGAAGTGGTAGTAATGACTGGTTGCCCAGCATCTGGGAAGACTACCTTCAGGCGGAAACACCTGGAACCCCACGGTTATGTGGCTATCAACAGGGATACTTTGGGAACCAAGGCCAAATGCCTCAAGGTCAATAGCAAAGATAGTGATTTAACAAAGCTTGATATTACTGTTATAAATCAAACTAGAATGTTGTATTACCAAACTAGATATCACTTTGTGTATCCATACACAATTATGGATATTTTTTGGTGAACATAAGGTTGACAAATTCTTGTATTAACCTGAAGAAAGTTGATAATTGTTTTGTTATATTAAGTAACATTTTAAAATGTCTATTTCATGATGAAAATAAGTCTTTAAGTTATCAATTTGTGATGATAATTACTCATGCAGGTATTAGCTAGTTTCAGGTTAAAATTGCATTTTGTTGAAACCTGTGAAAGAACTCTTGGCCAATCACAATAGAAATATTTTCTGTCATATAACAATACTAGATAAGTCTTTGTATAACAACACTAGATATTACTTTGTATAACCAAACTAGATATTACTTTGTATAACCAAACTAGATATTACTTTGTATAACCAAACTAGATATTACTTTGTATAACCAAACTTGATATTACTTTGTATAACTAAACTAGATATTACTTTGTATAACCAAACTAGATATTACTTTGTATAACCAAACTAGGTATCACTTAATATAGCCATCTGGATTAGTAATAGAGTTCATTAAGAATAATGTACTTCAGGGTAAAGTTCAATGATACCTTTATCAAAAGCTTTATCAAAGTTAAAAAGCATTAATTAGAATTGCTCTATGCATTTGAAAATTCACAATACATAATTCTGATTGCAATATAAGTCCTATATCTTGTGATTTTTAGGCTGCAAAGACAGCCCTGGACTCTGGAAACAGCATTGTCGCAGATAATACAAATCCCTCATGTGAAGCAAGAAGTGATTACATAGCATTGGCCAAGTCAAAAAGTAAGTGTTACCTCCCTTATATCTTTGATAGTTGCAATATCAAAGCATTTCTTGTATGTTAGTAATTATTTTATGTCTAATGTATAATGTTTTAAATTAACTTCAAATCTTTTATGAAATCTGATATATTAGTTTATTGTTATAAAGATGGTTAGACACAATCTGGATATCTCTGCTTATGTTACCTAGATTTAGAAACAGGTGCAATTTACTGGTCTGGTACAATCTAGATTATATTTGTAATATTCCTATCGTGAGTTAGAAATGAATGGATCAAATTTCTGCACAGACACATTATATATATAAGTGCTGGTTGTACTTTGCATATTTGATGTTTTTTTCTCCACTAGAAATTCCATGCAGATGTTTCTGGATGAAGACACAAAGAGAAATGGCTGAACATCTGAACTTTGTACGCCAGAACCAGACCGATGGTAAGGTCAGGAGGATACCAGACGTTGGATACAACCTTTTCTATAAGCAGTTTACACCTCCCACTAAAGCAGAGGGTTTCTCGGAGATCACAGAGATAGACTTTGTAACTGATTTTGAAAGTAAACGTGATGAGACTCTGTTCCGACAGTGGACCACAGGAGGCCATTAGACTCCTGTATATATCAATGTTGACATATTTTTAACAATAAGGATTCTGTGTTGTGTTCATTGTTGTAATGGAAAGATATTTTTGTATTAAGGTAATGTACAATGAAACCTGTCTTTAAGGACATCCTGTGATATCTTATATAGTTATTTGGATTTTTTCTTGTTAATTTAGACATAAGAATGACTGTATTGACAATCTGTTTACTCAATACTTTCAAGAAAAAATCGGTCTCTGTTGATGTCCATGTCTAGTTTCATTGTAAGTTGATCCTATCTAATTCCATTTCTACGTATCATTTTTTTATATGAGAACATTATATTTTTTAAATTTCAATGTTTTTTTACATTTGTATATCGTTTTAAGGAGGATTTTTATTGTTATATTGTTTGCTATGTGATAGGGCTTATTGGCTTTGATAATTTGTAACCCAATGTTAAAAATGCTTATCTTAGCCTGACCAGCTATAATGTTACAGAATGTTACAACATATCATTTGAAAGTGCCATTATCATGAACTGTTAAGAAACAGCAATTTTGTACAAGCGTAAATAGGCTTCACCTGCAGACTGCTGATCTGTAAAGTGTCATTCATTGTGGTCGAGTGTCCACTCACTGTATGAATAAAATTTCACTGTACCCTATTTACACTGTAATTTGTATAAATGTATTTGCACGGTCTACTGTAAAAATGGAGTTGCTTTGTACAACTTGCAAAGATTTGGTTGCTCTCTATATGTGCACTGTACACTGTATAATTTAGTTACATGGTACTATTTACATATAGTTACATTGAACAATTTGCATAAAAGTGGTTACACTATAGATATTGTTACACTGTTCAAATCTAATAAACAATATACTGTTTAAATGAGGTTACATTGTACAGCTAGAATAAAGTTATTTACATTTACACTATACACTGTTTAAGAGTGGTCGCAGTGTACAGCATATATAAATGTGGAATGTAACAGTGAAAAGTTCAATTCTAATACATCCAAGTATTTTTCTAGATATTGACATAATCCCAACAAATGTCAATATTTCATTGCATATGCATCAATTGATATTTTACACAAGTTCATTTTGACCATGGACAAGTAAATTTTCAAATTAGGTGAAATCCTATGTAAAATGTCAGATGGGAAACTGACAAATAAATGATTAAGTGGACCCATATTTATCCCTGACAGTACACTGTATATACATGTAATTACACTGTAGACTATGATGTACTTACACTGTACATCATATACAATTGTGGTTACACTTTCCTCAGTGTAGGATGTGATTACACTGTACACTATGAAGTACTTACACTGTACATCATATACAATTGTGGTTACACTTTCCTCAGTGTAGGATGTGATTACACTGTACACTATGAAGTACTTACACTGTACATCATATACAATTGTGGTTACACTTTCCTCAGTGTAGGATGTGATTACACTGTACACTATGAAGTACTTACACTGTACATCGTATACAATTGTGGTTACACTTTCCTCAGTGTAGGATGTGATTACACTGTACACTATGAAGTACTTACACTGTACATCATATACAATTGTGGTTACACTTTACTCAGTGTAGGATGTGATTACACTGTACACTATGAAGTACTTACACTGTACATCATATACAAGTGTGGTTACACTTTCCTCAGTGTAGGATGTGATTACACTGTACACTATGAAGTACTTACACTGTACATCATATACAATTGTGGTTACACTTTCCTCAGTGTAGGATGTGATTACACTGTACACTATGAAGTACTTACACTGTACATCATATACAATTGTGGTTACACTTTCCTCAGTGTAGGATGTGATTACACTGTACACTATGAAGTACTTACACTGTACATCATATACAAGTGTGGTTACACTTTCCTCAGTGTAGGATGTGATTACACTGTACACTATGAAGTACTTACACTGTACATCATATACAATTGTGGTTACACTTTCCTCAGTGTAGGATGTGATTACACTGTACACTATGAAGTACTTACACTGTACATCATATACAAGTGTGGTTACACTTTCCTCTGTGTAGGATGTGATTACACTGTACACTATGAAGTACTTACACTGTACATCATATACAATTGTGGTTACACTTTCCTCAGTGTAGGATGTGATTACACTGTACACTATGAAGTACTTACACTGTACATCATATACAATTGTGGTTACACTTTCCTCAGTGTAGGATGTGATTACACTGTACACTATGAAGTACTTACACTGTACATCATATACAATTGTGGTTACACTTTACTCAGTGTAGGATGTGATTACACTGTACACTATGAAGTACTTACACTGTACATCATATACAATTGTGGTTACACTTTCCTCAGTGTAGGATGTGATTACACTGTACACTATGAAGTACTTACACTGTACATCATATACAATTGTGGTTACACTTTACTCAGTGTAGGATGTGATTACACTGTACATTGTGTAAAATGTAATTGCTAACGATGTATAATGTATCAAATTGTGGCTACACTGTAATCTGTATATCAATGCTGTTACTCTGTACACTATATAACACAAGTTATATTATATAATGTGTATAAATGTGGTCTACCTTTACACTTTGTATAGAAGTGCTTAAAGTGTACATTGTTTCACAAGGTCACATTGTACCATTTGTATAAATGTGGCTTCACTATCAATGTGATTATATTGTTCTATATGATTGCCAGGTAAATGGTTTACACTGCAGAGTGTTTATAAATGTTTTACACTGTAGAGTAAGTATGTTTTACACTTTAGAGTGTTTATAAATTTTACACTGTAGAGTGTTTATAATTGTTTTACACTGTAGTGTTTATAAATGTTTTACACTGTAGAGTGTTTATAAATGGTTTACACTGTAGATTGTGTATAATAATTTTACACTGTAATGTTTATAAATGTTTTACACTGTAGAGTAAGTATGTTTTACACTGTAGAGTGTTATAAATGTTTTACACTGTAGAGTAAGTATGTTTTACACTGTAGAGTAAGTATGTTTTACACTGTAGAGTGTTTATAAATTTTAAACTGTAGAGTGTTTATAATTGTTTTACACTGTAGAATGTTTATAAATGTTTTACACTGTAGAGTGTTTATAAATGGTTTACACTGTAGATTGTGTATAATTATTTTACACTGTAGTGTTTATAAATGTTTTACACTGTAGAGTAAGTATGTTTTACACTGTAGAGTGTTATAAATGTTTTACACTGTAGAGTAAGTATGTTTTACACTGTAGAGTGTATGTTTTACACTGTAGAGTGTTTATAAATTTTACACTGTAGAGTGTTTATAATTGTTTTACACTGTAGAGTGTTTATAAATGTTTTACACTGTAGAGTGTTTATAATTGTTTTACACTGTAGAGTGTTTATAAATGTTTTACACTGTAGAGTAAGTATGTTTTACACTGTAGAGTGTTATAAATGTTTTACACTGTAGAGTAAGTATGTTTTACACTGTAGAGTAAGTATGTTTTACACTGTAGAGTGTTTATAAATGTGTTACACTGTAGAGTATGTATGTTTTACACTGTAGAGTGTTTATAAATGTTTTACACTGTAGAGTAAGTATGTTTTACACTATAGAGTGTATATGTGTTTTACACTGCACAATGTTTATAATTTTTTTTCGCTGTATAAATGGTTTACAGTGTACATTGTGTATGATATTATCATACTTAACACTGTGTAGAGATGTAGTTACACTGTGCAATTAGTGTATACTGTCTCTACATTTAAATACTTTGTATAAGTTTAGTTAATTCTCTTGTTTAAATGTTTAAAATATATATTTGTATGATGGTGTTATTCAAGACAGTTTTATCATACAAACTTTTGCATTAAATTCAGAGGGTATTTACTGGTTTCTTTTTAATATCATACATATTTTGTGAGTATGAAAAGATCTGTATTCTTCCCAAGTGAAAATATATTGTGTAATATAAGTGAAATACATATGATATTTAACGGAAACCATTAATGTGTATTTATTACTTTACTATATTTAAAATAAGACAAATAAAAAACAGCAAAGCAAAATGTAAAACAAACTGATGTTTAAATAATATTAGTTTTTATTTTTTGTTAGTTTGACGTTATGCTTGACAAAAAGATGGTGTCATTTTGAAAACGTTGTTTTGAATTGTATTCTGCTATTTTATGTTTTTGTCTGGTAAGAATATCTACCAAATTAGATAAAACCACAAAATTACCAAGGAAAGATTTGATTGAAAACCAACTTAATCTACCTATTCAGTTGTGTCCGCAGGGGATATTTGGTGTATTTTAACTTCGTTCCTTGCTAGCACTGCTCAAAACTACAAAATTTATATCATCACTGGAAAAGTTACATCCTCACTACTGATAATGTAAGATTTTTATATCATTGCTATAGTAATAATTTAAGATTTAACCAAATTGATGAAGTTCTTATATTTTACTGACAAAAATATATTAGCAAAAAAAACTCACATGTCCAACATGACAATAATGTGTTACTTACAGTACAACTAATCAACGACCTAAATACCAAATAGAAATATGTTTATCTCGGTACAGGTCTCAGAATTGATTTAAAGATTTCTGATATGTTCATGTTTTGTATCGTTTTTATTGTTATCATTTTATATTGGATATGCATTTATTTTGCACATTTCCATTAAGTGAAACATTTTTATTTTATTCCAGAAATAAATTGAACTCGTTTTCAAATATCTTGCCTTGCATTGTTCTTTTTCTCTCCAGAACTGAATACTTCAATGAATGATATATAACTAATATTTTCCAGAGTTAGAGTTATGAGTGCTTTTTACAATTCCATTCAAGAGTAAATGCTCTGAGTTCTATGACTATTCCTTGCCAGAGCTACAGCTCTGAGTGCTATAACTATTCCTTTCCAGAATTATAGCTGTGAGTACTGTAGGTATCCCTTAGAGTTCTAGCTGTTAGTTCTATAGCTATTCCTTTGAGTTATAGCTGTGAGTGCTATAACTATTCCTTTGAGTTATAGCTGTGAGTGCTATAACTATTCCTTTCCAGAGCTACAGCTCAGTGCTGTAACTATTCCATTCCAGAGTAAATGCTCTGAGTGCTAAAACTATTCCTTCCCAGGGTTACATCTCTGAGTTCTATAACTATT